TACAGCGATGACCCAAATACTTCCCCTTCACACCGACGCCATCGCCGACACCCCAGCCATCGGCGGGCAGCCGACACCGACGAAGAGCGCATGGAGCGGGGCGGAGATGTGAGACGCAAAAAGAGCATGGTGAAGCCAGAGCGCCGGAAAGCAGACCCCGACCACCCCAATTACCATTATCGCCAGCGGTCACACCACATGTCCACTTTTCCTTCTGCGACAGGCAACGATCCATTATTAGACCATCGAGATGGCGAGGCTGAGACGAACAGTTCGCGCAGCATGGATATAAAGAGCAAGGAGGGCTTGTACGGAGCACAGGGTAATGTCAACAAACCCATGGAACGGGTTCCCAGCAGACATCGCTCGAAGAAGAAGAAGAGATCGAGGCGGTCGTCGAAGGGCGCGGTGGAGGAGAGGAAACGCTTGAAGGAGATGGAACAGAGCGGTCCGCCCGAGTTGTGGCCTACATATTGCGCGGTCCTGACGTTTTTCATTCCTGATTTCGTCCTGCGCTGCTTTGGTATGCCCCAGAAGGAGCAGCGCACTGCTTGGCGAGAGAAGATCGGCCTGATCAGCATCATTCTGATGATCGCTGCTTTTGTCGGTTTCTTAACCTTCGGTTTTACTGCTACTGTTTGTGGCTCGCCTCCGCTGCGACTCAAGGTCAATGAGGTGAACTCCAACTACATGATTTTCCATGGCAAGGCCTACGACTTGACTGGATCGAAACACGGTGCCGCAGAGGGGATTCCTGGTGATACGAATGTGCTTTACGATTTGCCACACAAGTATGGTGGACAAGATGGCAGCTTCTTCTTCCAGCAGGTCAATGGTGCGTGCAAGGGCTTGATTACTGCTCAGCCGGATGGTGGTGTCCCCACGGACTCTGATGGAAACCTTGGGTGGTATTTCCCCTGCGCGCCGTTCAACCAGGATGGTTCGTCTTCGCCGAATCTGACAACCGATTACTACCTGGGCTGGGCTTGTCACACCAGCAAGTCAGCCCGTGAACCTTTCTACACCCTGTCAAGCGACGGAGATGTTTACTACACCTGGGAAGACACCAAGAACTCGAGCCGAAACCTTGCAATCTATTCCGGAAACGTCCTCGATCTCGACCTTTTGGCTTGGTTCAACAGCAGCCAGGTTTCATATCCGAAGCAATTTGACGAGCTTCGCACGAACCCTTCAATTCGCGGTGTCGATCTGACCTACTACCTGCAAAGTGGAGAGGAAAAGAAGATTGGCAAGTGCTTGGCACAGATTATCAAAGTGGGCAGCATTGACACTGAAACCGTCGGTTGTATCGCGTCAAAGGTCGTGCTCTACGTGTCGTTGATCTTCATTCTGTCCATTGTGGTCGTCAAGTTTGCCTTTGCCTTGCTCTTCGAATGGTTCCTAGCGCCCAGATTTGCCGCGCAGAGCACAAGTATGAGCTCAGATGCCAGGACTCGTAACCAACAGATCGAAGACTGGTCCAACGATATCTACCGACCAGCTCCCCGAATCGCGGACCCGATCGTTCCTGATCGAGTTAGCAAACGTGCCACCTTCTTGCCTACCACTTCCCGCTTTTCCAGCCCTTACAATGTGAGCAGCAGCGGTGGCAGCAAACAGAAACCGCACTACGTAACGATGGCTAGTCAGAACTCGACATCCCGTCTTATGCCCAGCTCCAACCCTGACACCATGTATAAATTGAGCCACAACGGGAGTGGTGGTACCTTGAGCGCTGATAACTCGCGAAACAATGCTGCCGCCAGCCGGACTAGCTTGGTTCCTCCTGGTCAGCAAGATCCTGGTTACTCCACGTTGATGACAGACTATGAGGGCCCTGGTCCTGCTGGCTTCATTCACGAAGCCGTCGTTCCCCAGCCGCCCCCAGAATGGCAACCATTTGGTTATCCTTTGGCTCACAGTTTGTGTCTGGTTACTTGCTACTCAGAAGGTGAAGAAGGTATCCGATCAACACTGGATTCTCTTGCTATGACCGACTACCCGAACAGCCACAAGACAATTCTTGTGATTTGTGATGGTGTCATCAAGGGTAAAGGAGAGGAGTTCTCAACACCGGACATTGTGCTCGGCATGCTGAAAGACCATGTCGTTCCCGTCGACGAAGTCCAGCCCTATTCATACGTGGCTGTGGCTACCGGCTCCAAGCGACACAACATGGCCAAGGTCTACACTGGATTCTATGACTATGGTGACACCTCGGTCATTCCACTGGAGAAGCAGCAGCGTGTTCCCATGATGGTAGTTGTCAAGTGCGGTACTCCCCAGGAATCGACCCAGTCGAAGCCCGGTAACCGAGGCAAGCGAGACAGTCAGATTATTTTGATGTCCTTCTTGCAGAAGGTCATGTTCGATGAGCGGATGACGGAACTCGAATTCGAGATGTTCAACGGCATGTGGAATGTCACAGGCATACCGCCAGACTTTTACGAAGTTGTTCTCATGGTTGATGCCGATACGAAGGTCTTCCCGGATAGTTTGACACACATGGTCTCAGCCATGGTCAAGGACCCTGATATCATGGGTCTCTGTGGAGAAACGAAGATCGCCAACAAGACAGACAGCTGGGTGACCATGATCCAAGTCTTCGAGTACTTCATCTCTCACCACCAAGCCAAAGCCTTCGAGTCCATCTTCGGTGGTGTCACCTGTCTCCCGGGTTGTTTCACTATGTACCGCATCAAAGCACCCAAGGGCGGCCAGAACTACTGGGTGCCCATCCTGGCAAACCCAGATATCGTCGAGCACTACTCCGAGAACGTAGTCGACACCCTGCACAAGAAGAACCTGCTCCTCCTCGGAGAGGATCGCTACTTGACCACCCTCATGTTGAAGACCTTCCCCAAGCGCAAACAGATCTTCGTCCCACAAGCGGTGTGCAAGACCGTCGTCCCAGACGCATTCATGGTCCTGCTTTCCCAACGCCGTCGCTGGATCAACAGTACTGTGCACAACCTCTTCGAACTAGTCCTGGTCCGCGACTTGTGCGGTACCTTCTGCTTCAGCATGCAATTCGTCATTTTCATCGAGTTGGTCGGAACCTTGGTCCTACCCGCCGCCATCTCCTTCACCATATACGTCGTCATTTCCTCTATTGTCAGAAGACCAGTCCAGGTCATTCCTCTCGTCCTGCTCGCCCTCATCCTGGGTCTACCTGGTGTCTTAATCGTCGTTACCGCCCACCGCCTCGTCTACGTCCTGTGGATGTTGATCTACCTCATCTCCCTACCAATCTGGAACTTCGTCCTACCAACCTACGCATTCTGGAAATTCGACGACTTCAGCTGGGGTGATACTCGCAAAACTGCTGGTGAAAAAGACAAGGGCCACGGCGACGCCGAGGGTGAGTTCGACAGCACGAAGATTACGATGAAGCGGTGGCGCGATTTCGAAAAAGGTGAGTTTAGTTCCCACGCTTTCTTGCGCCGGTGCGCGTGAAGTATAATTAAAGTATAAATTACTGACATGTTCTCAGAACGCCGCCTGCGCAATACTGCATGGGCGCAATCCCATGGTCCTACGGAGGGATACCCATCGCACTATGAGACGTATTCACACTATTAACGAAAGCGAAAGCGGAATTTTCATTATGTATTCTTTTTATTCTTTTATTTTCTGGAATTGTTTCCCCTGGTCTCGGGGTTCGTTGTGATTTATTGTATCATTTACATACTGGCGTTCACACATTCATATAATACAGTCCGGGCGGGCTTTACTTTGCGCACGAGTACGAGACGAGAGACGAGTGATATTCAATTCTGTTGATTAGTTATGTACAGCGATTAAACGGTACTTTTACGATCTGATACAGAGTACTACAAATGATATGGAATTTGAATATAAAATATGATATGAGATTATCCCCTTGCAACCCTTGGCCCTCGGCTGTGTACTGTAAGATGTCAGACTAATGCCCGACATCAGCACCTGATTGGATCATGCACAGGATCACTATTCCAAAGTGCACCATGCTCTTCCCTGTCCGCATAAGCTCTCAGCCTCTCCAGGGCTGCCACTCTGGCCTTTTACAGGCTCTTCGGCCCAAGCTGTGCCTAACAGGATCAAAGCGCAGGTCACCAGGCTTGCCCGGCTTAGATCTGCAGTGCGTCGCTCCCTGCGTTATTATTTACATATGCGAGGTTCTGTCACCTTAGTTATATCCTTGGATTTTCTATGCTCTATAAAACTTTGGAATCTATGGGGAGTGCTGACTAACGAATCCTTGCTCCCGGAGCCCCTCCTGTAATTCTATCTGTCACCTGCAGCCTACCTGTACGTCCTCTGTAGTCTGGACGCATTTTAACATCTCGTCCCCCGCGTCATCTTACATTCTCGGGCTCTCCACGTTCCCACTGCCACGTTCTGAATAGACAATTTCATCCCTGGGATCTCCCCCTGGCCCCTCGATACGGAAAAGTCTACCGCTTTGTCTGGCCCCTCGAGTCCGGCGTTTCATAGCTAAATCTTTCCTTCTACTTTGATTACTTCCCCTCTCAGCTTCTGTCGCGGTTGACTCGGCATACTGTCTCGGCCGCATCCCTGTGGACGTACGCCACGCAGTGTGGGGACGAGTCAGCAGTCAGCTTTGAGGCGACCGACGTCAAAGCAGCCATCGTCAGATCCCGGCTTTAACCTCTACCCACTTTAGCTTGTGCAACCCTTGCCCTGGCTCGTGATTGTGATCGCAACCGTCACTCTCACTCTCACTGCCACAGTCACTGCCGTGAGTTCCAATATCTCGGCAAGATTCCCTTTTCGGTATATGGCGGGCGATGCTTCATTCCTGTGATTCGAATCGCCCGTCATCCCACCACCACCCTCGTCGCGATACGACATGCCATGTGTCATGTGATATTGAGAGGTCCCCGCGAGTCATGAATCCTTCTTCGCATTCTTCCAGAAATCGATCCTCCGTCCCGGAAGACGATTCGACCTTGCACTCGGATATCTTTTCCCACGCCGATCATTCTGCGCAGACGAATATGGCCTCCGACGTCGATCGCCGTTTACATGATGTCGGCGTCGCCGCCCTTGCGGCTGTTTCGCAGTATCCTCGCCCCGTAAATGATCACAGCGGGTCGTTTTTAGTTTCTGAGGTCGTTAACGCTGTTACTGGTGCTGGTAGTCCTCCGAATTTTCACGTTTTCAGAGGGAACTCCCTCCTACCTGGGCATAGGAGTTTTTACCCAACACCATCTGACACGGATAGTGCTTCGGGGCCGGATTTTGTTTTTGGATCGCGTCCCGATCGTGATGTTAATATGGACTCGGTTGTTCGGCAGTTACTTGATCGCGCCGCTGGTCATGACAATATGACCATGATTACGCAGGAATGCGACGATAGTGCGCGCGACAAAGATATGGTTATGGATTACGAGTCCGATGCCGGCGAAGAGAATCCTTCTCCGCCTTCTATTCCAGATGATGAGTTTGAGGACTTTATCCGATTCTATCCGGACGAGGAGGAATACTACCATCAACGCAGAGGTCGTCCGACCGAGGCTCCCCCGATGGCGGATTTCGACCTCAATGACTTTTATCTCAATATCAACTACGATGATATCGATGTGGATCTACCCCAGACGCTTGGCATCCCAGTTTTAGATCCCTCTGATACCCCGGACTTTGCTGATCAGCCGGAATTCCCTGGACCTCACCCGGCATCTATCATTCACACCTCTACGTACGAACGCAACCTCACCATTGATGAGTTCATCCAGCGCTGGATGGTCCAAACCAATGTTATCCCCCACGGCTTCCACAGCGAAAGCAGGATCCCACCACAGCTCCGCCCATTGTCCAAGATGATTAGTTGGAGTCCGCCACAGACGGTCGTTCGGCCGCATGAATGGAGGCGCGACTTTTACGATTTGCAGCAGATTCCTTGGACGGAAACGCTGCGTGTCAAACGCTCCGATGCTCGAACACTGCGTGATGCTTGGTACACATCATACCATAACTTGGATTATTCGCATATGAGCCATGCCAAGCGACTTCCGGGAAAAGAGTCATTCTTCCGCGGGACCTCCATGCACACTTCATACAAAGCCTCCATCGAGCATTTCCAACTCCGCAACTTGATCTCCACCCCAGCATCCAATACTGTCCATTTCGCATGTCATTCCAAGGTACTATCGTGGACACCAACAACCGGCGACGCACGCTGCCTCATCGATCTAAGCCAAGCAGACCCAGACTCCGGCTTCCTAGGGCCAGTCAAGATATCAACAATGAAAACAGCCCACGGCCTCACAATCGCCGGCGGTTTCTGCGGCGAATACGCCCTCCGCAGCTCAACCGGCTCCGGCTCCGGCACAAAAGGCCTAGTGACCCCCGACTTTAACGACGGCATAACAAACCATGTAGACATAATCCCAAACCGAACGGGCCCCTCCCCAATCGGTGTCTTCGCCTCAAACGACAAACACCTTCGCATCCTCGACACAGAGACAAACATCTTCACCTCGGACCACGAACTCTCCCAACCAATAAACTGTACCGCAACCTCGCCCGACAGCCGCCTCCGGGTCGTAATCGGCGACTCGCCAGACGCATGGGTCATAGAATCCGACACCGGCCGGCCAGTCCACCCCCTCCGCGGCCACCGCGACTTCGGCTTCGCCTGCGCCTGGTCCCCGGATATGCGCCATATAGCAACAAGCAACCAGGACAAAACACTCATCATCTGGGACGCGCGCACGTGGCGACCCCTCGAAACAATCGACTCCGACGTGGCAGGCTATAGATCTCTACGTTTTTCGCCTGTCGGCGGTGGTCCGCGGATGTTGCTGTGCACTGAGCCAGCGGATCGAATTTCAATTCTGGACGCACAACTCTTCCAATCGAGACAGGTTCATGATTTCTTTGGGGAGATTGGTGGTGCGGATTTCTCACCTGATGGCTCGGAGATTTGGGTTGCGAATACTGATCGCCATTTCGGTGGCTTCATGCAGTATGAGCGGAGGCAGTGGGGGCAGCGGGTTGGGTTGACGGATTTGCCTAGTGAGTGGGCGAGTGAGGTTGAGTTGGAGGAGGATTCGCGGTGTGTGTTGAGTGCGCGTGAGAGGTCGTTGCGCTTTTTGAGGAATTTGTCGAGTGATGAGCATGAGGCTTTGATTCTTTGAGGATACTCTTTTTTTTTTTCCCTTCATTTATTTTGTTTTATGTCCTGGATTGGTCTTTTTGAGCTTTTCATCTGCATCTGATACCCTGGTCTCGGCGTTGGTGGTCTGTTTTTGTGTTGTTTGTGATTCATAGAGTACTTGGATGTGGATGTCTCTTAAGTTACATAGTTATATACAATTACTATGCGTAACGTACCTTGCCTGCGCCTACGGACTCGATCTACCCTAACTATCACTACTACTAGTGCTACTACCAACCTCTAACCATGCCATAGCCAACAAGTAAATCAATATTCTTCCTAAACCCAATAATCAGCCCTAAACAGCTAAACAACCCCATAATTGGCCCACCACCGATCAATCGCCTCTCACAACGTAAACAAGCCCCGCAGCCCCTCCACCCCTCCTCAGCTGAGCTCACTTCCCTGTGATTCCTTCTTTCCACTTCTCTTTTTCCTCTACCATCTTCCATCTTCATCTTTCATCTACCTCCTTCAACACAACCACCTCCTCAATCAATATGTCCTACGGAAACCAGGAATACGGCGGCGGCTCAGGCGGTAACAACTACTACGACCAGAGCCAAGATTTCTCCGGCCGCAACGAATCCCACGGAAACCAGGGCTACGGCGGTTCCAGCGGTGGCTACGGCGGGAACCAAAACCAGGGTAGCTACGGTGGTGGTGGTCGTCAGGAAGAATCCTACGGCAACCAGAACCAGTACCAGAACCAGAACCAAGGTGGCTACGGCGGCCGCCAGGAATCGAACTACGGTGGAAACAACAGCTACGGTGGAAACCAGGGTGGCTACAACAACCAAGGCAGCAGCTCCGGCTACGGCGAACAAACCCAATCCCACCACAACCGCCGCAACAGCAACAGCAACAACAGCGACGACGACTTCAGCAGCGCGGCGCAACACGCACAGGAACACCACGACAGCGGTGCATCCGGGTCTCTCTTCAACTCTGCATTGGATTTCATTAAGGAGCGGAAGAGTCAGTATAATGATTCTGAGGTTGATGAGGAGCATGCTGTGAAGTCGCACCAGGCTATGTATGGCTCTGGGTCTGGGTCTAGTTCTGGACAGCATGATAGCCAGACTCTTGGCGCCGGCGCTGCTATGCAGGCTTTGAAGATGTTTACCGGTGGTTCGAGTTCCGGGTCTGATGGCGGTATGGATAAGAATAAGTTGATTGGGCTTGCTATGGCTCAGGCTGGGAAATTGTGGGAGGAGAAGAATAGTTCTGGGAGTGTGGTATGTTTTCTCTCTTTCTCTCTTTCTCTCTTTTTGGTTATTGTGACTTGGTTGCTAACTGTTGTTGTGGTTTAGTCTGGTGATAAGCAGTCTGCTGTTAACAATGCTGCCGAGATGGCTCTTAAGATGTACATGAAGAGTCAGGGTGGTGGTATTGGTGGTACTGGTGGTCCCAGTGGATTGATGGGTTTGGCGAGCAAGTTCCTCTTATAAGGGATGTATGCTTAGCATAGCTTGATTTTATTTCATTGTATGTAGTTCGACATGTGGCCAGCATCAAAATGAATATGAACTTGTATTTCTCTCCATTGGCATAAAACTGAGAAACGGTATATATTGAACTGAATGGAATGGAATCTACGGTAAAACACAAGGCCACCAAAGTAAGCCAATAACAAAACTGGAACAAAGACTCGCTGCCTCTTGTCGACGAACACATACACACACATCCATACCACACAGCCAGCATGGAAACTCGAGAAAAGATAAACGCAAAGGTCAACGCTAAGCGCAGAAAAAGTCCAACACCGCGACCGACCATAAACACACGCGAATGCTCAAAACTACCACTCGTCGTCGTCATCGTGTTTGCCCTGCATGGCGCTCTGCCGTGCCCGTAACGCTTCAGCAAGACCACCTGCCAGACTGGCGTTTGATGCGCTGTTGGGTGTGCCGCGGCCACTGGCGCCAGAGGAGTCGCCTGAGTTCATGCTCGTGGTGCTATCCCTAGGTGCGGGTGGAGGTGCGGGCTTGCGGCCGGCCATGTTGGGTCGTTTGGCGGGAGGGGCTGGCGGGGCGGGCTTGCTCTTGGCGGCTGCGACTGCGCCGTTAGGGGTAGGGCTGGGGGTTGCACGGGGTGCCGCTGGGGGTGGAGGGGGTGCGGGTTTAGGCGTGGGAGCGACAGCTACCTCTTCAAGGTAGGCTTCGGGGGTCCAGCCTTGCGTAGAGGTTGTTGTGTTCATGCACAGCCACCAACCTGGGATAATTAGTATTATATTGTCAGAGTAGAGGAATGTACGTACCGTTTCCTTCCTTGGACACAATCTGTACGATTTCGCCTGTGCGGATGGAAAGCTCGTTGGCCCGGTCGCTGTTAAAGTCATACTTGACCTTCGCAGTGGGCTTCTTTGCAGCTGGAGGTGCCGCGGGGGGAGGTGGTGGCGGGGCTCTCATAGAGCCAGTGGACTCGTTGCGGGTGTGGGCAGCGGCCGCAGCTGCCACGGGTTGAGGCACAATCCGCGACTGGGTTGCAGGCTGCGGTACTGCTGCGGGCTGTGGGGTAGGCCGAGGTAGAGGTTGCGCGGCAGGGACAGGTCTGCGAGCAGCCTGGGACAGTTTCGAGGGACCGCCACCAGGGCCACCGGGGCGGAGGAGTTTGCCCTTGGTGACTGGGCGGGCAGCAACTGCCTTTGGTCGTGGGGTAGGCTTCGAGACAGAGCTGGGAGGTTCACCAGCACTGGTATGAATAGTGCTACTTTTGTAGCTGTCGACATTCCCAGCAGCCGGGTCCTTAACCGCCTTGACCATAGCCAACTTGCCAGGTTTCTTGTTGTATTCAATGCTCTCTCCGACCTTCAAAGTGAGAGAGCCACGCAGAACGGTGGTGAGGTGGGTGAAGAACTCGGTCTTGAAGACACAGTTGAGCAGAGGATCGGGCTCCTGGGCTCCGATAACCAACGAGAACCAGTCATCCTTGAGATTCGAGGTGCTGACACTCTTGATAGCTCCAACAGGGATGGTTCGTTCCGAGGCGATGACAAGCTGGTTGTTGACAATGCTCTGCGATACAATGAAGACATGTCGGCTCGTCAATACCAGAATCCGAGGAACTGGCTTGCTGGAACGACCAAACTTGGAAAGCAAGAGCTCGGCACGGCAAGAGAAAACTATGTCCTCTGAACCGCTGATGCCTGCACCATTACGGATCATTTCACCAGGACCACCAGCGTTGCCAACGCCGAGGTAATCACCGAGGAAGCGTCGAGAGCCTAACAGACTCATTCTCCGGCGCTCTTTGCGGCCCTGGAGCACTTGGTGCCCTTGGTCACGAACCTTGATGAGCTCGAGTCCACCGTTCATGCGGCGCCAGAAGCGCTGGATACGGATCGCACATTCGATGCGGTACCTGAGGTAGTTTCTCCAGGCGCGCTGAATGCGAATGGCCATGTTGTGCCAGTACTTGTCACGCATGGCTTCAAGTGCGAACAGCGTCTCGGGAGTCTTGACGAACACCTTGGTAATACCCATTTGGTACTCCTCAGCGGGAATACGGGTGTCCTTCAAAATCTGCTTAGCACCAGTTTCCACATCACCACTCCATGTGTAGTCACCGGCGTAGGAGGTCTTGGGGGATAGAAGGTAGAATCGTTCAACAAATTTGTCAAACGTTTGACGGTAGGCAAAACCAGCACGACGAATGCGAACGTTCTCTTGAAGACCAAGGTACTTGATCTGGTGCAGAACATTGCCAACATTGTACTCCTTGGGAGCCTTGTTGTCGTTGGGCTTGATGGTACGGATGTAAGAAGGCTGCGCCTTCATGAGCGTGGCCACAAGATCATTAGCAGATGCCTTGATCTTGTCACCAGCGGTAGGCGGGCGACGCTTGTCATCCTGGTTAACCTGGTTGGGGAACAGAGTGTGAACGAATTCATTACTACTCGATTGAGCGAGATTCAACAAGTCCTTCAACAACTGGTCCTTGTTTTTGTCCGTCATTCCCTCAACAGCGTAACTGACATCACCTGCGTAATGCTTAATGATGAACTGGCCCTGGCGACCCTCGAAGTTGGGGTTCTGAGACAGGAAGTTCAATCTGCCAACAAAGGTATTATCCGCAGCACCGGAATCGGCGTGGGCAGTTGCGCAAGCATCGTTCAAGGCAGCGAAGACACCAGGAGGACGCTTGTCCTCGATCAACGAACACACCACCTTGTTGTCGAAGTACTTGATTGGGGTCCACTTGATCTCCTCGCGAGCATACTCATCCTGCTCGGCCTTCAGGGTCAACTGAATGAAAATCTGCTGCAACTTTTCATTGACGTAGTTGATGCAAAGTTGTTCGAACGAGTTCTTCTCAAAGATCTCGAATCCGTAAATATCCAGAATACCGATCGAGTTGCTGATAGACCCACGAGCAGTCAGTGACTGATTGACGCGACCCACGATCCAATCAAACAGGTTGAAGTAGATTCCCTTGGACAAAGCGTCCCGAACGGCGGAGGCTTGGACTGTGTTGAGTGGCACCTCGTAAACAGAACCTCTGCGGCCTCCTCGAGCGGTCTCCATCAGGCGAATTGTCAGAGCCTTGTTCACTTGGTCGGCATCAACCTCCAGCAAATAGGCAACAAAATCGACAACCGACTGATCGGTAATCGTAGCATTGCCAGAGTCATCCTCGCTGAACTGAACATTACCGATCCATAGAATAGCGGCCAGCATGCGGAACACATTGTCCTGTTCTGCGTCGCTCATTCCAATAATCTTCATCGCATCCAATGTATCCTTGAACTCGGCAACATCGTCGACTCCGGGCACATCGAAACACTTCGAACGACTCGTGTAAAGGTATGATTGCGGCTGCTGTAGACCGAAGTTGTCCCGGTACTTTTGTGGGGCGCCCTTGGTGAGCTGGTAGAAAATGTGGAAGTTTCGCTCGTTCGCGATCTGGCCAACGACTCGGGACTTCTCCAGTAAGTAGTTCGTAATATTGGCACCCACCGGCTCGCCGTTGGCATTGAACTCCAATTCCAGGTACTTGCCGAATCGCGACGAGTTGTTGTTGCGCAGGGTCTTCGCATTACCAAAAGACTCCAGTAAGGGATTTGTCGCTAACACCATGTCCTTGGTCTGCTGAATAGAGGAATCGCCGCCGCCAGACACGCTGGCAATGTATTGCATGATCCGCTTGGCTGCCTCCGTCTTTCCGGCACCGGATTCACCGGAAATAATAACACACTGGTTGTCCTTGTAGGACTTCATATTGTAGTATGCCGATTCGGCGACTCCGAATACATGAGGAGGAACTTCGAGACGGTTCTTGCCGCGGTACGAATCGAGAACATTATCGGTGTAGATGCCCACTGGATCGCACTGTCAGCAAAGCAGTCAACCTCACCGCGGAGCAACTTACGATCTCGGAAAGGATTCACAGAGACCAGCACATGGCCAATGTAGGTCTAAACATCTCCCGTCAGCCTGTACTCGTGTTCGCGCTCAACCCCGCAGTCCGCGTGCGAAAGCCGATCCCTTACATAAATCTCGTCATGCTCAAACCGGAGCTTCAAATTGTCGTTGATGGCCTCGTTGGAGATCTTGCTGAGTAGAGTAAGATCTGACACTCCGATCTCCTTCTTCTTGCTGCTCTCGAACGTGGCCTTCTTGACCTGCGGCTTGCCCCCCGCTTGCCGGCCATCGCCAACGTCGGCGACTGCTTTGGACCGCCCGAAGCGGCTCTTCTTCTCCCCACCTGCGGGGCGTCGTGACTGACCCTGTTCCGCAATCGGGTCAGTGTGGTGCTCTCATTGCGGTCACAGTAGGCCTACCATCTTGTGTCAAGCTCTCGGGATGTCGCGCCCAGGCGACAAATGCAAATATGACCTGTCAACTGCGCAGGTATTGGAGGAATTGAAAGAGTGTACAAAGAGTGTAGTGTGTAGAGTCGAGCAAGTGTGTGTAGAGAGGAATGGGTGACTGGGGGACTTACGTACGACCAGTCAAACGGAGACAAACACTGCGCCACACCAGGGTCTTCCGATTGCTGCCTCAGGGGGGCAAATCAGACGCCGTATGGCTCGGGTTTCTACGATTATTCAGACTTCTCCTCCACTCACATTGCTTTCCTCTGTTAATTCTTTCCGACCGCCACGCGCGTCACGGCTTTGTGGCTAATGCGGGTCAAGAATAGAAGCCCCGACGTCATTGGGCATAATCCTTCAAACATACTGCCTAATCAGCCACAATCATTGCAATTGGGCTTCAAGTTCTTGGCCCAAGGGTATGGACATTGTATGTATAAAATAGGGTTCTAGATCGTAATATGTCGATTTCTGTAAATATATTTATACGGTGGCTCTTCCGCCAGGGTAGGAACGACATGTTCAAAGAGAAATCATGTAGATGGAAGATACGGAATGGTAGCAGCAGGACGTAATGAGAGAAACCGTAGGGATGGGTACGAAGACTATTAAAGAGGAGTTAATTTGAAGCCTGACCGTGAGTCTATATATATCAACAAAGAGGGGGGAGTATATCAACAATTAACCCCGCCAGAAATTGCAGAGCAATAACCTCTCCAAGGCTCATAGTTGAAGCGAGGAAAGAAGTCCTCGTCTTTGAATGTGACAGGGTATCTAGATAGAAACAAAAAAATCATATGCACGCCGACCTTCTATGGCAGGATATCGGTATGTACCAAACGCTACGATCAATCCAACATATATCACGAGCTCTTTGGCGCAGACACCGGCGCAGACACTGGCACTTTCTTGGTAGAAGCAGCGGGTTTCGGTGAAGGCTCTGTCGATCCAGGCTTGTCTGATGCGGGTTGGGCATTAGGTGCAGCCGGGGTTTCAGACGGCTCGGCACTTTGACTGAAGAACACATAAGATGCAATGCGCGAGAACCATCCCTGAGGGACCTCTGGTGATTCCACTTCTGGGGCTTGCTCATAGATCTCTTTCGGTAGAATCCTGTTCGTCGGCAACTTGGGTAGCTCTCCGTGCTTAGCTCTGAGTTGTAGCAACTCCTTTTCTAGAGCCACCAGAGCTCCGCGCGCGGCCTGCCCCGATTGTTCCAACTCAACCAATCTCCCCTCAACATCTGATCGTCGCGTGCTTTCCTTCTGCCGTGAGCGCCATGACTCGAAGAGAATCAGACCTCCCGCAACAAGGAAAAGGAAGGACTCGGAGATGAAATTGGCGCCGGACTCGATGGCTTTCGATTCGGAGAGGGGTCGGATACGATAGTGCTGGGGTTTGGCCGCTTCTTCGGCTGCAGCTTTGGCTTTGGCTTCTGCCTCCTCAGCAGCCTTGGTCTCTGCGGCATTCTTGACGGTCGGCGAGGTAGGCTTGAGTTTCCTAGCTGCAGCTTCGGCCGCAGCTTGTCTTTGTGAAGCTGCAGTGTCGCGTATGGATCCTAATCGAAGGCGCATATCAAATCTGTGAAGGGCCTGCGCCATCGAGACGCAGATCTTGCGGAACCGCTCATGTTCACGGGCTTGGGCTTTGATTTGACTCTGCGTTTGGTCAGCTTGAAGATTAACCATCAGTGGGAGGGCAAACTTACAGCAATAGGCTTGGACAAGGTCCTAATTGCCAAGGAGGAGAGCTTCAGTGTTAAGGACATGGTATTCTGTAGAGAGAAGTGAAGCTTGAGTCACTTTCTTACATCAGATCCAGGCACCGCTGACTCATCCAGTGGTCCGGGCTTTCCAAGTTGCCAATTACATGTACGAGGATATCTCGATACACTTCAAGGTCGCTCAATTCTATCGCATTCATTGTTGATCAGCTGGAAATGCACATGTGCATCTTCTATCTTGCTAAATCGTTGCAACCAACCCCAAAGAAGCACTCCACTCAATCTCTGACCTGGATCCTTGGCTGCAGATCTGCTTGGCTCCAAAGTCAAACGCGATTTACGTTGGTATAAGCAAAATGTGAAACTCGACAGGAGTGGACCTCTCGGAGACCTCCGAATGCCTGAACTGAATCCTTCCCAGTCCGGATACCATTTCCGGGGGGGAAGGGGGTTGTTCGTTCGCCTCGACAAAATGATAATACGAACATGCAGGTATTGAGCCAATCACCTCATGCATGCATTCCCAACATCACTCGGAAATTCCGTTCAATTGAGACATCCCTTTGCTTCACGCAAGCTTCTCAAGCCGCAGCCTCCGTTCCGAGATAAGAATTAATTAGCTTCCCTCATCAACCACTCAAATGGTGTGATTAGATCTCTAGCGGGGAAGTCTTTTCTACACTGGATTTGCCCTCACAATTTCTTCCCTCAGACAACATGGCAGATTTTGGGGGTCTTCCCAAGACAGAGAGCAGGTACACCGTGCAAGATGTGGAATATCAACTACCCCCACATTCAGGTCCATCTAGGGCCATAATCCCTGACGATGGACAGATCGTTACCCAGCATGAACGCCAAAGCCTGATTCGGGGCCTGGGCCAGCGCCATATTCAGATGATTGCCATTGCGGGTGCAATTGTATGTGAGGTTGATGTTTCTCTTCGCTTTCTCGTCTAACTATAACATAGGGAACTGGTCTTTTCCTCGGTCTTGGTGGGTCAATCGCTACTGGTGGTCCACTAGGTGCCCTGTTAGGCTACATGTTGGTGGGTATAGTCGTCTGCTGCATTCAATTTGCCCTGGGTGAAGTCGCAGCACTGCTCCCGGTTACTGGATCCTTTGTCCGACATGCAGAGGTCCTCGTCGACCCGGCGCTTTCATTCGCGATCGGATGGAACGTTGTGTATGGATGCTTTATCAGTGTTCCGAGTGAAATTTCCGCCAGTGTAGTCCTGATCCAGTACTGGACAGACATCAACGCAGCTGTGTGGGTGACTATCCTCATCGTGGTCTCTGTGGTGGTCGCTATTTCATTCATTCGCGTCTATGGCGAGATTGAGTTTATCTTCGCCATATTGAAGATCCTCCTCGTCATCTTCGTGGTTATTTTGGGCCTCGTTATTGACCTTGGTGGTGTGCCCGGTGTTTCGCGAAAGGGATTCCATTACTGGAAAGAGCCTGGCCCGTTCGTTGAGTTCATCGCCCAGGGTTCTTGGGGCCACTTCCTTGGCTTTTGGGCTGTCATGACCAACGCTGTGTATTCGTTCGCCGGCGTTGAATCCCTCGCCATGGCCGCTGCCGAAACGAAGAATCCGCGGCAAAACATCCCAAAGGCCTGTAAGAGGGTCTTTGTTCGTGTATCCCTTTTCTATCTCGCTGCCGTGCTCATTGTGGGCATGTTGGTTTCCAGTGCGGATGATCGTCTTGGTAACGACTCCGGTACCGCGGCAACGAGTCCGTTCGTTATTGCTGCTGGTGATGCAGGCATCAAAGCCATTCCATCAGTTGTGAACGCTGTCTGCTTGACATCTGCGTGGTCTGCTTCCAATCAGAGTATCTTGGCGGGAACAAGAACGCTCTATGGTCTTGCCATTAAAGGCCATGCACCTAAGATCTTCCTGCGGACTAGCAAGTGGGGAGTGCCGTACATGTGTGTATTGCTGCAGGTTCTTTTCTCTCTTCTCGCCTACATGTGCGTCTCGAACGGTGCCATGAATGTTTTCTGGTGGTTCGTTGATTTGACGGCTGCTGGTACCTTGATCTCATGGATCACTATCGCGCTGAACCATATTCGGCTGTTGCAAGCAATGGACAAGCAGGGCATTCCTGGTACTGCCTTGCCATGGCACAATCGGATTACTAGTGTGTATCTCCGCTACAGTGTCAAAATTAACCATACTGACTCATTCCAGGATACACTAGCTGGTTCGCGTTGATCTCCTGCATCATCATCCTACTGACCGGAGGATTCGAGGTTTTCACGAAAGGAAACTGGGACCCGGCCTCATTTGTGTCGTCGTATCTGTACGTTTTTTATTTCTGCGCATCATTTCCCCGCTAACAACCAACGCAGTGACATTCCTCTCGTTCTCCTTGCATACGGGGGTTACAAACTAATCCGTCGGACCGAGATTATACCACTTAGCCAGGTGCCAGTGCAGCTGGCGATTGATGAAGCAAACAATGACCCGGACAATGTGCCAATCAAGAAAGACAGTGTGTGGGCAAAGATGAACATTCTTTGGGGATGATACGTTTCCTACCACAGGAAGCATCATACTTCCACTGGAGGTTCAGCTAGAGGTGGATGCGAAACTGACAACTTATATGTATAATCAAGATAATACAATGAATACGCGATCTGAATTATTTGTGTTCTACACACGTGGGAGTCATCAACACCCTGACTTCGGGCCACTGCTGTTGTCGGAGTTAACGAAACCAGCACGCATCGCCAAGGACTCGCAACACCAATGGTACAAAAAAATAATACTTTGAAGGATTCCGGACATGTGCAGTATTTCCTTTACCAGCGACTAAGTCCGACGTTGGCGGCCCCGAATAGACAAGGATCCGGAAGCCGTTTAGACTGCAAATCCCGTTATCCCCGAGGAATACGAGTGGAGGACTAGCGCCAAATCAAGACTCCCACTAACCTCTCATGGATCAAACTGGACATCTATATAAAGCTTGGTCGGATGGTCGGTTTTAGTATTCATTCAAACAATTGCAATTCAGTCTTCATATTACTCTTCACTCTTCATTATGTCGGCCTCGAATACCGGTGTCTGGCTCCTCGAAGCGGGTGGCAAGTTCGTCGTCCAGGAAGCTCCTCTGTATATTCCTGGTCCAAATGAGATCCTTGTTAAGAATAAGGCGGTTGCTGTTAACCCGAGTTTGTTATCCTCTGCTTTTTATTTGATAGAACGCTGACTGGCTATGTGACAGTGGACTGGAAGATCCAGCTCTATGGTCCCCATCTACCCTTCCCAAGCAAATATCCATTCGTAAGGGACTCTGACGCAATACATGAGTCCAACTAATCAATACTTCCACTCAGATCCTAGGCGCTGATCTCGCCGGTGAAGTCTACGAAGTAGGCAAAGACGTGACAACATTCAAGAAAGGTGATCGCGTAGCCGGGTAAGATACAGCAAACGCTACATCCACATATAAATTATAGATCTAGCGCAAAGCTTACATTCACACCAGAAACGCAAACTGGTTCCTCTCGCACGAAATCCGAGACAGTGCATACCAAAACTACACAATAATCAACACAGCCGTTGCCGTCCACCTCCCGGACAACATTTCCTTCACAGAAGGAAGCGTCCTCCCCTTAGCAGTAAGCACCTCCGCAATGGGGCTCTACCCGCCAGCTCGCCTAGGTCTCCCTCTTCCCAAGTCTCCAAAGCCAGAGCCTATCGGCAAAGTGATTCTCGTCTGGGGTGGTTCGTCTAGTTGTGGATCTGCCGCTATTCAACTTGCCGTTGCATCGGGTGCTACTGTCGTTGCTACGGCTTCGAGTAAGAACCATGAGTTTGTGAGGTCGTTGGGTGCGATCGCTGTTTTGGAGTATAAGAGTGAGACTGTTGTTCAGGATTTGGTTGATGCTGTTAAGAGTGCTGGGGGTGAGTTTTTGGGAGCTTTGGATGCTATTGGTGATGATCAGACTTGGAAGTTGTGTGTCGATGTTGTGCTGGGTCTTGGGTGTGGAAGGATCGTTAGTAATAATCCGAGAATTGCGGATGTTCCTGAGGGGGTTGAGGTCCTTGGTGGTAAGTTGTTCTTTTCTTTTGTGTCTTCATTGGAGGTGTGAGATGTTCGGTTATGAGGCTCATGCTGATGATTGTTGGTAGTGACTGATACCGCGAATATCGGTGATAACAAGGAGATTGTGGAGAGTGTTTGGGGGACGTTCCTTCCTGAGGCTTTGAAGGATGGGACTATTAAGTGTGTTCCTGAGGCTGTGGTGTTGAAGGGGTTGGATAAAGTTGCTGAGGGCGTTGCTCTATGCCAAAAGGGAGTTTCCGCTGCGAAGGTTGTCGTGGAGCTTTGATTTACCCCAGATCCACTCTTGAGTCTGGCGTTGAGAATGTTGCTATAGTCTGACCATAGGACAAGTCCATTGGATTCATTTTCGATTATTGGCTTTTACTTGTTCTTATTTCATCGCGAAGCGCAGTGATCAACATGTGTCCAGCCCCTTGCTTCATGATCACGATCCTTCTCTTTCATAAGCGGAGTTAATATCCTGAGATATAGCTGCAATCATGTAATTGAGTAGTGGCATCCAAATCCGTAAAGCTCGCATTGTAGGAACTGTGGGGGTTATCCCATATTATCAGACCTTCAGGTAGAGGAACTATAGATCCTACAGCGGTTTTACGAGACGAAAACTACTCAAAGTCCCTAACAAGGCCCAGAGTGACATGATATGTATTGTTTTCCAATAGAGCTCTATCATGACCGCAAACAAAGCAAATGTTCCTGAGGCAGGTCAAGAATTTTTGATATTATTCTCGTTGATCTCAACGGATTCATAGAGGGGTTTTAAGGTTTCATGTAAACAAACGAAAATATATATCATGGCAACGGAACTCCACAACAAGCCAAGCTTGATAGTCTTTAGTAACAGACAATAATCCAAGCGACTGTATCATATACTTACAGACTATCTAACATATAAATAATATTCGAAGACATAACAATCAAGGGTAAACGTATGGGATGGCCGACACGTGACCTCGGGACTGTTTATCGATTTCCGCATTGAGCAAACTGTTATGGTCTTCTCTTCCTCCACTTCCAACCCTCAATTGAGGCGCCGTTGTTTTTTTCGGAGCTCTGTACAGTTTTGCTTCTTTAGCGATTTGCATTCCAGTACGCCTTTCTCCTATCCCGCACTTGTTCCCGTCTCAACCGACTGGCTTCGGGTTGCCGACTGTAAAGCGGATTCTGACTTGACAGTTGCAGGGATACCAATCTTGCACCAACTTGATACCCTAGAGAACCACCACTTAATACCCTTTTTTTACGACTTGACGCTCGATACCCTTTGTCTGCGCACCTTCGGACCTCTGCGATACAATAATTCGACAACTGCTATAGAAAGAACGACCCGATGAGAATGGAGGCCCTTTCCCCACGCACTACGAACCAGATGATAAAGCCCAAACTTGTCATGGATCGTAAGGCTTTCGACAAGAATACTGCACCGCCAAGCGCGCAAACAAAATCCTCATCAGCCAAGAATCACGCCGAACCGCCGCCATCAATAGTTTCGGAGCCGGAAGATGGCGGGGAGCGATACTCGATAGGCGCATTTCTGGGGAAAGGTGGATTTGCTGTCTGTTATGAGGGTGCATTGGCGCGCAACGGTCGGGTGTATGCCATGAAAGTGGTAAAATCACAGATGCCTCAGAAAAAGATGGAGGAGAAGGTATGCCAAACATGTGGTCTCGGTAGTCGACAGGGTTCTGACCTTTTTTTTCGCAGTTTCGGACCGAACTTCAAATTCACTCTAAAATGCGTCATCCTTTTATCGTTCAATTTTACCGTGCATTCGCCTTTGAATCCAGCACATACGTCGTCCTAGAGCTATGTCCCAACGGGTCGGTGATGGATATGGTACGGAAACGTCGGTGTCTAAGCTTGCCCGAGGTGCGACGATTCATGATTCAGCTTTGCGCGGCAGTCAAATATCTTCACAAGCGATTTGTCGCACACCGCGACCTGAAAATGGGGAACCTGTTCCTAGATCACAATATGAACATCAAAGTTGGAGATTTTGGACTTGCGGCGATGATTCTCTCAGACAAGGATGCAAAGCGACGAAACACGCTATGTGGGACCCCCAACTACATTGCCCCTGAAGTCCTTGATAAGAGCAAAGGTGGCCATACACAAAAAGTGGACATTTGGTCATTGGGTGTTATTTGCTTTGCCATGCTCACTGGATACCCGCCTTTCCAATCAAAAACACAAGAAGAAATTTACAAAAAGGTCCGAAACTTGAGCTATGCCTGGCCCAAGGAATCGGACACCAACAACTTCATTCCGGAAGAAGCGAAGGACCTTGTTACAAGCTGCTTGAACCTGGTTGATGAGGAACGGCCAGATCCGGATGACATTGTTGAACACCCATTTTTCAACATGTACGATGGCTGCATTCCCCGCCAATTGGATGCAGGTTGTCGTTACAATAAGCCATTATGGCTCAAGGATGCTTCACCACGGGGTGATTGTATGATGGGTGGCTACGGCTTGGATTCCGACGAAAAGCTTCGTGCCTATGTGTACCAAGTGGACGACCCCAGTCAGCGGTACCATTCCTGTAAGGCTGCTTTCTACTCTCTCTGTGGAGTTGGAAAGAAGCCCGACGGAACGGCTCGAAAGTCTGTGGGGAGGAACTGCTCTAAGTCAGCCTACGCTGAGTGCGATGCAGAGGACCAGAGAGGTTTGCGTCCAGTTGTTCCGCTGACACCTGACTTTGTTTACCGATGGCCACACGATCTCGATGGGGATTGGTGTCTGTTAGAAACTTCCCGCAAGGTTCGCAGCGAAGAGTCCATGCTTGACAGCAGCACTCTGTCGCGGCGCAGTGTTGCTGTTCGCCCCAACCCCGTGGCAGCTTCAAGAACCAACGCTGCCCTCCTTGCTGCCCAACAAAGGCGCATGGAGGGACAAAGTCATGCCGCAACGCTTCGCCAACAAGCTCGTGTGCCTCCTCTATCTCCCAGAAGGGCACCCGGAATTAGCGATCCTCCTGCCTCATCCAGACCTTACCGTGACGCCCCAGAAGCAGAACCGAAGCCGTCTTTGGCCGCTGAAGTACCCGCTGGTGGTCTAGCGGAACGTCCCATCCGCACACGAAGGCTGGCATCAGCATCTCAAGCAACGACTCTGCGCAGCAAGGAAAAGGATGTCGTTCCTCAATTAACCAAGTCAACAAGCATGCCATCAGGCCTGACTGTAGGCAAAACGCGTTCTCAGTCTCGCAGATTGGCAGCCGCTGACCCGGAATTGCCACAGGCTTCCATCCCAACGAGAGAACGGCAGCCATCTACAATTTCCGAGGAACGCACAGCGATTACCCGCCAGACATCCCTGCGATCCTCGTCGAGGATGGACCCGAAGGCTATCGCGGAGAAATATGAACGACGGAAGGCCAGCCCCGTCGAGGAAAGTGCGCGATCGTCGTCTAGCCAGTCCAAGTCTTCGTCTTCATCTACTGGACTTACCCGATCTGATTCCAATGGAATCAGTCGGTCTAATAGTAAGACAGCCGGTAGGGCCCGCTCCAGCCTAGGATTGAGTCCCCTTTTCCACACTGAAGATCTCTGCGAGCTTCTTCCTAGGACTTCGCTGACCGAAGTGAACACCGACTTGCGTCTGTTGCTGTCGAATTTGGTCAACCACGCGCCCAGTCGTCGACGTGGCGGAGCGAGGAAACAGCCTCATGCCTATGTCATTAAATGGGTTGACTACACAAATCGCTATGGCATCGGGTATGTCTTGGATGACGGTAGTGTTGGATGTGTTTTCAAAGGAGAAAACGGGCAGCCAGCAACAAGTGTCGTGGTTCGAGATGGAGAGAGACACATTCGTCGCAAGGCGCGAAGTGTCGAGGACGGCGACATGAAACCACTGTTTTACTCCGAATCGGATCAGCTTGTTCCTCGCAACGGACGTGCGGTTGAGTTCTACGAAAACAGGGACGATGACTTGTTAGGGTGCCGCGGCATCCGACGAGCAATGATCTCTCCATCACTTTTCGATAAGAGCTCAAAAGCGATGAGAACTCGCACCCAGTCAAGCACTGAACCCGAACGAGCCGATGCAGAGAAGATCAAGCGCATGAAGCTCGTGGACCAATTCGGCAAATACATGATTGGAGCGCTCGGTCGCCATGGTGACGAAGGTATCATGGACGATGACATCCCTCAACAGAATAGCGGCCAGTTCATCAAGTTCTACCAGCGGCTCGGCAATGTTGGAATATGGGGCTTCGGAGACGGCGCCTTCCAGTTCAACTTCCCCGACCACACCAAGCTTGTCATCTCACCAGGCCGCACCCGCAGCTCGTCTCCCTGGATCGACTTCTACCATCTCTCGCCATCCGCCGCCCGATACTTCGCCGCGAAGGGCAAGATGCACTCGAACGGGTTTGACACGCGGGCCGTCGCCTCAGATGAAGCTGCTACATTCCTCAGCATCGCCAACGGCGACTCGGTGAACTCAATCGAAGATCGAATTCGCGATATCTTGGACGCAAACGCCTTCATCCAGAAAATCGCTTTCATCAAAGATACCCTCAAAGTTTGGATCAAACATGGTCGTCTTGGCGGTCGTCCAGCCTCCGCTGACGCCGTCTCCGCCGATCAATCCATGCCAAGAGAAATGTTCTGGCAAGGAACTCAAGAACGATCACAGCCAAATACCCCCGGTACGAAGTTCGTCTGGGTAACAGTCGGTGCACCAGACGGCGATGGCCAATACCGGTCAGTGATGCTGAAAGATAGTGATAGAGAGAGAGTCGCCAAGCGTGCTAGCACGGATTATGAGAAGAATATTGATTTATTGAAAGACAGGCTTGGGGCTCTGGGTCGTTGATTGATGCTGGAAGTCTTTTCTTTTCTACTATTTACTACATTCGCCTTACGATGTTACGACTTTTTGTTTTTTGTCATATGAAATGCTTTCATGTTTATTTTTTGGTTGAGACTGAGGCTGAGGCTTTGATGCTTGGAGGTTTTCGGTGTCTCTTGTTAATAGTGTTTATCGAATTCACTGGTGCTTTGCACGGTTACATGCATGTTGTTCCATTGGGCTCGATCTATTTAGTTTCCTAGCTTTGCTTCTCAGCCTTTGCATACCTATTTGCCGACAGGAACATCTCCATCATTACCATCAGCCAGTGAGTCTACTGATACATTCACATGGACAATCTCCACATATAGGCAAATTTGGTCCTGTGCACTTCCGGGTTCCCATTGTTCATATAACGTTAATACAACTATCATACACATGCTACAAGAATCTAGTTTTGGGCGGGGTTTGGTGAGGCTCAGCCTTAATAAGCATTGTCCATGCACAGTGACAGCCTGGTATTATTTGTACCGGCGCTCTTCCCCTTTCATTTGACCAGATACCAAAATGCGTCTTCTGACTACTTCCAACCTTGAGCTGGTCGAATTCCGTCCGCACGAGATCCCTCCTTATGCCATTCTTTCACATACCTGGGGAAAACATGAGGTTCTATTGCAGGACATGGTCAACCAATCTGCTCAAAGGAAGCCTTCTTTCGCCAAAGTCCGCTCAGCAGTACATCGGGCTAGGAAAGATGGCTTGGAATATGTGTGGGTGGACAATTGCTGCATTGATAAGAGTAGCAGTGCAGAGCTTTCAGAAAGCTTGAATTCGATGTACGCCTGGTATCAGAATGCTGCTATCTGCTATGCGTATCTTTCGGATGTCACAGCAGACATTGATTTCACGGATTCGGACTCAGAATTTGCCCGCAGCTTATGGTTTACGCGTGGTTTCACTCTCCAAGAGCTACTTGCACCTGCTCGGGTCGTCTTCTTTTCTCGTGACTGGATTGCTATTGGGAGTAAGATAGAGCTTCAGGAGTCACTATCCACAATCACCGGTATAAGTGTTCAATATCTTTGCCATCAGGAGCCTATTTTCTCTGCGTGTATAGCCGAACGGATGTCCTGGGCGGCAAAAAGACAGACCTCTCGACCTGAAGATGTCGCATATTGTCTTCTAGGAATTTTCAATGTCAACATGCCACTTCTTTATGGTGAGGGAGAAGAGAAGGCATTCATTCGTCTGCAAGAAGAAATCATGCGACAGTCGGACGACCATTCAATCTTTGCCTGGCGAGAGGACGCACCGTCTGACACCCTTCACGGCCTCCTCGCCCCAACACCTCGACGATTTGCCTTATCACAGGATATTTTCCCTTATGAAAACTGGGAGGTGCTGCCTCCCCACACAATGACGAACCGAGGTCTACGCATCGATCTTCGCTTAGTAAAGTCGCCCCACGAGCGAGACATTTACATTGCGGCCCTCAACTGTCCTATGCCTCCTATGTTTGCAGACAACACCTTTGTGGGCATCTATCTCAAAAAGCTCTCTTCTGGCGACGAGCAATATGCCCGCGTGCGAGCACATGATTTCGTCGAGTTCCACACACACAGAGCGGATTTGCAGACCATTTTCGTTCGACAGATGGTGAGAAGTGTACCAGAGGTGCACAGAGCTCTATTTCCGTACCACAGATTTCATCTCCGAGAAGGAACCACATCCATCGGGTGGGTATCGCATCGTGGATACTTTCCCCAGATCTATGTCTAATATGAAGCAATTCGGCGAATTGAGCACTGATTCAGCACCGACACCCGAATTCATCAAGTCATCAAATGAGGCGGTTAGAAAATGGGCGAACACGAGTCACCGCCGTAGTTTTCCAATTCAGAAATCACCAAAAAGGCTTTCTGGGGTTGTTTTGTTCAAAAGAGATCCCCGTGACAAGATGTTGTGTGTGATGTTAGGGTCTCTGGGACGGTTCGACGCTGGAGTGGACGTGTCAGAAATTTCGAGCGATTTCATCTCAGGAAAGCTTGAAGACCAATTGATGGATGGGCTCCAGCAATCTTTCGATCCTAAGCCACCAGGGCAAGTCCTCAAATTCGCCAAACACTTCGTCCTAGCCAGCATAGAGACAAGGGTCCACCACGGAGTCAAATGGCATATCATTGATCTGCAGGTGCAGCATGCGGAAGATAGTCTCGCGATCGGAGATATACGTCAGATAAAGGAGCCTCTCCGGATAGATGCTATCGAGCTAGCACAACCTCGGTGCAAGACCAACCAGCAAGTATCACAGCCACAAGGGCCAAAGTTCCAGACCAGGTCATATCAATCTGCGTCACAGCATAAAACGCCAGTCACTTCTAATCGTCATGAGAGCCCCAAAAAGCAAGACAGCAAAAGAAATGCTCCTCTGATTGGGATAGCTCTTGGTGGACTGGTCGGTGGGTTTGTTGGTGTGGATCCGGGTGCAGGAACTGGCGATGGGGGCAATGGTGGCGGAGGTTGTGGGTAATGGAATTGTTCTAGTTCTTACACTCATCTTTGATACAGTACCCTTTTGACACGAGCTGAAGCGAAAAGTCCACGAATTGGACTACATTGCCCCCAAGGCCGACGGCAGAACTTGGATCCATTGCTGGTTTAAGACTCTCATTCTACGATCACGCGCATCCCAAAACTCGTCCATGGGTCAAGGAGAGGAGCAAAATATTGAGCTACAGCAGATGAACCTCCTAGTTCTTGGCTGGCACATGGCTTCAATCTGCCGGCAAGCGAAGTTCGGGTCCGCAGTCGAATATCGCTATATTGAGCGATTACTTAAGGATTTCACCCCAAATTAAGCAAAAGCCTATCGGGTCGCAAGCGTTTCGATACTAAATGCGAGAAGAATGCGTTTATCAACTGGGTTGTTTCCCTGGAGTGCGAGATAAATAGTATACCACCACGCAATATCTACAATTTTGATGGAACTAGTTTCCAATGCGGCGAGTGTAAGACAGAAACAGCCAATATTCGTCACGTTTGCATGCAACATGCTAGCTACGCATGTGCTTACACATAAGCCTGGGAGACTGTTCCAGAGTGCGCCCTCGCAATAATCTCAACATCGGTGACGTGTCCCTTGAACTTGCGAAAGTTCACCTTCTTTTCAAACCTATCAAGATATCAGTATTAGCGTGCCTACGATCATCCCCTCTCCACTAGAGTGCTTATAAACTTACAATTCATCAATTTCGCCCGGGGTTCGGAGTGATACTTCAGGCAAAATGAACCATCCAATGATCACCGCAACAGCGCCAGTAGCTGCGAAGCTGTATTTGGAGAGTTAGTGCTAATCAAGGCAGATTTTGAATCATTCTACTTCAATAGGGTGTCTCCAAGATAGCACACTTACAAGAAACCGGTCTTGACACCCCAATGAGCATTCCCATTGATCATCAAGGGTGTGCAGAAGCTGAACATGATTGAGAGGAGATTTGAAGAAGCCAGAGACCAGCCGGCCGTCTGCGCTCTCAGAGACTGTCTAGGGACTTCGGCGGCATAGGCATATCCAATAGCGGAGGCACCAGTAGTGGAAAAAGTTGCCAAGCACGCAAAGAAGATCTGAATCTATCGTTAGCCATCATTAAATGTTTGAATTGATATTCAAAACAAACCAGAAGGGAACTGGTGGCTTTTTGCGTGTAGTCAACGCATCCGATAATGCCGAGGCAAAGAACAGATAACACTGTGACAGCATAGGGCCACACAGTAAGGGGCCGACGGCCAAAGCGGTCTGTGAGTGTCGAAGTGAAGATCATTGCGATGATTTGACAGCAAGAGAGGATGAGAGTCACCAGGAATGGATCCTTGTTGCCAGCATATTGGACTGAATATCTTGTGTCAGATATTCCAGCAGCGAAACCAGGAAGACAGTAGACACGTACAGAAATAGGTAGCATAAGTATTGAACACGGACAGTCCAACGAATTGTTGTGTGATTTTTGGCCATGCTGCAATGATAAATCGGACACCGTTTCGACCACGGAAAATAGCCCACATCCCCTCTTGTGCGTTTTCCTTCGCAATACGACGCTCCTCAGCGACCGTGGCCGTCATTGCATTCTATCAACGAATTAGAATAAGGCAGCCATCAAAGGCATACCGGGGGAAAGTCGCACAATTTTTTCCTGAACATCATATCCTTCAACCCGACCATAAAATTGCTGAAGAATCTTGGCGGCTTGGGTTTGCTTATCCTTGCTGACTAGCCACCAAGGCGATTCGGGAATAACCAGAATGATAATGACGGAAATTCCAATCATAGCCCACTGGTAGATATGGGTTAGCATGTTCGGATCCATTAAAGCCGCCTTGATATCTGTTCTGTACCTGACTATAAATAGCAGTTCGGAAGTCGTACGGATGGTGAGCATTGAGTCTGTTGAGTGCTACTGAAGCAAATAGCTGCCCTAGAACGAACCAACTGAGTTTGAATAAGTATTAGTAGACGACTCCATCCCAAGCTAGACAAAGGATTGGCCTCACAAAGTGTATGCATTAATAAGGAAGCCCCTCAACTGGGTTGGTGCAATCTCTGAGATGTAGAACGGCAGAGTGGCTTGTAACATGCCGACACCCATGCCTGAGAGGAGTTTTGCCACAAGCCAGTGGGCCCAAGAAGTGCTGAATGTCTCTGCGAAGATACTCTGTAGAAACACAATTTGATCAGCAAATTTAATCTTCGTGTCTCAAGGCACCTTTTCTTCGTTTCAAGGAAACGGTGCCTCCATAAACGTTATCAGGGTTGCAGGGTCTGTACCGCTGTAAGGAAAACAGTTAGAGTGTAAAAAGCTGCCTTTCGACCATATTTTTCAGTGGCGTATTGAAGAAACTGAGCAAGGAAACTTATGTTAGCTGATGCCTGAATATATCTGCAATTCGGTAGATGGCGCACAATTTGCCCAATGGTTTGACCAGCAGCCTGGATACCACCCCACGCAGAGACATATTTACTGTTGATGATCTTTGTCCCAGGAGTGGCCATCTGACGAATGAAACCCTTGTTGGCGACGATACCACCATTCAGATTGATTTCTATTGACAGTTAGAGGATGGGAGTGGGCCAATCCTTAGACGAGTTGATACTTACGGTAGCCATCCAATGACGCACTAAAAGCTGCAACCATTGCCAAGGTAGACACCCACTTGTATCTCCTCACGCTTTGCCATACACCAAGGTCATCTTCCTTGGTGCGCATGATGGGAGTGTTTCCCTTCTCAATCTGAGCTTCCATCCCCTTTGTGGGGATAGCATGCTCGATGTTCTCACTCATGGGCTTGGTTGACTCCATTTCGGCTGTTGTGTATTTTCTGGCAAGAGAAATAATCCCGGCGGAGAGAAAAGATTGGGCTTATAAGTAAACGCCAAATTAAAGTTGCTTATCAGGAATGCTTTTTAGGGTTAAGCTCACAGGATTGCCCAGATTATTCCCCAGATTATCCCCCGGATTCCCCGCAAACTAACGCTTTACATTGGGGCAAGGCCCAAGCATCGCCGTTAAGAGAGCTGACCCGATCCTTCCAATGCCATTGCACAACTTACTAGCCGCCAGGCGTTTGACGGTTATTGAGCCAAAACTTTATATGACCATAAAAGGCATGGTTCAGCCCTCTCGTCACAAGAAAGGAGGGGTATTGATGCATGAATATCATTCAACTGGGTTGAGGCTACGGAATTCCCCAGCCAAAAGGGCTGGCTATCCACACAGATCCTGATCCCCCCTTATCTCGGGAGAATACCAAGCGAATCAGCTCGGCGTTTGGTGGTTACTGATCCAAATCTGCTAGAATTCCAAGAGCCTAAATTAACTTTTGGCTTTTTTTTTGGTACAATCACGACGGAGTACCCCGCACAGGAACGTTGAAGACGGTCGAATGAGGCTGAGACTAGTTGCTTCCCCGACCACGGGTCGACGCGTATTTCCCAAGGCTTATTCTCTCACCACGTGAAAGAAGAGGCGAACATCAACCCTCCGCGGGAATTGAACCAAAACACTAAGGAACTCTCCGCAACGCATTTGGATTTTCTCGGGTTTTTTGGCACCGAAAGTAAAGGGGAGATCCGTGTTCGTTCGCAATCATACTGGTCTGCACATTGGCTACCACAGTCTTCCCCGCCTTTGATCTCAGGCTTTTTGCTGACGACTCGGCTCCTGTCCTTCAATAAGGACTAGGCCGTAACTTTAAACCCATTTGGCCACATGATGTTTACTACTGTAGAGCCGTGGATTCAGTGAGTTCTTGATTGAGTTCATTTGCCGACTGGCTAATTAGATAAGGGGGCATTATTGCACAGCAATCAGCAGAGACACCAACACGGCCATTCGTGGATATTGTTCTGGTATAGTCCAGTCATCCAAGTTTGGAAATTAGAGGGACAATCAGGTCCACCTATTGGATCTTATAAATCAAGCACTACCCAAGCACAATCCGTATCTAAGTTTCTTCAATCCGGTCTTCAGTGAGATCCGAAGTACAAGTCAACGATCGCTCTGAATACAGGTCACAACTCCGTATCCCTACAGGAGCAGGAAAGAGACTGTAAAAATGAGTCAAGACAGCAATTACCCGAGGTTCTCAGCACGGCCAGTTGGCAAACAAATCCATAGCATCTACCGAGATCGTCTGGAGACGTTCATCCAGCCCGGTCAATATGAGACGCAAAATCTTCTCTCGTAAGATCTATCGCTTTCCGCATCATTCGTCTTCGAACACTAAACATCTTCTCCACTTGCCGCTAGATCGCTGTACAAGGCACGGTTTATTGGCGAGCCGACCATAGAACTATCTGTGTGGTCCGCCCCAAACCTCTCACGGCCTACTTTCAAGGAAGCCATATCGCAACAGTTCCAACCCACCGAGAGAGGCCGATCCTTCGGGCCTGGGTGGTCGACTCACTGGTTCAAGGTACAACTGCGAGTGCCTCATGAGATGTTGAATGAAGAGATCATAGAGTTACACTGGGAGGCCAGTAACGAAGGTATGATCTGGACGGAAGACGGGCACCCGCTGCAGGGCCTCAGTGGAGACGGAGAGCGGGTAGAATGGATTATTCCCCCTCGCTTCAAAGACGGCAAAGAACACACATTCTACTTAGAAATGGCATGCAACGGGATGTTTGGCCTTGGGAAAGGCGCAAGAAACCAGCCTCCAGACCCTGACCGCTATTTCACTCTGGAGAAAGCTGAGATCGTGGCCGTCAACAAAGAGGCACGAGCATTGTATTTTGACTATTCTGTCATTAGCGGTATGTCATGGTTTTCGCTGCGTGCCTGGTCAGGGATCACTAACCGTCTGCAACAATAGACGCGGCGCGCCAATTTCCTGAACACTCATGGGAGGCCCACAAGGCGCTACAGGTTGCCAACGCCATCATTGATGTGTTTACGGCTGGCAAAGGGAGCGACGCTGCCATTCGCGAGGCCAGGGAGATAAGCCATGAGTACCTAGGAGACAAGGCTAATCGGGCAGAGGTTTATGATTCCAATTCCAAGCCAATTGTCTATGCTATTGGGCACTGCCATATTGACACTTGTTGGTTATGGCCATGGGAAGAGACGAAACGAAAGGTGGCACGGTCCTGGTCCAATCAGTGTGATCTTATGGATCGCTACCCAGAACACCGTTTTACTGCATCTTCCGCCCAGCAATTTAAATGGCTCAAGCAGTATTACCCTTCAGTGTATGCGAGAGTCATGGAAAAAGTCAAGCAAGGAGCTTTCCAGCCTATCGGTGGCAGTTGGGTAGAGCATGATACCAACATGCCCAGTGGAGAATCTTTGATTCGCCAATTTCTTTATGGCCAGCGATTTTTTCAGCGAGAATTCGGGAAGCGATCTCAAACATTCTGGCTCCCAGACACCTTCGGCTATACCAGTCAGCTTCCGCAGTTGTGTCGCCTAGCCGGGATGCATCGTTTTGTGACCCAGAAACTCAGCTGGAACAACATTAACAATTTCCCGCACACAACTTTCAACTGGGTCGCTCTTGACGGAAGTCAAGTACTATGCCATATGCCCCCTTCAGAAACCTACAACGCGGATGCTCAGTTCAGTGAACTTGTCAACAGCATTGATCAGCATAAGTCGTTGGATCAAGACGCCTCATCTCTGTTGATCTTCGGGAAAGGCGACGGTGGAGGCGGTCCGACATTCCAGCAAATTGAAGCTCTGCGTCGGTTCCGTGGCTTGAGCGACAAAGTCGGACTCCTGCCTCGAGTTCACCAGGGCAAGTCAGTGGACGAGTTCTTCGAGGCATTAGAAAACAAAGCGGCGAGTGGCACTGAGTTCGTTACCTGGTACGGAGAACTCTACTTTGAGTTGCACAGAGGAACCTATACTACACAGGCAAAAACCAAATGGAACAACCGAAAAGCTGAAATCATGGTCCACGATATTGAATATCTCGCGACTCTGGCTAGCATCAAAAACAGCGGTTACCAGTATCCGAAAACAGAGATTGATGACATCTGGGAATGCATCCTATTATGCCAGTTTCACGACTGTTTACCAGGGAGCTGCATCAGGATGTGTTACGATGACTCTGATAAGCTTTACGCTGAGGCGTTTGCGAGTGGAGAAAGATTGCTCAAAGATGCACTCTCAGCACTCGGATTCTTGCATGACGCATCCTCTGAGCAGGGCAGAATTGCTCTCAACACCCTGCCATGGTCCCGCAAGGAATTGGTTCAACTTCCGTCCTCTCAGTATGCTGTGATCAAGGGAGGTTTTGGTGCGGCTCCTGTCGAAGAGCTTCCACCAACACCAGTTGGGCCTGCTGTTAGCGTTGAAGAAGTCCGAAAAGGCGTGTTTGAACTATCGAACGGGCAGTACAAGCTAGAGATCAAGAATGGGTCAATTATCTCTCTTGTTGATCTCTCAGATAACCGCCAGGTTCTCGCCAATGGCGGCAAGGCTAATCAATTCGTTATTTTTGATGATAAGCCTTTGTACCGTCAGGCTTGGGATGTCGAGGTATACCATCTCAACTCCAGAAAGGAGTTGCAGGGTGGAATTTCGGCCATCGCTGAGCAGGGCCCGTACAAAGCGAGCATTGTCACCAAGACGATCATCAGCGAAAAGAGCTGGCTGAAATCGACCATTAGTCTGCATGCTCCGATAGATGGTGAACCCTCCAGTATCGAAATCGATACCGAGGTCGAATGGCACGAGGACATGAAGTTCCTGAAGGTCGAATTCGACGTTAACGTGACGAACACTGAGGCTTCATACGAAACTCAATATGGAATTGCCAAAAGACCAACACATTACAACACACAGTGGGACATGGCCAAGTTTGAGGTTTGCTGTCACAAGTGGGCAGATCTCTCCGAAAACGGCTACGGTGTTTCCATTCTGAACGACAGCAAATATGGTTTTGCTACCTGTGGTCATCTCATGCGCTTGTCTCTCCTACGCTCTCCTAAGGCCCCAGATGCTTGCGCTGATATGGGTTAGTTGTTATAAACACATTTTTCAGCATGCAATTTCATTTCGCTAACATTTCGGCAGGTCATCACCATATCAGGTACGCGATTTTCCCCCATCAGGGCCCTCTGGACTTTAGAACCGTTCGTGCAGGATACAACTTCAACAATCCCATGAATTTGCTTCCGGGGCCAGGCTCAGCATCGTTGAACGACATCAACCTGACCGGTAACAAATCATTGATACTTGATGCTATCAAACGTGGAGAAGATGACGAAGACGTCTCGTTGGGTGACTTTGAAAGCAGGAAGGGTCAGAGTATCATCCTCCGCGTTTTTGAGAGCCTGGGAGGGCATGCAAGCGGTATCATCGAAACCACCCTGCCAGTTACCAAAGTGTGGAAGTGCAATATCTTGGAGGATGACGAGGAGCCACTGGGAATCCAAGATGGGAAAGTCAACATCGCCTTACGTGCGTTTGAAGTTGCCACATTCAGATTGCAATTGTAATTTCTCTCTACTCACTGCAGATGCAGCTATAGAGTGACTAGAACATATTCTTCGAGCAGGTTCGAAGACTCGATATAGGCATGATACAGTGGGCACAGAAGTGATTATATTTTCTTGTTGCTAATCATCCAAATAAAAGCAGTCTCACTGATTATCTCTACTCCTTTACTTCTCTAAGCACTCTCTTCAACACAAGGAGCTCGCCATTTTCATATCCAGTCTATATCTGACGGCTGCTCAGTGGTGTGGATGGACGATGGACTCATCTTAGATTTATTTTAAGTAGTTGCGGAAGCCCGGGAAGCCAGACTACTCGCTACCGGGATCCTACCGCCTGATCTCACTTCTTAACACACTGGGGAAGCTAGTTGAAGCGGGGATGGCCCCACGGCTGTCCTTCTTCGCTGCATACCTGGTTTAGCGGACGTCTAGGACGTAGAAAGAAACAGCCCCTTCTGATGCTTGCTAATGCAATCGACCGGGTATGGTACAAGATAGAAGGTTGTTACCCTTGTCAGTTGATATGACTACGGTGGTATGTTACTTAGGGAATTTTATTCGATCCGCAGTCAAAATATTTATATAACGTATGATTTATCAACGAAGATCTCTTCCTAGCTACTACATTCAATATACTATATCTTTATATAATGAAATGGGGACGGCATGATGGCAGTCTGACATAGCAGACAGGTCGATATCAATAGAGACAGCACAACCAACCACTCCCATGTCCTGTACAGATGTAGAGAGCAGTCTCTATAAGTGACTATCGCACTAGAAATGAGGCTATATCATAAAAGAAGAATCTAGGGGAAAAACTGTAGTTATATTGATGATGGTAGGATGCTGCTCTCTCTAGGAAAAGATTGCATGCAACCTTCCTAAGGCATTTGTGATACCTCAGGCCACTAATACGCCACTGTCACGGGTTCCACCACTACAGTACATAGGTACCCACTGTATCTCAGTTGAAGATAGCTTAGCTTTAAGTCCCTTGAGCGTATCTAGGTACTTGTACAACACTGGGCTATATATAAGTTAGCTCTAAAAGTAACCTAAAATCAGCCTGTCCGGTTCATCGGTCGACTGTCTGCCGAAATTTCCCCCGCGTCCGACCACCCGAACTGGGGGGTAAATATGACAACCTATAAAGACAATCCAAATCCCAGGGTAGCTTTCAGCTAGATAAATACTACTATAGTAGCTTTGACTAGCGTAAAGCAACCACCCACATTTGGCTATCAAACATCTACTTCGAATATAACATCCTATCCCTTTCATATACCTCATACTCAAGATGCAGAACCCGTCATGCTTCCTCTACGGCCCCGGCGATGCCAGATTCGAAGATAGACCTATGCCAACCATCGATGACCCCCTCGATGTAATCATCCGCATCGAATACGTGGGCGTTTGCGGCAGCGATGTACGTACTACTGAACCCATACCCATACCCCACAACCTACACCATCTTTTGTCTGACCTAACAACCAAAAGGTCCATTTCTGGCTCCACGGCGGCGTCAAAAACCATGTCTCACACACAAAACCCCTAGTAATGGGCCATGAAGCCTCAGGAACAGTACACGCCATCGGACCAAGCGTGAAAAACTTCCAACCAGGCGACGCAGTAGCCATCGAGCCGGGCTTCGGCTGTCGCATTTGTTCAAAGTGCAAAGCGGGCAAATATAATCTCTGTCCTGAGATGAAGTTCGCTGCGAATCCGCCTTACACGCATGGCACGTTATCGAAGTTCTTTAAGGTTCCTGCTGATTGCTGCTATAAGATCTCTGGCTCGTTTGACTCTGAGTTTGGGAATGCGGGTGGGATCGGGCTTGATGAGGCGGTGCTTATTGAGCCGATGGCTGTTGCTGTGCATTCTGTGAGGCAGGTTGGTGTTAAGCCTGGGGATCGGGTTATTGTTTTTGGAGCTGGGACTGTAGGACTTCTTTGTGCTGCTGTTGCGCGGGAGTTTGGGGCGAATCTGATTGTTTCTGTGGATTTGAGTGATGATAAATTGGAGTTTGCGAAGAAGTTTGTGGGGGAGGATCGGGTTCGTTTTCGGACTGCGATTCCTGCTCGGGGGTTGACTTCTGAGGAGAATGCTGTTGGGTTGCGGGGCTGGCTTAAATGTGTTGATTCCGAGGCTGATCTTCCTGGCTTTGACGTTGCTATTGAGGCTACTGGGGCTGAGTCGTGTATTCAGACGGCAATTCATTCGCTGAAAGTTGGGGGTTCGTTTGTGCAGACTGGATTGGGGAATCGAAATGTCAACTTCCCTATTTCGACGGTGTCTGAGAATGAGATTACTGTCAAGGGATGCTATCGGTATGGCGCAGGGGATTTCAAGTTGGCTCTGGAGCTGGTGAAGTCGAGAAAGGTTGAGTTGAGACCTCTCATCACAAAGGTTGTGCCATTTGAGAATGTTGTGGAGGCGTGGGAGACTACCAAGCGAGGCGAGGGAATCAAAACCCTGATTCGAGGGTTTGGACGTACGGTATAAAATGGCTCGGTATTGACTTGAATGGAGAATGTGATTATTATATTATTGCACAATTTACACTCTAGAGTACCTTCATCAATCTAGTTCAGAACATCCACATCACCACACGGAAGGTCGGCTTTCTGGGTCCATCATCCTACTTGCACGCATCTCCAAGTCCTTCTCGCTTGCAATGGTCTCATCATCCCCCCGAAGTCCCTGGTTCGTCTCCAAATCACGATCTAGGTCGTAATGCTCAGTCAATAAACTGATCACCAAAGCCACACCGGAGACCGCACAGCACACAATCCATACTGTGCGCAGACTGTCCGTATATGCCTCCTTGAGATTAGCCTTGTCCGCACCGTCTGCCATAGCCTTGATAATCTGAACCAAGCCCGCGGCGTCCTTGCTGTATGTACCGGCCATGGGAGCCAGATCAGGATATTTCATGAGGTTACTAAACATGCGGTTCTGGAAGACCACTCCGCCAACCGCGACACCAATGGCTTGGCCGAGGGCACGGAAGAAACTGAACATGGCAACCGCGATAGCGAGGTTCTCTGGTTCTGAAGAAGCCTGGACAGCGTAGCCCAGGGAGGGGAACAGAATTCCCAGTCCCAGACCTGAGACAATGTTCAGGAAAATCCAGCCAACGACGCTGGTGTGGACTTTGATCAGACACAGTAGGCCAAGACCGATGGTTGAAAGAACCCATCCCAGCCACACAGCCCACCGGTAACGACCAGTCACTGTGATGAGAATTCCAGCAACCATACCACTAGGGGCAACAGTGAAAGTCTCAGGGAAGAGGGCCACGCCTGAAAGGATGGGGCTATACTCCTTCACGGCCTCATAGTATAGAGGAAGATAATAGAGTGCACACCACAGAATGAAGCCCTGGAGAACACTTCCAATGAATGAGGCGGTTGCCGTGCGGTTCTTGAAAATGACCGGTGGAATGATCGGGTCGGAGGCGAAGCGATACTCGTAAAATGCGAAAAAGAGGAGACCAGCGCCTCCCACGCAGAGAGGGACCAATGTCCGCCATGAACTCCAGGGGTAGGAGACTCCACCCCAGGTGAGCGGAATGAGGAAGGATGATATACTTCCGACGAAGAGAACAGTTCCGAAATAATCGATTCGTCGGAGCTTTTCAATCAAGGAACTAGGTGCGAGCTTCAGGTTGAGGAAGAGAATGACGAGTATCAAGCCGATGCCGATGAAAGGGAAGTTAATATAGAAAATCCATCGCTATACTCCGTGGTTAGAGCTATCACTGGTGTTCCCGAGCGATATAAACTCACCCATGATACATTTTGGGCGAATCCGCCTCCAAGAATTGGTCCGGTCACTGAGCCAACACTCCACATTGCACTCAATATGCCGAAGTACTGCCCTCGCCATCGGAGAGGAACGAGGTCAGTAATTATGACCTCGCTCAGTGAAATGATTCCACCTCCACCGACACCTTGTATAGATCGACCGACTAGCATGTAGGTAAAGTTATTTGCAATTGCCGAGATAATAGCACCGACACAAAAGAACACGAGGGCGATCAGTATCATAGGACGGCGGCCGAAAATATTCGAGAAAGAAGCGAAGCTCGGTTGGAACACTTGATGAATGTAAGAGGCGAGCCAAAATAGAATGAATGTCGATGGATCATACCTGTTGAGCATAGTAGGAACGAGGTACCACTCCAAAATGCCTCTATCGCTGTTCCGTTCAGCTCTTTTGCGATATCCTAAACTTTATCAGTTTATGTCTGCTGCGATCTTCAATCTGATACTCACCGGTAGGGCAACAGACAACGAAGTTCCATCGAGAGCAGCCATCAATGTAAGAACCGACAAGGTGAAGAAGACCAGGATTCCCCTCCGTCCCAGGGCAAATTTTTCATCGACATCCTGATTCTTAGGCTTCACATAAGAAGGTGGTCTCGCACTCTCATCATGTGAGGCACTTCCACGTCTGTAGAATGGGAAATCGGTGTCCGCCATGGTGTGTAGCGACTATTAATGACACGATAAAGAGACCCTCGTAGTCCCAAGGGCAAATATCTTTATATATCGCAGCGCCTGTTTGAGGATAAAAGAGAATTTTACATTGGAATCTTCAAGTGGACAGATATATAGTAAATCAGCTATCTAGCCAACGCCCTCCCACGCGGGATTGACAAGATGACAAAGAGTTTGGAATGGGACGAAAGTTCCTCCGTTGTGACCCCAAGACCCCGGAATCAGCTCCCAAATAATGATACATTTCAGGCTGATTCAATCTTCAGGGTCTCCATGACAGGACGAGGTGAAGTGCGAACTTTGCTGCAGCTGTTTTGGGAATGTTCGGCATAATGTTGCCCCGCCCACTTTGGCTGTCAGACGGGATTCGGGCAAACCTCATTTGCTCGCACTTAATTTTTTCTTTTTTTGTATGAGTTGAAATCCTGCGGTCGGGATTTTTATGGCCCAGTCCGAGTTGCTTGGTCTGGTTGCGGCTGATTTTATGTCGGTGCCTTGGAAGTCGCGTTGTTTTGGCTTTCTGACTTCGTGATCTTGCTATAGATACTCGATCGGACCGCACACATGACTAGGAATTTGAGAGCTTATAAGAAGAGATTCATCTATGGGTATTGAGTGACTGCTGTTCTATCTCGGGTATGTACTTCCACAGCACTGGCGGGTCTCTTCGTTGCGAGGAATGAAACAAACAGTGTCTTGATTCTGTGTATCTGGTCTGGTATCTAGTCAGATTCAAGACGCGACCGTCACCACTTGAAGGGCTGGAACTCGCATTTAACTCCTTCTTCTCCGTGAGGCAGGAGCATTAAAACCCAGCAAAAGCCTCTAAACCACCCCTCACCGCACCTCGCTTCGCCATGGAACAACAATGCGCGTTCCGAGACTGACAAGCAACATGCCGTGTCACAGAAGACCCTACACCCACGTCGGATTCTAAGAAGAAATTTGCAGACGCTGCCACTCGCTCCGAAGAATCTCAGGCAATTCATCTACCAGACCTGGGTCGGTACGGCTTCCAGCCTAGGATCTCGCGTGCGCGCTGCGAACGACCACGAGAATTCATGCCCCAGCTTAGAGACTCGAAGCCTGCATATTTCTTGGCGCTTTACAGATCGATTGGCTCGGCTTTTGCTTCTGTCGGTCAAGCTATTCCCGACGCCTGCGATGCAGGAGTTCTCGCCGGCGACGTCGGGGGCTTAATTTTACTAGGGAACTGCATAGTAAATAAAAGTACCTCGAATTCATGACCGCCGATTCGGGGGGCATTAGCATTGCCAAGAAGTTGATGCATTTTTACCGGTTAATGCATTGGAAATACGATTACTGCATAAGACCTAATCGGGTTTAGTGAGCGTAGGTAGGGTCCGAACGCTTACTATGGGGGTCTTTTTAGTTACGCCCATTCTTTATTAGTGCGAGTTGTAGACTCCTACTTTAAGGCATAACATATTTCATATGCGAGCTGGCCACCAAAAAACACCTCCTTAAAAGCGAGATTTGACGATCCTATATGTCGGCAACAAGCCCTATTAGCACTTAGATTTTAGACCTAGTATCTTCATATGGCAAGAATAGGAAGCTAGGAGAGTTTTGATAAAATAAAATTGTAATTAACGATATTACAGTAAATTAAGACGTATTTTGTAAACTGTTGTTTAGCCCTTTCGTTGCGATGTTAGTCAATTGCTTTTCGAATACCAGGGTTTATTTAGGGAATACTAGGCTTGGCCGCTCACAATGGGCCGACCTAGACTGACTCTCGGAAATTGATTTCACAGTTGTGCCAAGACCTTTGTTTCTTACTTTTGCTTTTCAAACTGGTCATGTTGCTGGATGATAATTTGCTGAGTCACGGTCCACCACGGTTCAACTGACGGGAATCTCTGGCGCCACCCAGACCTGACCGCAAACTTTATCCGCATGCGGACATGAACCCAATTGGGATTAATGTCTCTATACAAGATTCCATGGATAAACACTAGATTAGATAATCGGTATACGGTTTTGACTAGGAAGCAAAGGTATATATTTAGTGACGGGATTCGAAAGTCCATTCACATGGCTCGAAGCTGAAAATCAGTCTCTGTATTGTATATGAAACTATAATCAACGACAATGTGGTATTTCTATCCCTTCCCCTACCTACTTATGGAAATAATACTAACCCGTTCTAGCGGGATTTTCGGTTATGTCAATTATTCTACTGAGAAAGACCGCAGGTATATTCTCAATGTCCTTCTCAATGGTGAGAGGCTATCGTGATATTTCTCGAGTATGATGTCACCTCACTGATCTCTTATCGTGAAAGGTCTCAGTAGGCTTGAGTATCGAGGTTATGACTCCTCAGGGTTACTTGTGGATGGTGACTGGGGGCAAGATGTCTTGGTATTCAAAGAGGTTGGAAAGGTCACAAAGTTGAGGGGACTTATTGAGAGCTCCCGGCCAAATATGGATAAGACTTTCCAGACCCATGTTGGAATCGCTCACACAAGATGGGCAACTCATGGCCCACCTTCACGCGTAAACTGTCATCCTCACCGGTAAGCATATGACCCGTACATATCGCGGTGTTAACTATTACTTTGGACGGCTCCCTGGTTTTCCCATTTATTGCTGATAATTATCTTGAATTACAGGTCAGATAATACATGGGAGTTCGCGGTTGTTCACAATGGCATCATCACCAACTATAAAGAGCTCAGAGCTTCGCTTCTCGGGGAAGGTTACACATTTGAGACCGAGACGGATACCGAATGTATTTCCAAACTGGCCAAGTATATCCGTAATCAACACCGAGAAATCGGATTTGTTGAGCTGGTCAAGACTGTTGTGGGGAAGCTTCACGGGTCTTTCGGTATCCTTGTCAAGTCAATTTCCTATCCACAGGAGATTATCGCTGCCCGAAAAGGCTCGCCTCTTCTTATCGGTGTTCGCCTCACCAACGATATCGAGGCCGACGTTATTCATATTGAAAGTGTTATCAAAAGAGACTCTCTGAACATGCCATTAATGAATGGATGCAAAAGTGCGTCTGCATCGCATGGAAAATACTCCTTGCCGCCAAATCCTACCGAATTCTTCCTTTCCTCCGACGCGTCAGCTATTGTTGAACATACCAAACAAGTAATCTACCTGGAGGACGACGACATTGCCCACATATGCGGCGGGCAATTGAATATTGTGAGGAGCACAAATGATAAGTTTGGCTGCACATGGAAGGTTCAGACCATCGACTTGCAGCTACAAGACATTATGAAAGGCAGCTATAATCACTTCATGCAGAAAGAGATTTTTGAGCAGCCTGAAGCGGTTGCTAACACTATGCGTGGCAGGTTGGATGTTCCGCACAAGAGGATTACGCTAGGGTGTGTTAATGACTATCTTCCTGCCATTCGCAGGGGTAGACGCATTCTATTCATTGCGTGTGGAACAAGCTATCATGCATGCATGGCCGTGAGAGGAACATTTGAGTGTTTGTCTGAGATTCCTACGGTTGTCGAAGTAGCATCAGACTTCCTGGACCGCAAAGCCCCTATATTTCATGACGATACTTGTGTTTTTGTTTCACAGTCTGGAGAAACAGCAGACTGCCTTCTAGCTCTGAAGTACTGCCTGGAAAGAGGGGCGTTAACTCTTGGCATTGTCAACTGCGTCGGGTCCTCCGTCTCGAGGCTTACCCAGTGTGTTATGCACATTAATGCCGGTCCAGAAATCGGGGTTGCGTCCACAAAAGCATACACTTCGCAGTTTGTTGCAATGACTATGCTTGCGTTGGTTTTAAGCGAGGACGACGTCTCCAAGAAGGTGTGGCGAGAGGAAATCATGCAAGCACTCGCACAGTTGCCAGCTCAAATCGATGAAGCTCTCAAACTCGAAAAGCAGATTAAAGGCATCTGTGACACTCTTCAAGCTCAGAACAATATCTTGCTGTGGGGACGGGGAAGTCAGTTTGCTACAGCGCTAGAAGGTGCGCACAGTTTAGTCTCAGCCATGGACCGGTGGCTGCATACTGAATATTCTGTTGGCAGGTGCTCTTAAAATGAAAGAGATATCATATATCCACTGCGAGGCGGTCATGCCACGAGACACACACTACCATTGTCTTACAACGGCCGAGAAAAGAATACCAATCATCATGGTCCTTACCCAAGATACATCTTCTCAGGCTGCGGAAGTTTACAAACAAGGTAGTCATACCTCCTGTAGATTCTAATACCAAACAATGCTGACATTGCCCCTTGGATCTATCTAGTTCGAGCGCATGGTGATCGACCCCTGGTGATTTGTAATGCCAATGAAAATTGCTTGCGCGGCTCGAAACCGGAGAGAATTGAAGTCCCCACGACAGTCGATGCTCTGCAAGGTATTTTGAACGTTATACCACTGCAACTAATGGCCTACTGGCTGGCTGTTAGGAAAGGGCTCAATGTCGACTGTCCGCGTAATTTGGCAAAGTCCGTAACTGTGGAGTAGGAATTTTTTTAAAATGCAGTGTTAGTAACTGCAACACTGGAGCTGCGACGAGGGACGAGCAACTTTCATGTCCACCAAATTTGTATGCGGCACTTGTTATGGGTTATGGGCTTCCAGTGAGGCTAATTATTGATCGAAATGCCCACATGGGATCCTCTGAGGAGGACTTTTGAGTGTTCCATGTCCCTTGTGGTTAAATTGGATTTTTAGATCATGTTCAACACTTGACTGACTTTTTCATGAATTTTATGGCTGACTCCGTATAAAAGCTAGAGAAAATCATGCGACCAGCTAAGCGTCCCGAGTGCCATCTTGCAATCCCATCTCGGCCGTATTATCTGTATGGGCATATGAATGCCTTCCGATGCTCTCTTCCGCACATATCCTCCTGGTCTTTCCCCACTCAAACGAGTCCATGTGGTAAGATGCATAGAAAAGTATAAGGACATTGATGAATGGCCCACAGAAAATGTAAAGGACACAACCGGCTAAGTATTGAAGCCGAGCAAGGATGCCTAGAGGGATCCAGATGACAATGCATATATAATATATTAATGGAATAAGCATCAAAGTGGCGAAGGAAAATATAATCCACCATGAGACGACTGCCAAACCACAGCGTAAGTCCCGTCATTCACAGCACCTGAGGAGTTGGGAGGGGCTATTACTCACAGAAACATGCATAAATCAAGCAAGCAAGGCAAGCAAGGATAAATATGTTGAGGAACCATGTCCACACATTGCAGAAGGCCAGGACACGTTCAAACCACTGGATGCCTCGTGATGTCACGAGCATGAGATCGTTCGAAGTCGCCCCAAGCGTCCATCGCTTGCGCTGGGAAAGGAATATAGGTACGGAATCGGGAACGACAGTGTATGCATGAGCTCTCAGAGCCTGCCGAGTTTGGGCATTCGAGCGAGCAGACAGCATCAAACATACATGGTTGCGGTCCTCACTAGCAGTGGCCCGTATCTGCTTCAGCAATCCATCGGTCGGCTTGGGGAAATACCCGAATAAATTAATCAAAACCTGGTCACCACACGTCGTCTCACAAACCTTCAGCAGCTGGCAACATCCAGGCAGACATGATACCTTCTTAGTGGCAATGGATTGGTGCATTCGACGCAGACCTTGTGACACGGTATATTCAGTGGACTGATACAGTCGCAAAAGGTTCCAATTGTAGCCTTGGAAGTCAACAGAGACGTATCCGGATACACCAACCGTATATCGATAGCTTTGGATAAGAGAACTCGTCAGCAAATGTGTGCATAGCAAAATCTGCGGTCGGGACCCTTACCGGCTCTCTTTCAATAGCTCAGCCACGCACACATCGTCGAAATACGTATCTGCGTCCATACCAACCAGACAGGAGGCCTTTTTGATTCCGCAGTCGTTGATTAGGAAGGAGGATAGCTCCGAAAATAGGCTTTGTGATAGGCGTGTCTGTGGATTTTGAGCTCGAATATTAAAGTTATAGAGAAAAGTCCGTGCGAGGATCAGCGCGTCTCGTTTTCCCTGATTAAAATCCTTGAGGATTGCAATGTACGGAAGATCTTTGTAGGTTCCTTTTTGGATGGTGATATCCATTTCTGATTGGTCCCACGCGAGATATGCGGCCGTTATCCTCCGGCGAAAGGTGCTGATCACAAGAATATCCTGTGATAGGGTATCTGCCGTGGTTTTCTGCATCCCTTGTCCACGGACCTTTCCATCGCAGATGATGATCAGAGACTGTTTGTGTCCCTCGATCTCACGTTGCTGTGCAAGAGAATCCAAAGACTTGGTCAATTCTTCGCGTGTCTCATTGTAGCATGGAAGCAAGTAGACAATTGTCTCAGGGCGGGCTGGTAATTCGCGTTCTTCTGGAAGGAGGAACTTGTGTTTCACAGTGAAAAGCAAGATTGAGAATACCATGATACAGTTGAGGACGAGTGCCAAAGCCACAAAGGGTATGAAAACATAGAAGTAAGCAGCCCATCGCCAAACAGCAAAGATTAAGAAGGTGCTGAGAAAGTGTCAGTGCCGGAATTAATGGAACACTTGATGAATTAACTCACTTTATTGACAATTGGCTGACTTGCACAGCATTCTTTTGCATCCTCCTTTTTTGCTTTCCAGCCTTGACCAAATCATGTTCAGGTTCCGCCAGCCGAGGAGTTACAACTTGACTTGACGCCCAGTCCGTTCGTTCCCCGATCATCATGTCCGGGCTTTGTCGACCATTGGGGCGTGAGAAATTTGGTGATGGAGTGGGTACTGTGTGGTTTACTGTTCTTGGTTCATTAGAATGCTTTATTGACCTCTTTGTGGATGTCCTCGCTGGGCCGATCTATACCTTTCGGCTTAGTCGCCTCGCCTGAAAGACCTGGATGAGACTCAAAATGCACCCGCTTATTGACGTCGGCTACACAGCGTCCAGCTGTATCTTCAGGTAGACTGTGAGATTCTGCTCGGCCAATTCGTCCTCCTGGGAAGGCCTGTTCTGGGACTCTTGGTATCGTGAATTTTGCCAAATGTAACTTCGGAGGTATCGAAGGTGTCTGGAAGTTCTGAAAGTCTCTACTAGCAGCAGCGATGGGCGCATCTGCACGAAAGACCGATTCGGGTAGATCTAAAAGCTTATTCCGCACACTTGGCGATCCCGCCTTCTCAACGACGCCCGTAGCGTTATTCCTTCTAGGAACAGCTTCAGAAAGAGCAGACATGGCACCTGGAATCGTAGATGGTTGAGCTGGGTGAAGAATAGCGACTTAATGGAAGCCGCAAACACAATTCGCTCCCTCGGAGTTGTGGTTATTTTTCGAATATATTGGTAATTTCAGGCCGTAGTCGGGAAGAAACCCCCGCAGATTGTAATTTTAGTGAATCTTGGATCTCCAAAGTTAGTGTAAGTTTGGTTCATATTTTCAGGACCTAGTGACAATTTTTCGATTTAACTTTAATTTAACTTTGATTGAACCTCGATCTGCCTTTTTTGATTAAACTTTGATCTAACTTGGATTTCTTGTTTCTTTTTTTTCTTTTTATTTTTATTATTTTTGCGGCTCTCTATTTGCTGGATCAATCCAGCAATCAATCAATCAAAAAGCTACTAGCCTGTTGGAGCCTAACTAGTATCATATTGGCCATGCAGGCGCTTCGGTCCAACAAGAACTCGTAATCCGTCCGCCTGATGCTCCCACCGTACAGAAACAGAGCTGATTCTCAAAGAGTGGAAGACCAGCTCGAATACGGTAAGTCCAATCAATAACCCATAGAAACAGCAGTACAATGAGGAATGCGTGGATTGCACCATCCACCTCCCCTGTCCTCTCCTAACGGTATCACTTCCCACCCCGTAAAACCTCCTTAGTAGTCATGTGAGATCAGACCCCATTTCCAAGACCAGATTCATCCTCAATTTGATGCTTTTCGGTGTTGATAAACTGACCAATTGTAGTCAGATGTCATATTGGAAGAGTTGGCTAGGGTTCTCTCTTTCCTCAGGCGTTGTGTAGTTCCGTGGTGTGTACTCAGCATCATCGGGACACTATTTGCTGGACACCACTATCCTTGGAGGGTACTCGTCATCTGAATTTGCTCGGGCCCTTTCATCCGATTCCGGCCGAAGCTTGAGCTTGGTAGAGTGAACGCGTGTTTGCCAGCCAGTTTCCAGCTCCGCGAGCTCAGTGGAAATGGCAACCTAGCAGCGGTCACGCCACGAAAGACTTGTCTAGGCCATCGAGAAGATTGCTGTGTATGCTGGTATTGCCGTGAACTGGCCAACGCCGGGAGACTTGGCGTGCGTGAAAAACATATCATAATCTCACAGATTACAGGTTACAATACTTTAATCAGCTCAATACCAACTATGAATGAAAGAAGTATTGAATGGGACTCAGCCCAGCTCCCGCATCCGTTTGCTGAATGTGAGATCTCAATATTGGTCTTCGTCAATTAGCAACTAAATATGTCGCATTCATCCGTTCACCACCGACCTCAATTCCTCTCCTATTTGAAGGACCAACTTCGGCGAGACGACAGTTCGAGCAAGTTCGAATATATCAACGCCGCCTACTACCCCAGCTGGCGGGTCTATCGCGGTCAGCTACCATCTTCCCTAAATCTGACAATCATATCACATGTTTTCTATGCATTTTTAAGGTACGTCATGCGACACTCGCCGTTGGCCACTTTTCGTTGATTCCTTTCGTTACATAGAGCTCACGAGGATGGAACAATCTATGTAAGACCGAAACCTGCTGGCTTCTAAGTCTGGAAAGACTAAATTTAATCTCTAGTTCCTGGATGAATATGCGGATACTCAGATCAGGGTGGACGGGGAAAGCGGTTGCCTCAACGCCTTCAAGAAGCTGAAGAGGGAGAACCCTCACCTGAAAGTTATCCTGTCTGTCGGCGGCAGCAGTGGCAGCTCGACCTTCCCTGCGTTCGCAGCACAGGAAGCGTCCCGACGCACATTCGCGTCAACTTCGAGACAAGTAGTTGAAAGATATGGCTTCGACGGTATTGATGGTATGTCACAACGTCTCAGCCTGGATGCCAATTACAAAAATGCCCATCAATCGCAAGGGAATATAAGCTAAACACAATGCATTCATTAGTTGATTGGGAACATCCGTCCAACCCCAAGCAGGGAGAGGACTACGTGAAGCTGTTGTCCACCCTACGGGAATACCTTCCCTCTCCTCGATTCCTATTGACCTCAGCATTACCCGTGGGAGAATGGTGTCTGAGTAACATCGATCTTCGTGCAACCTCACAGCATTGCGACCTCATAAACCTGATGACCTATGATTTCGCAGGGTGCTGGACGGAGCTCTCTGGCCATCAGGCTCAGCTAACGAGCCCGCCAAATCCGCCTAACGCCTTTGCTAGGCGGTCTGTCGAGAACGGAGTCGACTATCTACAGGCTCACGGTGTCTCATCAGGGAAGACCCTGATCGGTATCCCTGTATATGGGCGCTCTTTCCTGGGAGTAACTGGAACTGGTCAACCATTCACAGGACATGGAGGCGAGAACGGGATCTTCGAATATAAGGACCTTCCAAGACCAGGAACTCAGGAAATTATTGACAAGGAACGATGTGCAGCATTTTGTGTTGGGGGCGACGGCGGTTTCGTCTCTTATGATAACCCAGAAACGGTCAAAATGAAGGCTAAGTATGTGAAAGACCATAAAATAGCAGGTCTGTTCTATTGGACAGGGACATCTGATGCGGACCCTCCGCGGAGCTTGGTGGCAACCGGATATAAGTGTTTGAACTTGTGAGTTTGTACCGGGCGCTATCACAACCAAAAGTGAAAACTTGCACTGCGGACCAAATTGAACCTCGCAACAAATTGGCAAGCGAATTACTTGAATTTACTTTGCGTTATCTCAGCCTATAACTAAAAGCTGGGATTACTGAGCTTGTAGTAGCATGTACATTTTCATTTGCGCTTATAATTTTGATATTGTATGTACTAGTATTAGTTGTATAAGGAGGTATTTAGCAATAAGATGTGACCTTGCGGTTTCATCAAAACGAGTGAAAAACTGTAGTCGAATTTTCAGATGGCTTTGCATTATAGTATCACCTAAGCCCAAAATGTTCCACTCCTTTCAACAAATTAGCTACATCAGGTGCATAGCGAGGTAATCTACAGAGCAATGTGTTAATTTGCTGGCTAAAATCCAGAAGCATTAGTAAAATAATCATACGTGGTTGAGGTTTATGTAGGCCATAACCTCTAATATGAGACTAGGTAGTACTCACTCCTAAGCAATATGATCTGCTTTTGCTTCTCCCGTCTAACTCGCCACTAACTTAGGCCATGACCAACTGAAACTAAGTATGATGCCCTATATAATTGACCTTAAACTCTCATGGTTCAATTACCGGAGCTGTTCTAACGAAAAACTGCAACACGCTAATAACGTAATTGGTAAGCGAGCCGCTACCTGATGATCTGACCTGCTTTTGAGCCCCGAACGTTTGCAATTCTAAATATTCGAACAATAATTGCTAATTTAATTAGGACATAGGAGCTACAATGTCCCATATTATAACAATTACTGCAATGCGACCAGGGCTTGCGTACGTAGTTAAAATGGAGGTATAACTTGATCTTGGTTATAGGATCCTGCATTACTAGGCCTCATAAATATAAGGGCTTTGTGCACTCCATTTCACATCTAGAACACCTTTCTTTTTAAATGTTCTCCTTTATATATGCCGGTAATCATGGTTTTCTTTGGCAAGAAGAGCAGTCGTATTCAAAGCTAATTATTTAAACCCCTTTAACAAATTCATGTAAAGTTATTTCCGGGTGTATACTTCACATGTCCACATTTTCTCCCCCATGTCGTACTTCATCGGTGTCAATCTGTGAATGCAGCCGTTCAATCAATCATAACATAAAACAAGAAGCTGGGGCCCATAATCACGTATGATATCGCCGGGGAAATAATTATTACGCGCAACACATGATCAGGCGGACCCCCTCCAAACCACCAAGGAGGGCCCAATCTAAGTTGTCCTGTTTCATTGCGACGATAATGATGTCGAACTGCTCCAATCGCTGCTTATGCCACTCCTTAGACTCATCCAACCGAGTCACATTGGGAACAGGGATCGATTGGACAAGGGGATCTGCAAATGTGACATGTGCTTTCCAATGTGTCATAAGATGCTGGATCAGGGCCACTCCGGGCGAAAAGGTAACCGAAGACTGGCCAGGCTTGAAAGCGACTCCGACAACGAGTATACTCGGGTTCAGCCGTGAAAAGCCGTTCCGTTCCGGGCGCGACTCCCAATAAGAGGCCATAATTCGGTCCGCGATTACACGTGGTCGATTCCATGTATTCTCGGTGGCAGATTTTAACAGAGGAAACTTTCCGTCAAGGAAGAGGTAATAAGGATTGATGGGAATACAACTTCCTCCGGCACCAATACCTGGAACGATAGGACAATAGCCGAACGGTTTTGTTGCCGCAGCAGAGGACACCTCAAATGGGTCAATGTTATGGACAGCACAAGCGTCAGCCATTTCGTTAGCGTAGGCAATGCAGACCATCCGTTGGCAGTTCTCGTACAGCTTAGTCATCTCTGCCACTTCCGGAGTAGATACCTTGACCAAATTTGCGAAGATGCTGCCATAAAGTGACTCGATGCTGGCCAAAGAACCAGGGGAAATATCATCAAGGCCGGATATGACCTTTGGGATTCCCTGGGATGGTGGATCAGTTCGTCCCGGGTCCACTCGCTTGGGATACCGTTGGCTTAGTCTTCTTGCCCAGGGAGAAATGCTTGTTCGGGGCATTGCTACTCACCTCGGGGGACATGCCGCCCTTAAGAGCCTTCGTAACTAGGAGAGGTCCTAGGAGTTTTCTCGTCATCCCAACGGCAACCGAACTTTCTATCACTACAGTGGCTTCTCTCTGCGCATATCGTCCAACCGTATCAAGGGCTGCGTGGAGCGGGGAAATATCAACCTCCTTACTCCCATACGAGAGGCCAGTAGGTACGGCAATCAGAAAGTGGGTGGCGTTCACCAGCTGGGCAGCGTCCGTCGAGCAGATAATATTGGGCTCTCTCCCTACCAGGGAGGCAATGTCCTTGATGCGATCTTCGCGAATGTCGAAGGCAATGGTTTTATACTTTTGGCCAAATGTTGCGACAAGCTGAAATCCAATGTACCCGGTTCCGATGACGGCTACCACGGGGCTCTTGGACCGACCGCCATGGGCTGGGAGAATCATCTCACCCATTGACGGAAGAGGAGAAGCATTATATTCAACGTCGCAAAGGCAACCTGTTGAAACCTTATCACAGTCAACTGCTGCATTTTCGATAAATTGCCGACGAGTACTATTATGGTGCGAAGTATAGGGAAAACTTCGTGGAGAACAGCGTCTTCGAGACAGTGCCTGCACATAGTTTTGGGGGTTCTCAAGTGCAGAAAGGCCCTGAGATCCTGAAGCCTCTGAATGCAGCATTCTGAGGAGCTCTGCTATTGTGAAGTATTCCTCGTGATTTGCTTCGGGGGAAATTTAAAATGTAAATTATTTTGGTGTACTGTCATATCAGCCCTGTGATGATGTTTAATTAATAGCCGGGTTTAGGGATGCTGGATCTTACCAACAGCGTAATGATGATACCGTGATATCGAATATTGTCAGTAAAATCAAAGCACAAACGCAAGGTCCCAAGGGTTGGTGGTCCTAGAACACTGGGTGACGACTGCGTATTGTAGTATCAATCGCACTCCGCTAGGACATAGACCAAACAGCATCACTATGAAAGTAAGGCAGAAAAAGAAGTATAGTCCGGGTGTCACTTCCGGGACAATAACACTATGGAAAACTCTCGTATCAAGCCGTGTCTCCGTTGGGTACGGGAGCCGATTATGACTACCCTTGGCCATAGAAGTGGGGATGTCCGATAAGGTTTCAGGGTCCCATGGCCTACACACATCCCGTGCAAGTCCCGCCATGGGATTGTCAACGGGAGTAGGCATGACAGTCCATGGAAATGTAAATAGTGCAAATCCCGAAATTCATGTCAAACATAATTTGTGCGGCTTTGGGCTGTTTTTGGGTATTTGTATTTCAATGAAAGGCAAAATTTCAAATTCGTTTCGCTTCACTTTTGAAGATTTATAACTTGATTCTTTATATTTTCACAAATTCAGAACACTCAGGCTAATAATAACGTACATGATAAGCGAGTGAGACACCTCAACCCCCATAGTAAATGCGATATTTTACAGCCTTGTATCTCAAAAAACATATTTTTCGTCTTTCATTCTTGAACTAATCGTAGTTTTAAAGTATAAATAGTATCATAACATTACTTGAGGGTAGTTGATTGTGCTGCAGACGGTAGGAGTGGCACAATAGCGACGGCAGTGTCTGAGGATATTGCAATTGGCCGGTTGGGAGTTTAGTTGCTGTCATTAGCTCGCCTCTCTCTCCCCTTCTCTTCTCTAGTTGAATGTCTTCGGACGAATGGACCCTTATTTCTGGCTAGACTTGCCGCTCACATCATATATGAACTTTTAAGTAAATCAAATTATGATATAACCGTGGTACGAATAGGCTTGTAATTTTGGACTATAAGATAAATATAGGGCTCTGTTACAACCACACCCCCTTATCGCATCACACCCCCTTTAGATTCGACCACTGCCTCCTCCCTTTTGGAAATACATAATTAGGGTTATATAACTGCATTCCCTACCACGATAAACACTTTAACACCTGTGCCGTAAAAAGAAGCACCGCTTTATTTTGATCGTACAAGTTTAGTGAAATAGTTCACCGTAGGGCCTAAAACGGCTGTAAATTAACAGTAATTTACTGTGTTTACCAAGCATCTTTGCTTTGGAATCCTTTTTGTCCCATGGGAAATGTCAAGGCCTAGTTCTTGGCGGGGGCTATAGTCATATGAAGTCAAACGAAGACATACGAAGACATACGAAGACATACGAATAAACTAAACTCTAATCCGAATAGACTAAGTTTGATCTTAATCAATACTGGTCGGAAGACTGAAGTGTCATGAGAAATGGTGTCCTAGGGATATTGCCATCGTCACTTCAACCTTAATTGCGAGCCATACTGCGATCTAGACTCAGAGGATAAGAGGTCACATGAATGTTCAATCATGTGCAGCAGATTTCTTGTAGTTCTAGGTGACTTATCGACCCTACGTGAGCCAGATTACCAACGATGTGAGTACAAATACAAGGTTTGTGAAGTCTAGACCTGCCCTTTGACCAAGTTGCCAGAAGCTTGTCATCCAATACGACTATGACATCTTCGTCTGGCGACATATCGGACATTGCAATGTATATAGCAAAACCTAGATGGATGACTCCTAGCCACATCATATCTTACAGATACTTAACTGTGAAGGTATTTGTGGAAACAGCCTTTCCAATATATTTTCAGAACCAACACCTCCCAATATGCTTTTCGACATTGCCATTTTCCATTCACTCGTTGCCATCCTTATGCATCTACTCGCAAATGGTGCGTACGCTTTTGAAAATGAGATTGCTAGTTCCGTAAGTCTCGAAATGCGGAGAGGCCCGGTGCGACTCTGCGGTATTCAGAACTCTCGGATATCGTGCCCAGAGGGCTTCTGTTGCTCTGAGGATGTACGTTTGTTCCCTTTAGATATAATCGCAGTCCTTTTTCATCACCCCCAGTCTGAAATATGACTATACGCAATTGCTTAACATTTATACTTCTAGGGCCATTGTGGAAAGGGACGCCACTATTGCGACTCTCCTCAATGTCAATTTCAATATGGATCTGCCTGTGATGCGAACAAAATCCCAAACGGCACTACTACCTTCACAACGCCTCGTCCAAAATTCGGAAATGTCGCTTATGGAGGCGCTGGAATCCATAACTGCACCGTTCCAGGAACAGTTGCACTAACCTTTGATGATGGACCCTCCAACTACACGTCTCTTCTCTTAGATATCCTGAAAAAGAGTAACATGACGGCCACCTTTTTCTTGACGAACGTTGCCCGAGGAAAGAACGAGTTTGACAACCAAAGTGCAGACTTCGCTAATATTGTACGACGGATGCATGCCGAGGGTCATCAGCTAGGGAGCCACACGTGGAGCCACGAAGATCTGTCGAGCCTCACTCACGAAGAGCGTGTGCAGGAAATGGTCAAGAACGAGATGGCTTTCCGAAATCTCTTTGGGTTTTTCCCGACGTATATGCGTCCTCCGTATGGAGATTGCACTTCGAAGAGTAACTGCACGGAGGACATTGCTAAGTTAGGGTATCACATTGTAAATTCCCCCATTCCTGTTATGATTGCCACTGGTATGATTGTTTCTAAATCTGATCCTCAATTTCCAGATATATTGGGATCTTTATACCCAGGATCTGAAGAACAAATCTCCAGAGCGTATTCAAAACTCAAAGAACATTGTTGAAAATGCACTTCAGGACTGCAAACCATCAACTTGCAGTCACATCATTTACGGCCATGATACTGAATACCAAACCGCTAATCTCACAGAATATATGATACATCAAATTAAGGCCAAAGGATACAAAGCTGTCACTATTGGAGAATGCCTTTCTGATCCTGCGGTTAATTGGTATCGAAATGCGACGACAGGAAAACAAGTGGCTTCAAGGAATCCATAATAACATACAAACCCGGGATTCATGAGGTACCCTGACCGCCGACTCCCTTGAGTTGCAGCCGTGATGGACGGCAGTTCGTTCTTTTGATTCACATGTTTTAGGAAGTAATGTCTTGAAGTCAATGCATTCCCTGGTTTCTTGTTAGCTTCCGTCGCTATAGCCCTATCCCACGGGAGTACCTCGAGTCTGGCAGCTCTTAGGTTAGGGTTTTCCGTTAACTATAGGAGGAAAAGTTGGGTAGTACGTCTAACTCTAGGTTCCTTTCGTCGCTAGACTGCTAAGGCCGAATTAACCCCGATGAAGCTCAGATTTTAGGAAGTTATAATATAGGATCTAAAATCTCCCCTATTTACTTGGGAGTATACACAGTCTAATAGTTATCGAGAAATTCGCGATGAAAAATTAGAGATACTTTAATAGGGTACAGGGCAGAGTCGTCAAGAACTCCCAGAATGATGCCGACGTTTGGATATTGGGCTTTGACCTGTTCAGACTTCTCGTTGCTGCGGACTATAAGTTGGCTGCATAGGAGAAGTCTGTGTGCTTGCCAACGAGCGTGGCTAGTGAGTCGCCACCAATATAGCCCGTGGCGCCGGTACTATGGCTGTCAGAGGTAGGCTTCTTGAGCTTGGTATTTTGATCTCACATGAAAAGTTTGGCCATTGTGCTATTTATGCTCTTTCCAACTGTGTTGTTAGGCGCTAGATGGGATTGAGGCGTGACGTCACAGCTTCCCAATGAAGTCGGCGGTCGCAACCAATCAAATATAATTTTCTCTCACAATGTATTCAACTTGCTCAATGTGAGAAACATGTCTCTTTTGTGCATTGACAAAGAGCATACACTTGGTTTGGTTTAATTGACCTTGCTGCTCTATGTTAAAATATTCTAGGGATGTATTTCTCGACTCTCGGCAAAGCGGATCAATCTACTTCATGGGCAAAGTTCAATAAGGCATAGTTCGCACAGGTTGACTCTCTACAATCGATGCCACTGAGACTTAGTTGCGAACAAGGACAAGGTCCGGTTCGCATGCACTCTCTTCCTTGAAAGTTAGTGGAGCTGCTACTCCGGCACTCCTGTGGAATGCATGGGGCTGACCTCCGTGCTTCATCACAGTTAATGTTGCCAGGTATCTCGCGACAATGAGTGTACCAAAAGTCAACACCACTTCAGCCACGAGGTCTGTACTTTACAGTCGATACTCATTTATCGCTCTGTGTGGTATTCCAGGTCAACTAGTAGCGGCATTGCTCATCAAAGTCAGTGGTCTAGGACGCAAGCGTACTGGAGCAGGCATTGCAGTCCTGACGGGTATTTTCAAGCTCCTCACTGCGGTGTCTCGATCGGCTGCTACTGCCCTTGCATTAGTGTATTATAACCTTCTTCATTTGCTGGTACGGTGACTCTCACTCTCTATACCGTAGAAGTTGTCCCAACTACCGTGCGAAGCTTTTGCCTCGGGATTATGGGATTCTTCTGGGGTATATTTGGATTGGTTGCATATATTATCACCACGTTCACTAGTACTGTGGCCTTTAGTGGAGGCTCAGTTTGGTTCTGTGGTGCTATTTGGATTGTAATGGCTGGTACATGGTGCGCATTACCGGTTGAGACGCAGGCAACTGCAGTCCTGCGTAGATGAGGTTTTAGTGAATTATTGAGATGATCGGTGCATGAATTAGTTGTGGACAGCCCCCTTGCTAAAGAAAAAGAAATAATAGTTATGCATAACTTCAGATCTTCATTGTCCCTTTACCAGCCGCAACATACACACTTGCACATATTCAGGGAATGGCGAAAATGACTCCAAGGCCCGGAATCCATACTTCTCATACACGGGCTTGCCCTCGGGCGATGAAGACAAATAGACCTCTACTCCCTCTTCATCAGCACGCGCAAGGCCCCATTTCAAAAGCTTCGATGCCAGCCCACGGCCCTGATGGGATGGATGAACAGCCAGCATGTCAAGATCTACACGTCACAAATTAGCGGAGCCGTTTAAACACCAATCGTTGCCTGCAAAGCAAAGCAGAAAGAAACCAATAACCGAAGCCACCAGATAAACCCAGGAGCAAAAGCACGAGAAAAAAAAAAGGGTTAAAAAAGCAAAAAAGAAACATACAATAGTGCGGCCTATTCCCCATCCACTTCCCATGCAGTTCCTCCATACCAGAAAAGAAACGATCGCAAAGTTCCCCATCACAACTAGGGGCCCAAACCACAGATTCCTCACGTTCGTGCCGATCGCGATCTGCAGACGTGGGACACTTCCATTTCGCGAACGCGACAATCGCACCTTGATCCGAGTCTACAACTTTTAAGATGACTTCGTTGGTCTCGGTTGCTATTGAGCGCTTGATGGTGTCGTGGAAATTTTGTTCCCACCAGGCGGTTACGTCGGGAGTGTGCGGGAACATGGTCCTGTTGAAGTCGCCCACGAAGGCTGCGTAGAAGATCTCGGTGAGCTCGGCTCCGTCGGCTGGAGTTGCGGGGATCATTTCTAGTGACATTTTGGTGGTTGTAGGTTGAGGTAATTGTTGGTTGAATATGTGTCTGGTTTGAAGATTTGTGGTGGCGGAATTGCGGGTCTACAGAGCCACCTCATGTTTTCTAGGCACATTCAAGAGACTAACGTTATTTCATACTCTACACATGTTTCAAAGGTCAGTTTATCTTCACTGTCTGCTTTTAAACGAAGTTATTCCGCTTTCGAGAAACCTAGCTAATCGCAAAAGTTGTACTAGAGACATTTAGCAACAAATACTAGGATGAATAGAGTATTGTTCATATATTTTGATAAGAACCATCGATTTGACGTGTGCATAAACTGGCAGGTAATTAAATGTTTGACTTTGTAGACATTAACAGGGACTAAACTAACGGCCAACATTATATCCATAGACCGTGACCTTTTGAACGCTCCCAATTACGCTCGTGGGGGTATATATTTCAAACAAGTATTGACACCGGGTCCCCAAGCGACGGTTAAAATTGCAGAAGAAAACTTTGTTCACAATGCAAGAAAGGCACATGCCAAACGGCGAGGATTCAGGGTATTGGTGCCCCCGAGGCGGGATGCTCAGATAGAAGGTCACTGCTTCTCCTTCTCCAGCGCCGCCTCTGGAGTGGCGATCGGACTGACTGGTCCAGACTCGGTATGTTGCCTCTGGCGAGATGGGTCGTAATTTAGCGTCGTGTCAGCGCGCCCTGGAGTCGCAGATCCCCTGTAGGACTGATCATGTGAAGGTGGCAAGACAGAGCGGCGGATGCGTGGATCGTCAGGTTGCTGTGTCTTGCTGTCGGTGCTCTTCGTCGTTTCCATTTCTGATTTGACATTTTGGTACATGCTTTCGACGATGAAGACTTCTTCTTGTACGTCTAGATCGCAGCTGACCAAGCAGAACTCGCGTTCGCGTTGCTCGATATACTCGCGGATATTCTTCCATTGATTCTGGTAGTGCTTCAGACGATCTGGCAGTCCGGAGCCGCGGAGGTAGGTTAAGATACCAGCCATGATTGTGTTGATGGCGCCAAACGCGGTGACGGCAGAGTGTGGGCCGCTAGCTGCGCCGAGCGCAGTCACTGCGGCGGCAACGACGACTTGAATTCCGAGGCAGGTGTTGATGAGGAAGTTAAAGATTTTGTAGGCGCGCTGTGCCTTGGTTTCATTGGTGATGACGCGGGTATAGATACCGACGTTCGGCGCACTGCGGAGGAGATGTCCCTGTTGTGTGAGCGCGGGGACGCTGTCGATACCGGTTAAGGCGCGGAAGACGAGGAGCTTGTCGTTGGTTGGAATGAGAGATTCCAACTGTGTTGTTGCCACTCGCTTTGGTGGGCCTCCTGGAATATCTTGTCCATAACCACCATTCTGGGCACCTAAAGCTGCTGCTGCGTGTGCAGCCATAGGTGGGTAGCCCGCCTCCTCGCGATCTAAGGCTGCCTGAACCATCCGGTGTAAGAGGCCGCGGTTGGGCTTCTTCTGCGACATGTTTGTGGGTATAGAGACACTTGGGACGGGACTGGTAATGAGTAGAGCGCTTTGCGCACAACAGATGGGGAAACGCTCATATTTGTAAACACACGAGGGAGCGGCAATACCGTCAGACTGTTTTTGCGCAATATCCACCTTGCAGATGCAGCCAAGATAAGTGCAGCAGTCCTCCGAGACCTAGAGCAAGCTAACCCTGCATTCAGTCGACGTCGAGTGAGGATGTGCATGATAATATTCCACATAGGGGAATGCCGGGAAGAGAAACATGCAGGGTTTGGCGAATAGCCGGTGCAATGAGACCAATCTGAATCATGACAGGTTGGACGCATGGCGACCGGCGCATGCAGCGTAAAACTTAGCGGCATCGGCCAGCTGGAAGTGCCTCCCAGACTCGAGTTAGACCTGTCTTGGCCCGAATGTGGCTTAAAATTGGTGGAGATCTGCACGCCGCGCTCACAAGAAGCAGTCAAGAACGGTGGGGCTAGTCTTGCGGTATTGAGGAATCATACACCACGTTCATGATCGGGGTGTGAACAGAACGCCGATCGCTGGAAAAGAGTCTGCAGCTTGCTCCATAGAGTGTGAAAAATCCTCCGAGAAGCGCTAATGATGGAGACCTTACTCCATGGCCATGTCCACTTTCAGCGTGTTCAACGAAAGAGATGACCATTTGTCACTGGCTGCATGACAGGTGCGAAACTCTGGATCCCGTAATGGAAACGAGATTGTCACTTTGCAGATCGGACATCGATTCAGCAAGTCAGGTGAAACCTATTGCATGGGATGAGAACTCCGCTGCATCCTGATCGCAGACTGCATAGTTTGCTGATCTACTGCACTGCGCTGCTTGTCCCGGTGTCAGAATCAGATATTAGTTGTTTTGGTTCATGGTGTTGAAGCCCCTGGCGTAAAACGAAAACAAGCACGGGCCTACCCTTCAACCCTTCGGGGAGAAGTTCCACCAGATAGATCAGCCCCTGAATTGTGTTCGAGTAAGGCCCTAGCTTCGTGCCGTGCGGTTTAGAGTGCAGAAGAGCGATGTGATTGGCTTGACTTGCTCGCCAGATATTTCCGCAATCTCGTGGCGGGCTGGAAGCTCGGCGTATCACAATTAAAGCTTGATGAGAGCGGATCGAAAGGTTCGCAACGGGAAGATTGGGATAGGCAAGGGACGGGAGTTCAAATGAGGAATTGTAGAGATTCTTCTGAAGAATTCAAGAGTCAAGTTCCACCCTAGAGTGGATCCAAGCTGTCTCCAGTTCTCAAGCACACTGTTGTAGAGTACGGAACTTCCTGCGAAGGGACAATCACCCGCCCATATTAGGGGATACCGCCTTTCTTGTGGCAATATATTCCTCACTCACCTTAATTCCATTTGTAGCGATTGACTTGGATTTTATCATTCGACGCATCTTATCGTCAACTATTTCTCATAAAATGAAGATTGTAGAGCGAGCTTCAAAACGCGTTCGGGAAGTGTTGAGTCTTCAAAGGAACCGTTATGATAGCTTTATCCAGTACTTCGTTAAATGCGTCATTCCACCGCTTGTATTCTGTGATCATAATATAGTATATAAAATCGCCATTGTTAGCGTTCATTTTGAGGGAATTCATCAAACGGTATTGAGTCGGGATTGTTGATGCTCTGCCACGCAAACAGAACAGTTGTCCCTTGGCGCTTATATCATACAATCCTTGTTTTCCAGAAATCCAAACGGCTGTCAGGGTCTGGTATTTTAACAAGATATATATAGTCAGTTGAGACCGTCATCTACCACACTGAAGAGATTCAGCTTCTACATTGTGTTTCCGTTGCGGTATGTTGCCTCCGAGCCAATCAAACTTGTAGGTGAAAGGTACTAAAGATAAATTTGATCTAACAGACGAGGAATAAAGATATTGATGATTCTATAATACCTTGTTTACGAAAGCTAGCAGAGCTTAGATTAGTCAATCGCTACGGGATAGTTAGGCAGAGGAGGCTTAGCCATATTATAACATCCAATGCCAACGATCGTCTTTACAACGGACAAGCTTTCGGTTATGCTTTTTCTTAAGACTTTATCAGGATTTATTGATTTATTGACGTTGAGCACTGAGGATTTTGGACCGAGGTGGCAATGGAGGTGACTTTATATAAGCGACAGCTGAGCCATTTGGGTTTGTATGCATCACTTGAAAGTGGTAAATTGCCAAATGTCTCCGTTGGTAGTGGTCATCGTGGCTGTGGCTCTATTGAGGCGGGTTGGGCCAGGATTGAAAATTCGAAGACCGACTATTGGAGCAAAGAATTCCGGAATTCCGTGACTAAATGTACCAGGACAAGACGGCAGACATGACTGAATAGAACCAGCACCACCTGGCAATATTGGAATTCGCGAAGAATGCGATTCCGAAAACCGAGCTTGCCTCGGGTTCCCGATAGCCTAACACGGAGAGTCAATTTCTTAGATTACACTATCCAAGTTTTCCGGAACAATCACCTGTACTCAGAAGTATTTTTTTGTCCTTTCAATACTAACTTAATTTAAATTGCATGTAACTTGTGCTGTGATTCTGTGCCTTTGCCTCAAGACCTGTTCCTTCAATTCCACTCCTTACCCTTAAAAGCCATGACTTCTATCAAAATGTTTGAATGGTTTTGGACTTGGACTCTTACATTTGATTTTTGGAAGTTCCTGCTCACAATCTTCCTTGTGGTCAATTTCAAGAATTTGCCACTGGTCTTTCATGTAAGCATTTCTTCGAATGCGGACGAGACGCAGATAACGGCAATTGTCTTCCTCTATCTTCTTACGTATGCTAATATAACGTGCTTCAAGTATCGAATTTTCCGCCCAATCATACAAAACGCCTTCAGAAAGAAAAGAAGCCACCAAGTGGCCTCAGTCCACCATGGAAACGGATCTTTCCCGTTGGTTTTCCTTCCATGTATAACGACAACATACACGCCAATGCTCGAAGCCGACTACAACCTACACAAATTAAATAGCACTTATTTTACAGATCTGGATGCAAGCCGCTCTCATCTGTTGTCAAACCTTTGCTACGGCGGAGTTTCTGTTGTGGAAAAAGAGCTCACCGCTGAGGGTAAATCAGGAATTATGGCTGCCATAATCGGTTCTGTGACCACAAGCTTCAAGAAGGAAATCCGGATCTTCCAGCAGTACGAAGTATGGTCACGGATTCTCACATGGGACAAGAAATGGCTCTACATTGTGACCCATTTTGTTCAGAAAGGAAGTGTTAAACACAAGTGTTTGGTCACTGATATCTTGTCTGGGAGACACATTTGTGGAAAGTGCGGTGGTACTAGCGGTGAGGGTAATGGCGCCAGCGCAGCGCGCCCTGTGGTATATGCCACGTCGGTCTCCAAATACGTATTCAAGAAGGGCAGGTTTACTGTGGCACCGGAGCGACCTCTGAGAGCTTCTGGTCTATTGGGAGGAAATGGTAAGATGGGAGATGTTTGCTCCAAGAACCAGAGTCCTCAAATAAACATCAAAGATCCCCTTACCAAAAGCAGTGAAGGTATGGACAGTCCAGCAATCGGCCAAGTTGTTGAAAACGAAAGGCTCAAAGGATTGAAATATGCCACGGCTTGGGATGAGTTAGAGTCTCTACACACAGAGCCTTTTGGGGATAACGAAACAAGTGGCTGTGTTCCAGCCATTGGCCACTTTGATGATATCTCTGGCTACGGTTTCTCTTACTGCTAGGGTTTGACGTGCGGTTTTAAGAGACTCAGCTCATGTTTTCTGCTTGATTGTATCTAATTTTGATATCTTTTGATATCGTAAACATATAGATTTGAATGACGGATCGCCGCAGGCGAAATCTGTTTTAATTTTGAATATCATAACTTCAAACTGGTTGCTACAGTTAGCCCGACACACTAAATCTCTCCAAAGGCAGGATTGGCACGCTTCAGATATTTTCGGGACGGAGTATGAAGTCACATCTAGTCATCCCGAATACTGCACAACGCCTTTCAGTATAATAGGGTATTCAGATACTGTTACGATGACGAAAATTTTTACCAGGTAAGTCTTATCTACAGCTGACATGCATAAAGTGGGGCGAAGATTGGTGCCTCAGGTTATGGTCCTGACCAGACTCGCAGGAGGTCTGATGATCACTGCGAAGACAAATCCTCATCTCTAGACATTCTGATACTAATATGGGGTTCTGTACCGATTATGTACCTGGAATCTCATTGAGGGGTTTGCTCATCCCACTTTCCGCCACTTTCCGCTGAGACCATATTTCAGGAGAGTGTCGCCATACCACGCAATTTTGGCAAACTTGTCTAAAGTTTTTCGAACGTCCCAGGGAGAATTGTGTATCTTCTTCAGTCTGCGCAACTCTTCGCGGTTCTGAGACTTCCCCTCTATTACAAATGCCGAGGTGGGGAAATTGATAAGAAAAAAAAGGACCGCGCCCTGCCGTTGACAGCTTTGACATACATGTACTCAGACCTCGATATTTTGCACATTCTTTCACAATCAAGGAAACATCATGGGAGACGCACCTTTGCCATCTGAGCATGTGCTCATTGTTTTCTATCAGCATATGCCGGAACCGCTGCAGGAGGAATTCCGCCGCAAGTTCGCCGGTGCCGAGGTCACCATTTACCAGTCACAGCCAGGTGTTCCGGTACCGCCAGGTAAGTGATTATTAGCCTAAGGACTATTAGTTGAGGTTTGCCTCGTCAAGAGTCCATAGTAACATTTCGCATGCAGAGTTGTTCCACAGCGCCACCATCCTGGTCACTTTCACGGATCTGCCAGACCTCAAGGATGCGACAAAGTTAGTAATATACTTGCAGCCGACAGAGTCACAGATTCAATATACTAAACCGCTATATATAGCCTGAAACTGATCCACACATTCTCTGCTGGCCTGGACCATCTCATGCAGCACCCCATTCTACGGGAGAGTAACATCCCCATTACCACCAGCTCTGGTATCCACGGGCCTCCTATCGCGGAATGGACCGTGATGAACTGGCTGGTGTCTTCCCGAAAGTATGTCCAGACATATGAGGCGCAGAAAGGGCATCGATGGGACAGTAAAACCCAGTATATGCGCGGCATGCACGACCAGGTCGGTAAGAAGGTTGGTATTCTTGGATATGGCTCGATCGGCAGACAGAGTAGGTCCCAATCTTGAAGACGGAATACATAGAGAACCGCTCACTAACACCCCCAGTCGCCCGTGTCTCTACCGCTCTGGGTATGACTGTGCACGCGCACACTGCCTCCCCGAGACCAACAGAGGAATCCCGTCGCGACACTCACTACATCGTCCCTGGAACAGGCGACCCAGCTGGCTCAATTCCGGTCTCATGGCACCACGGCACAGACCGAGAATCTATCCGGTCTTTCTTAGCCCTCGGACTGGACCATCTAGTCGTTTCGCTCCCGCTGACTCCGGAAACGACTCATCTCCTTGGAACTGAAGAGTTTGCTATTCTTTCTGATAACTCCCACCACCATTCTGCCAAGCCATATGTGACCAACATCTCGCGTGGTAAGGTCATTGATCAGAAGGCGCTGATCGATGCCTTGAAGTCTGGTGTGCTTAGCGGTGCAGCTCTCGATGTTACTGATCCTGAACCCCTTCCTGAGGATGATCCCCTCTGGGATGCACCAAATGTGCAGATCAGTCCTCATATCAGCAGTCTGGGAAGCGAATACTTACCCCGTTCTCTTGATATTGTGGTGTTGAACCTGGGACGGTTGAAGAGGGGTGAGGCCTTGGTCAATGCATACAACCGGCGCAGGGGATATTAGACCATAAACCTGTTGTTCGTGTCTAGACATCGAGTCCGTTCAAGATAGAACGAATAGGATAATGAAATTTCTTCGTATCCATATTCAAGTTGGCGATTCGGTGACATACTATTAAGCAAAAAGCAACAAAACAAGCAAGCCAAATTCGTGGTGTTACGGCTGGGCAGGCTACATAGCCTCCTTGCCTAACTCACACTAGCATAGTGCAATAGACCCAAAGCATAGACCTTCCTTAAGCTTTTGGATTATTATCGGATAGATAGCATGTATGTGTCTTCGATTAAATGGCTCGAAGTATCTCGGCCCGCTGATTTCTCCTACAGGCCAGTGCGCTTTGGCAATAACTCTTCTTGGAGCTTGTTGCTCATGAGTTAGATAATGACAGCATCAATAAGGATCGACATCATCCCAATTCAGGCCGTGTGTCCTGTACTCCAGTTTGATTGACTGGCATTCCTAACTATATAGCCACAAATACCATTACTTTTGGTTGGATCGATAGCGCCATTCATTTATCACACTACGCTGTTAGCTCTCATCCCTTCCTCGACCACCACAGCAATAAAGCCACAACCAGCAACAGCTAACGCCCATGGATTGATCAGGTCTCTCGGAGAAGGCCAGAAACTGTTCTTCTCTTTTTGCCATTGTTGCAGCTGCTCATACTTGTGAACATCCTTGGCCTTGTATCGCTCTTCCTGGCTGGCTTCGGTCTGCTTGTCGCCACCAACAAAGCGTAGGAACAAGTAATTCGAGAGTGGACCAAGCAAAACAACAGGGTTGAAATGGCCGGCCATATTCAACAAAGCATAGGAGAAGTGAACCAATGTGTCTCCCAAATAGCTGAAAATGTGTCAGCACATGCTAGCCAATATAAGTGGTGGCTTGATTGAATGAAACTCACTTTGGGTGCCGCACAAGGCTCCAAACCCCATGCCGACACAGGTCAGTCCGTTCCTTGCGATGCAGTCCAAGTTGCGTATCGGCCATAACTTCCATCGCAAACCCAGCACCGAAAAGTCCAACGCCCAGAGCACGAACAACGTTAATCGTATTCTCCTCCAACGAGATATTACTACCACCCATGTGGAAAGGAGTGGTGAACGGAAGTGAAATCACACTCAAAACAATAGTCTCAGGCAAAAAGACATTCAAAAAGGCGGTTCTCCAGAAGCCAGGCTCCTTCTTGATAGCATCATATCGAGCATCATCTTTTCCACGGGATAGAGACCGCAATGCGATACGACCGAATAGTCTAGTGCCCCAGATAGTTACACAGCTCAGAAGTACCTTCTCGGTCCACGAAAGACCATCCCAGCATGCGTTAAACGAGATTCCTTGATCGTACATTGGCTGGCCGATGGCGCTCCACCAGGCATTGATGACTTGGGCCGAGGGCCACAGCCAGTCTTTGAGTTCGACTCTGTCTGTTGCCTTGGCTGCGATGTATGTTCCTAGGGAAAGGCTTGAATAGAGGCCGAATGATGGGAGAATAGTTGATTTTAATATTCCAACGTCTCCCGGTGACATCCTGAACTTTGGACGTGCGTTTTGGAGGGATGGCGAGGAGAGTGGGTTTGGCGGCTGAGTGTTCATCATTGATGGTGGAATCAGAAATGCCGTTCCGATGACAATCTCGGGATCTTCGGCAAGCAAAATATAGCAAGCAGAGTTGGTACGTGCTTTGTTGTTTAACTTGTTTCATTTCGCAACCGTTGATGTCAAGATTATGTAACGTTGCGTAACTGTCCGGGAAGCCGTAGTTGTTTTGGAATGTCCACGGCTGTATTAGAAGCGATTTCATTGTTTTTACTCATCTGGAACTCATTTGAATGAAAGAGCTTGGATAAGTAGGATAAATAATCTAGTTATATACTAAATACAATAATGTGTGGGTATAATATGCGAACAGTGGTTGACATAGCAGACAAAGCGCAGGACATGTGTTGGTGGTAATCGCGACCATGGTTCGAACCTCAACTCGCGTCGATATCTCTCAAATGTGTGGAGATAATTGTGTAAAGATCAGTTCTCCATGTATATGGCAGCGATTGATCATTCTTCTTGAACTTTCGCTGCATAAGAAACGACAACCGCTCATCCCAGAGTGGCGTGAATATCTCCACGTTAGAACCGGAGAACGCCATGGCTTCGTTGTCATTCTGGATGCATAGACCATCCCGCATGTTTTCCCCAGAGACATGTGATATTAGTGATAAGTCAACGGAACAGGTAGTCTCCAGATCATGCAAGTCATAGCCATCTGGTATGCGTTCAAATGGGAGTCGACTGGCATGCACCTTCCGAGATTTCGTGCCAGGCGCCATAGGCTCGTCCGACTGATTGCTGGCTTTACTGCGCATAAGATAGGCTCGCGGATCATCAGGCGAAAGGGTTGTAATGGAAAGGGGGTCTGTAGTTGAAGTTTGCGAGGAGGTCAAGGCAGCCTTTGCAGCGAGGTACCGACTATGATGTGGAGAATGCGAGATCGGGAGAGCAGGTTGTGAACTGGACAAGGATTCGTTTTCCCTGGAACGAATACGACTGCTTTGAATGGCTTGCTTCTTCCTCCATTCAAAGTCAAGTGCCTTCTCCAGATCTGAAGTTTCCTCAACATCAACACCCTCATGCAGCCGGGCGGCCCATCTGTCAAGAACTGGAAATCCTTGACCACTGTCCATTGACTCATCGGTATTATCGTTCAAGCCACGCGGCAAGGAAGAAGCACGTCGAAAGGATTGTTGTGTTTGGCCATTCTCAGATAAATCGCCAAGCTGTCCATCATTCTGCCCGTCAACAGGTGAATTGTTCAGTGAGCGCTCCGCGTGCAATCCGAATCTTTCCTGCGCAAGCGACGAAAGAGGTGACCCAGATTCTTGGATAGGTTCTTCCTCCATTGGACTCTGTTGGAGTGAAACTTGCGTTGTCCTCTGGAACCACGTATCCAGCGCGCCATTGCCGTAGCGTTCTCTATCCCGTTCCCTTTCTGCCTTGCGAGCACTCGATAGGCGAGGCACTTCAGGGGAGGAATCAATCGCTTCTTGGGGATTTTGATGACGGCGCCTCACCGGGGACCCAGATGTAATCCTTGAAACAGGAGGACTCGGAAAGTCCGGGATGTCGGGGGATCGTTGGAGGCTTCTCGGTTCGGAATTTCTTTGTCTGAAGCCTTCTGAGCTTTGAACAACCAAGTCCACGGGACTCCTTTGGCTAAATAGATTCTGCTCGCGATGTGGAGTTCGGAGGGACGCGTTTATTCTCGAGACAGACCATGGATTGACAAAGCTGGAGCGTTTTGGTTTATTGGCATTAGATTGCTCAGGGCTTCCGTTAGAGCTGACTTGGTTATCGGTAGGCAACGTTATGTTTTCCGGTCGAGGTGTTCTCTGCGAAAGAGGAGTGCAGAATATAGCATCTCCAAAGGGATCTTCAGTCTGATGAGACTGAGTGACTAGTTCTGCGGGGGCCTTCCTAGCCATCAAGAGGTCAAATCCACTATTACTGGCCCCGACATTGGACGAAGCCCCGTTCCCTTTGTTGACAATTTTCCTTTCGTTTCCTGCAAGCTCCCCGTAATGATCTCGGAAAAGACTTTCTGTCAGAGACAACACAAGGTCCCGATTCTCAAATAACAGGTCATCTTTCGCTGGCTCGATGTTGACATCGTAGGTCCCTCTAGGGCAACTTATTTGCAAACACAGGAACGGATCCGTCACAGTCTTGGAAGATTCGGTTTGGGATGCGGCGAGACGAACGTACAGCTTGAACAGCTTCACAATCTCTTGTCCAATCCCTCTGCTGCTGGAAAGAGGACGACCATCAACGCTGATAAACTGCCCTGCGTTGTTAATTTTCGATGTATCTGCTCTGGTCAGCAATCATAAACGAGACGTTCAAACAGGCTAACCTACCAAACGGTGGATTCGGGAGAAAAGCAGTAGCTTCATAATCTCCTTGATCGGATGACCCTTCATACTGGGCGAGGGATTGGGAAGAAAGCACTTTCACAATACAATAAGACGACACTTCCATGCCAGCAACTTTGAGAGCTGCATCCGGGAGGGAAGGATATGCGCCTGGTGCATATGTCCAGTTGCTGTTTTCATTTTTCGCCTTGAGAACTTTCAGCGAAAGCCTCTTTGATGGCTGTGCCATGGCATATGCCTGAAGAAGCTTCTTGATCCTTGTCAAGTTTCTTGTGGCTGCTTTCAAAGCTGTCTGCCTCCGAACAGGGATATGTTTGAGGAAGTTCTCAATGCGAACTGTCGTCCCTAGTGGATGGGATGTCCGTTGCGTCCTGGGGTTGAATGTCAACAAAGCTACAACCTTTTCAGACCTCTGGTTAATATCCTACCCAATCAGCTCCCCGTTCCTTCCATACGTGTGACACGAGCCAACAACTTCAGACTGAACTCGAGTGGTGACAGCAACCACCCCTGACATCTCTGCGACACTTGCCAAGGCTTCACCCCGAAAGCCTAAACAAGATCCGCCGACATTCTTGAGATCATCTAAAGTCTGGATCTTGCTCGTGAAGGAACGTTTGCAGACATACTGTTGGTCCTCTGGTGGGATGCCATATCCGTTGTCTTTGATTTGAATGACATCCACGGTATTTTGAGATATCTCGATCTGCACTGAAGTGGCGGACGCATCTAGTGCATTGTCAATGAGCTCTTTAACCACTGAGCATGGATCGGAGATGACTGATGTAGAGCCAATCGCCTGGATTGTGTTCTGAGGAAGCGCCTCAATTGGCATCCTGGGATCGTGATATTATACGCTCATCACCGGAAACTCCACAGATCCATGTGAACAACTGCAGCGCCTTTGACTGATGAAGACCTGGCTATGCAAAAGATGCAGGATGAAGTTGGGCTCGAGTTGTAATTCCACGCACGAGGTCGACAATCAACATGATGAGTCAGCCACTGTGGCGCGATAAACAACACGTCGGATTTGAACACTCTTCAGTCTTGTCCACAGCATCTCAAGGCGCTGAAATGTTCAGCGAAGACTTTTCAATATCGCAGCTGGCAGTACCGGCTGTCAGTATTCTGATCAGTTTCCTTGCGTACACATCACAGTACTTCTTCCTGCATTTCGAGGCCTTGCCACTCACCAAGGACGAGACTTGGAAAATCAACATATTCGCCTTGTGCATTTGGATATGCTATTACCGAGCATGCTTTGTAGACCCTGGTCGGCTACCGAAATCTGAAAAGCGACCAGAGCCCAAAGACCAAGAAGGTGACGGTCTGACCGGTCGCCAGCGATGGTGTCGTAGATGCGAAGCTTACAAACCGCCACGGGCTCACCACTGCAAGACATGCAAAAGGTTTGTTGAGAATCCCTAATGTGAGAATTTTGTGCTAATCCGTCATCAGATGCATCCCCAAGATGGATCACCATTGCCCTTGGACCTCAAACTGCGTCTCACATTTCACGTATCCGCACTTCATTCGCTTTCTCTTTTACGCAGTTGTCGGAATGTCGTATCTTGAGAGCTGCCTTTGGCAGCGTGGCTCTTTCGTATGGAAGAACAGCAACTTGCCCAGCGTATGTAGCGTGATAACTGCGCGGATACTTTCATACTGACAATTGAATAGTACCTTGGCCCCAGACTGGGACAGCTCATCCACCTATTCATACTTTTTGTGGTCAACAGTCTGACCGTATTTGCTCTATTCGTCCTCTTGCTCAGGAGCCTTTGGTCGCTAGGAACGAACACGACCACCATTGAATCCTGGGAGATTGAAAGGCACGCCACCCTTGTCCGGCGATCCCGTGTTCTAGGCGGGTATCTTGAAGGCCCAGGTGGAATCCGAATTCAGATCAGAAAACAGGAGTATCCTTACGACATTGGGATTTGGGCTAACATTAAGCAAGGCATGGGCGGGAGTGCCAATGTCAGTTCCCATCCATATCTGACAACCTATATCTTATTAATATTCTCTTAGTTTATCAGCTGGTTTTGGCCGCTTGCTGCAACACCAGATAGGTGCACTGGTTGGGAATATGAAACCAACGACTTTGAGGGTATGTTGAAGAGTTGAATATTCAAACCCCACCTACTGATCATTTTATTAGACCCAGGTGTCTCGTGGCCACCGCCAGATCCCGATAGGATTCCCATGCCTATCAATACAAGTCTAGGCCCCAACGCACCTCCACCATACGCAAATGTTCAAGAGCAGGTCGATGCATTCAATCGTCGCAAAAATGAAGACATGAAGCGTTTTACGGCGAATTCTGGTTTACAGCGCCGCAAGCCCTTCCATGATCGTTATCAAAGAGATGAATTTGCTCCAAGCGAAAGCGATGAGTCTGAACCCCAGTCAGGCAATGACTCAGACGAAGGCGAAGAGTCCTGGCGCAATGCCGAAGGAGAACGATTACGAGACTTCGGTGTCGATGAGGAAGCAGAATTCTACGATGAGGAGGATATCCCTCTCGGGGTTCTCCTTCAACAACGCAGACAACAGCAGTCATCCAATTGAATAGCTGACTACAGGATTCAATAAAAACAACCTGGTCCATCAAATCTTCTTCGCGATACCCCTGAGCCGTACATATCCCAGCCACTGGCTACCATCTTCACCGCGAGTAACAACATCCTCAAGGACGTCACAAACCTGACGCACCACAGCATCCCGCTTCTCCTCAGGCAGAGCCTCCAGAAATTGAGCACCCATCAGTCGAACCCATCCCTCCAATCCACCCTTGGCATCAGTAGTGAGCTTGGTCGGGCGGTATTCCAGTTCAATCCTTTCGACCTGGAACCCAACTTCCTCCAGCGCACTCCGCATCCAAGTATCAGACGGGAAGAACCAAGGACTCGTCTCCTTCGCCTTCTCAATAGGAATGCCGTGCTGCACGAGAGCGTAGATCAGAGCCGTCTTGACCTCGGCAACATTACCATGTCCACCCATCTCAAATACATAAGTACCACCAGGCTTCAGACTGCCATAGATGGCGCGAAGGGTTGACATCCGTGTTGTCTCGTCACGCAGGATCCAGTGGAGGGCTGCATTGGAGATCCTGTTATTTTGTTAGAGATTTATCACATAGTCCATATATTGTAGTAAATACATACACTTTATCCCACGATCCATTCACAATTGAAGTTACCTTCTCTAGATACCGGCAGTCCACAAGGCGGAAGCTAGCCTTGGGGCTTCCGTAGTCCTTGTTGGCAGACTCGATCATAGACTTAGATGAGTCAATACCTAGGACGGACTCGATGGCTGGAATGAAATTCTCTGTGAATTTTCCATCGCCGCAGCCGATATCGAGGATTTTGTCTGTTGGCTTGGGGTTCAGGTATTGAAGCAGCTTGCCGGCGAGCTTCGGAACAAAGGATGCAGAGGTAGCATAAGCCTGAAATTGTCAGCAATGATGATATAGTCTGTAAATATACCGTTTGCACACCTCAGCTGACCAGTGGTCTTTAGCTCCCTGTGTAATGGGTGCCATGATGTCGGAGCTCGATGTATAAACAAGCGGTGAACTTTCAGTCTTGGCGTTGGAACGTTGCTTGATCTTAGCGACGCGAAGAGATGATGAGAATGAAAGAATGCTCCCAGCGTGTCTCTGGCGCAGAAGACTTGATTGACTATATTATTCTCTCTTGTCTGGGTAGTTGAGCTCTCTTATATGTATTTGAGCTCATAGAGCGGAGATGATCGTCCAAAGTACAGCGAGGCCGATATCGGACCGGACCTATCGGCTCATGAATAGTGTCCCTGTTAATATGTTCTCTGCGATCTCGCAGGAAGTCGAGTCATTTGAAGTTCTGGAATGTAGATGAAGAGAATGAGTAGATTTTTGACTAGAAATTAGAAGCTTATTGGAGGTGACGAGGGGTTTTCGAGGGCAGCGAGAAGCGACACGACTGGCTCAGCGTTGAACATGAGAAATAAACGTCAATATTGTGGAATTGACGGATTATTATTTAATGCACGAGTACATGAGATATAGCTGATACAGGAAACTCAGAATTATACATTTCTCGTCAAGATAACACGCTCGAACTAAAGCTATTTGCAATGGGGCGATATAGTGTCAAAGATGCATAAATTGTGCAATCCCTACAATGCCCATTATTGGCCCAGACTTTGTTTCTAGAACAAAGTTCTATTTTCTATGCCCTTCTTGTATATCAATTATGTTATCAACATGATCTATATCTAAGTTCCATCACAGAGAATAAAAAGGTAAAGCTATACTCAGAGCCAAATTGCGGGGCAAGACATGTCGATCCGCCGACTCCAACAATGATAACAAACCAGCTCTGACATCTTCCCCTGCAAAGCGCGAGCCATCACATTAACCATGCTATTTTCTGAGGGTTAATAACCCAAACGAAAATGCTAGAAGCCTCAGCCCAAGCATCAAGCTCCGAGCGACCGGGAGCTGTCGTACAAAACCCCCGACCGCGCTCCGCCCATGACAGCGAAACGGATCCCCGCGAGGCGCTCGAGCTGCGAGAAATACAAACGCAAGAGGATAACCAGTTGGAAGATTCCACACAATCAAATTCATCGGGCGACGAATATCGCGTCGTGACTCGGCGCACAACATCACTCGCTGAGGCAGCTCGTGTCCAGTCTCGGCAGCGCCGCCTCGCGAGGAAGGGGGCTTGGGGAAAGTTGGCGAGGTTTTGGACGCATCATGTTACTTTGACTGTGCCACACAAGAGTAACCGTGATTATTTTGGTGCGTATATTCCTTTCGCTATGGCTGGCTTTTTTTTTTTTTTTGTTTTTGTTTTTCGGCTAACCGTCTCGCAGCCCTTGAGCGGACATTTCTTGCATATATCCGGACCTCATTGGTGGTGACCCAACAGGGTGTGCTTATTGCGCAACTATTCCGTCTGCCGGCGGTGGAGGCCTTGGGGGATCGTTTGGGTTTCTACCGCGTTGGCGTTCCGCTTTCTGTTACTTGTCACTGCGTGGCTATTGTTGTCGCTTTGGTTGGTGCTTATCGTTTTTGGAGACAGCAGAACGCCATCGCTCGGGGCAAGGTACATGCTGGTGGGTGGGAACTGAACTCTGTAGGGATCCTTTTGGGCTGTGTAAGTGTTGCATATTTTGACTGGGCTTGGGAGTCATGGCTGATACGATCTAGATTATATTGACGACGTTGATTGTATCTGTCGCCATTGTTGTCGAGGATGAATCCGATCCATCGGTGCTAGGTCAGTGGATATTGGGGCGATGAGTCGTGCCAGGTTTCGAGTAAAATTCATGAGATATGACTGCATCCTAGTTCCACAAATAAACAAGCATAGGAGTTGCTGAGGATGCCGATTTCCGAATGTATAGTATGGTTCGGAGAAGATGCCGAGCGCTCCTCAACTTGTCTATGTACACAGCCGCTTGAATATAATTCTTCCATTCTGGGGTTCTTTCGATGTCTCAAGGCCAATCAAATGTCCACTTTGTGCTGCGCCCGACAGGATGGCCCCAGTGGGGCTAAGTTTACTCTTGGCTTCGGGGTCTTCGTATATAAACGACAGCGAAGATCTTTGCACATGGCCCATCACCCAGAGCACGCCAACTCGAGAGATCTACTATAAGGCAGACCCATGCCACCACCGAGGCTCGGACTAAAAGTCGCAATATCTTCATACTCTCCAACTCCACATCCACACCATGTCCGCCCTCAACGAAGTATTATCAACAAGACACCGCCTATCAGTCTACCACATCTACCACAAAGGTGACGAGCACGTCTCAATAACACCATTCCTAAACTTGCGAAAAGAACTCGGCTATAGCAAAAAGCAACACAAAGACCTAGCAAGGAAATACGGCAGCGAACCAGACCGATCCGATTCAGACAGCTATTTCGTGCACAAACCATCACTCGCCTTCCACGACACCCCGCGAACCCTCCGTCGCGGAAACCTCAAGCGTGGAACGCCGATCTGTATCATGAATTGTGGGGCTTTTTGGAGGAGCTGGAATTTACAGTTTGGGCCCGATCTGAAGGATATTATTGATCCGAGAGGTGTGGTCAAGTGGGAACATCGCAGTAATCCGAATAATACTGCTCTCAATGATGATCGTGCGCTGAAGGGGTATAAAGTTCGCACGTGGCGGCTTTGGGGGGAGAGTGGGAAGGAGTATCATCGTCAGGTTAATTTCCGTCGCAAGTCTACTAAACAGGAGACTTTGGAGGAGAAGGTACAATATGGTGAACTGGCGCCTGTGAAGACCGACAAGATGGCCGCTGAGAGTAAAAAGGCTACGTTGAATGAGAAGGGTCTTGATTATTCGCAAGCACCAGAGTCGAAATCTACATCTGAAGACTCTGTTCCACAGCCAGCTGTGGCTGAAGAAGCAGTGCGGCTTGTCTGGGACTTTCCGATATCACTGAACTCCCGACAATACAGTTTCAAATACGCCGATATCAAATTCACCTGGGAAGGGACACGAGATCTCCATTCAAACAGTAAATGGGCGAAGAGACTTATGCCATTTAACCACCTGAGGTTACTTGCTAGGCTACCAGGTCGTGAGAATGAGCCTGTAGTTATTGCACAGTACACATCAAGCTTCGCATGCCGGAAATTCGGCGAACTTTGGGTCTTTGATTCGGCAGTATCCAGTGTTCTCAAGGAGGCTGGCAACTCTTCCCTGTGCAGCAAGAAGAATGATGAGGATGAGGTCTTTCAGTTGGATCCTGATAATGATATCCGAGAAACGAGGCTTTATTATCTGGTTATGGCCACAGCTATGTGTATGGTAATCAGCGAATGGCAGAAGCGGATGGTTATATTTATGATCCTCGCCATCGCTGCCGAAGGGGGTGGTGGTTGATTTCCAAGATTCCTCCATAATATTTGACTAATGAACGCCGATTGTGAATTTGGATAGGAACTGGCAGTGTCGCGCTTTCCTTCTAGGCTTTAGCATTCTGGATATAATCTGTACGTTAATTGCACTGAACTATATATTACAAGTTAACTATGAGATATGGCTACGAGACCGAATATGATGGCTGCTATGTCGTTTCGTGCTTCGCAGATCTTCTTCGAGGATAAACCACTGCCTCGCAACTTCTGCCCTCTCGTCTGCAGAAGATTGGCGCATCTCTTCATGACCCTGTGCTATGCGAGAAAATACAATATCATCCTGTTGGGCCTTTCCAAGTGAAACTTGAAGTTTTCTGCGAAGTCCAACCAAAGGGTACCCAGCCAGTCCCCATATACCTTGTTAAACATTAGCATCAGTTGGTTGACCGTGTCGGTCACATTTGGGCCACATTTTACATACCTGCCGGTGGCTTTAAGAAGACACCTCCAACGCCTTTACCGATTCCCTTGGCCATCCCTGCGGCGCCTCCATGCTTGTATCCATACTGGGGTTGGGTGACCAAGCCTGTGACTCCATAGTAGAAGCCATCCCGGAATTCCTGTTAGATCAATGGTTAGTCTGAAGGTTATCAAGCAAACAATTTGGTTCCCGCATACCTTGCCAGCGGCCCGCAGTCCACTCCGAAAACCAATCACCTTCGGTGTGGATTTAACCATCCGGTCATGATACAACTTGGGGGCATTGTGAAATCCTTTCGATAGGCTTAGTGTGAGGTCTGTTGGAAGCCAGATAACAGTCTTCAAAAGCTTCTTCGACATCCGACCACCATGATATTGCATTTCAAAAACAGCACCCTTCTTTCGCTGCGCGCATTTCGATCCGCATGTCATCGTGTGAGATTTCTCCAGCTGCAGGCTTCGTTGGCGATCCCTGCTGGCCTTGGGCGTATCGCTGTCTATTTCATCGATTCTGCTGCTGTCGCTCAGACTCAATCCGTCGTCCGTTTCATCCAAATCGTGGGTTGGCGTTGGTGTCGATGACGACTGCTCATTTGACCCCTGGTGCTGGGAGGACTCATCGCTTTCAGAACTATCCCCTCGGCGCATTATACTTCTTTCTGTATAACCGCATGCTTGCCTAAAGTCAGGGCGATCAGGGGGATGTCCGATGGCACGACCGGCAGACACAATATCCGTGACCATGTTCCTGGGTAGATCTGCGAGTCCAGTCACAAAGTTTGCAACCGCTCCAAATAGTACTTGAGTTGATGCACTGATTGGACCGACTGGGTCGCGATAGGTGTCATATTCCTGTGGGCGGTTCCTGTAATAGTAGTCAGTGGACTCGGACTTGATGATATCTTCTGGTTATGTGGATCTCACAAGACGACATTGTCAGGCTTCAACCGTCCCATCTCGACCAGAACAGATGCTGCAAAAGCACTGAGTCCTATATCGGTGTGTTTGATGTGCCAAACAGCAGGTCGAGAGGGACATATCGCACATCGCAATGATGCCAAATCAAGGTGACGATGGAAACTGCGCACTCCGTCCCGAACACCAGATTCACTCTTCATGTTTTCACTAATTTCCCGTGCCTTCTTCTTAATTGCTGGCTCCAATGCCGATTGAATGGCATCCGTTAACTTCGTGGCTGTCAATTGCTTATAGGGAATGGGTACTGGACCAGCCCTTGCCTTTGCGACAATTTTCCCCCAAAATTGTTGATCCCCAAAGAAAGGAATGATGATAGTCGGACATCCCAAAGAAAGCCCAGCAGCTGTTGTACCGGCACCACCGTGGTGAATGACACACGATACTTGCTGGAACAGCCAGTCGTGTGGAACGCTCCCTATAATGAGGATGTTGTCGGGGGCATCGACTTGGTCGACTCCCAAGTTGCCCCAGCCTTTTGAAACAATCGCACGTTGACCAGCATTCTTGATAGCTTCAAATACGATCTTTGTCAATCTGACCTGATCATCTACCACAATGGATCCGAACCCAACATAGATCGGTGTTGGTCCAGCCTTAAGAAAGTCGGCGATCTCTTTTGGGGGTTCGTAATCTGACTTCGTTGGAAGGAAACTGAATCCGCAAATATCAGCGTTCTCGGGCCAATCTTTTGGTTTCGAGAGTAACGAGGGTGACCTAGATACAATAATTCGTTAGTGGACTTATCCATTGCAACATGTCATTATGGCTCTTACCAAAGGTACGAATAGGGAATGCGTAAGCGATGGATCAAACTGGGTGCTGTGATCGAATCCAGGTCGTCCAATGCGAGACAATTCTTCCGCCAGGTGTTCACCAGGTCCCCCAATCCTTCCCAAATCATCATGTCGACAACTGCATAAGATACAAAGTTCGCAACTGTGGGCTTGCAGCCAGCCTGGTTGAGCACTGCAAGCGGATGCGGAAAAGACTGCGTAGGCGTCCATGGCATTCTAAAGAGATCAAGTTAGACACTTTCGCCAAAGTTATATTAGCATATAAACCCACGTGAACATCATATGAAGGGGAATCCCCAATCTTTGTGCGCAATGAACATGGGCCAAACTGGGTGGATTGGCGATAATAGCATCAGCGACAAATGGACGTCGTCGATGATCCACTGTGTCGTTCCAAAGATCCTCCTTGATTTGATGCAGATCGGTCCCATCGCCTGTTTCAATGCAGGATCTCCAGCATCCGTATATGATCGATTTCATATCTGCACGACGCTTCTTGATGGCTCCACTACGGATCGTGCGGAGCCCGGGCAGGAGTCCAGGGTTCTTAACCATGAATGCCATCAATTCCTCGGGATCCCCTCCAATATTGAAGAATTCCAAGCCACTATCAAGCACAAAATCACGGAACGCAAGATGCGTTGCTAGTCGTACACGGTGTCCATGTGCCTTCAATTCTTTGCCCAGTGCAACGAATGGTTGGATATCGCCTCTGGAACCGATCACTTGGATCACGATATTCAAATTTAGCGGAAAGAACTTTCCTTCATCTTTCGGTATGGCTTCCGGTGTCTGCTCCTGTTCGAGATCCTCTAGGTCGGACGCTCGAGGTGTTTTCTGCATGCGATTCAACAACCCCGCGATACTCGGCTTGTGTTCGTTGATTTTTATGTCCAGACGTCCGTCACCTGTGAGATAAAATACATTAATTAGTAAGAGGTCTGCGATAACCATGTCTCTACGAGTATATACCTAGCACCCGGACACCAGTGTTCAGTCCGTCTCCATTGAACTCCATATGTTCCCAATCCCGCGAGTGTGGCTCGCTGACCTCTTCAGGCCAGTCTTCCGATCGTATCACTTCATGGCGACTGGATCTGCCTCTCGCGGCAGTCGGTGTTACCGACGCCATGCTTCTCGGGAGATCAGCTCCAAGTGATCGGCCAGCGTGATGTATGGGAATGTGAAAAGCAAGAGATGATCGGCGAGGAATATCTTATGTACCCAAAGTACTATGTAGCCTGATCTCTTCAATGAATATAGTATGCAAATCCTGGAGAAAGGGTCTCGCAAGAATATGGTCAAATATCGATGATGTCACAGAGGGTCGATTCCGAACATCCGGCTTCCCGGGTCTTTCCACTGCGGATCCCGATCGCCAAGGAGGCTGAAGGGTGTTCTTGTTTTGCTTAGCAACGGCAAAGAGGTTTTAAAAAGAAGAAGCAGACGCATACCCTGTGTTCGAAATCCACTTTTCAAAACGACATGTGACTTGTATATGGGTCAAGCCGTGGATTAAAGCCGAAGGATGTTGAGAGAGACGATATCCGATTCATAAGCTATAATTATGATTATGTGATTTCGGGATGTTCAAATAATCCACTTCTCGGGCATCTGGCATCGCCTTACATCTGAATTTGCCCCTGGAACCCAAAGCGAGAAATCTATCCAACCTTTTGAAGCATCTACAGAGGTGGGTCAGCCACTCTCTAGGTCAAAGCCAAGCCACAAACGATGTATACTGACGCTGTTAGTATTTGTATTAACTTGTTATGCTATTATATACTTTCTTATGCAATGCTCGCTATATGCATTAAATTGATGAGGTGTCGCCGACTCTTCCGTTTTCCTCGGCTGCCATTGCTTCTCTCTCGTCAATGGTCATCTCACTCTTCGCCTCACGGATTCTCACAAAGAAGACCACGATGAGCAGCCCCAGAATTGCCAGTCCGGTCTGGTACCAGAAAACCGCTTTGTAACTCTTCCGAGTCCCCAGTTCTTCCGTCTGAGTCTGTGTGATATCTGCGAAGCCCAACATCACAGCAATTCCCATGTGTAACGTACAGTTGATCAACGCACCAGCCAGACCCTGTCGCGCCTTGGGCAAGTTTGTCGTGATGAAGACATTGGCCAAGTTGAAGCTGATATCAATCCCGATCGTACCACATAGCATTGAAGGGAACACAAAGGCCCAGTAGTTTCCGCCGGGCGGGATGACGGCGAAGAACAATCCAGATCCCACATAGCCGAGACATGAGATCATCATGAGAATTGTTCCTGGTACTTTGTGGAATATCATTCCTCCACCGACGGACAATATTAGCCCGCCAACACCCATAGGGGCACACCATGCCACGATTTGCATTGGGGAGGCACCCATTATGTCGGACATGCTAAGCGTGACCGTTAGAAATACAAAAAAACCACAGTACTATCCGGGGATAACTTACTAAAGCACTGCATAGAGCATAAAGATTCCCAGCGTCCCATATAGGAATAGCAAGGCTATAACCAGCGGAGTCATGTACTTGACATGGAAAATATCACCAGGCAACAATGGGTTTTCAACCACCCACCCCTCAACATAAACCATCGCCCCAAGGAAAATAAGCCCAAGTGCAAGGAACAGTGGGATGTATGGCGTTTTCCATCCTTGAGGTGCATACGAACTGTCTGCAATGGGAAAGACGATCAGGACAGCCGCAGGAACCGATAGACATGCACCAGCCCAATCCATCTTGATGCCAATTTTTCTCTTCTCGTGGTAGTCCCGCGGGATGGAGAAGGACGCTAGGGCCGTAGTGATGGCGGATAGAATCGCACCGAAGAAGAAATACCATCTCCAGGTGAGATATTCACCACAGAGGCCGGAGAAGAAAATTCCAACGAAGAATCCCAGTGCTGCGCAAGCGCCATAGATACTGAAGACTATGTTCTTTCTGGGTCCGGGTCGATATGTACTACCGAGCACCATGATTCCTGATGGAAGGAAAGCGGCAAGGCCAAAGCCTTGCAATGCTCGGCAGATGACCAGCATTAGCCATGTTTGAGACACACCGCAGAGGATCGATGATATTGTAAGCCATAGTGCCCCGGCGGTGTAGATGAGATATCCGCCGAACATGTCGGTCATTCGGCCGAAGATGAGAAGCGTCGAGGTGACTACCAGTGATAACGCGGTAGAAGGCCATATTGCGGAGGCTGCTGGAAGGTCAAGCTCTGCAACAAGGGTTGGAAGGAGCACATTTGATCCTGAGATGTAATATTCCTAATCAAGTTACATAGGTCAGATGGTTGTCATAAGTTGCGTGCAGGATCTTGAATACTTACAGCAAGAATCTGTGACATGAAAATAGACAAACAAAAGCACAGCTCTGACCAGAAACCTTTGAAGCATTTTGGGCGCTCTCTTCCTAACCTTTCCAGATCGGCGATTTCCTGGTTTATTCTGGCCTGCTCAAGGTCGGGTGGCAAGGCATTACCATTCGGGCCAGGACCCTCTGGCGCTCCCATGATATTAGGCTAGCCACGATGGAATTTACTTAGTGATCAAGTATGCAGTTGCAAAGTAGACAGGCATGTTGATGAGAGGATAATTGCACTCCTATTTATTCTTTCACCGGTGGCTAATTTCTAAGCAATGACGACCTAACATGCGGATGGAGGACCCAGTAAAGTAGTATTTGCTGATAAATAGTATCCGTTTCCAGAAGGGTAAGAGAATATTCTGCACGGGGAAGCTAAGATGATTTGTGGGTGAGAATCGGACTCTTAACGTACTAGAGATAGTGCCAAGGCTTCTCCGCTGGACTTCCTGCTTAGGAAGTTGCGAGGAGTGGAGCGGGCGGGGCCGGGAAAAAGAAAACGTTTTGACACCGGAAATTTACGCACGTGTGAATTGCAGGGTTTTGAAGGCGGTGGAGGAATAAAATTGAGCAAAAAAATGAATAATGAGGTAAACTGATCATCAAAGTGGTAGTTGGGGGCCCTCGACTTTGGCGTTATTAGCACCACACTCTAACCAACTGAGTTATGGAACCAGTTGTTGTGACCGGGCTAGGTTTTTTGATTCTTGAGCCAACATTGCAAACTCCCTGCATATGAGTCATGGCTTATCGTTACTTATTGCCGATAGGCTTCTCAGTTGTTGTGCTAAGCACTTTGAATATATCTTTACAAACGTATTTTTTAGCAAACAGGATTCAAGAGGTTCTGAAATGTAAACAAGAGCGGAGGTATACTGCAGGCGTTCTTACAAAGAACTTCTGGGTGAGACATATACATCGGATTTTAGGCCGCGCGACGCTATGGTACCAGATGAGATACAGAATGGATCGCATTATTGTGATTACGTGACCTAGCTAGCCACTTTAACGTAGTGTAATTACGGTCCTGCAATTAATGTAAGTCGATCTGCCCACTTGCTTTACTTTCCTTTTCCAATACCACTCCCTCAAAAAACAAACAAACATGGAACACCTTTTCCAAGCCTTTCGCCGGGTCCAAAAAGGACTTGACGATCCCGACGATCTTCTGGAGCTATTCCAAAGGCATGAGAACTTGAATGACCCTTCCGCAGTCAGTGTAGACGATCGAATTCGACTTCTCGATCTACCTCCTCGATCGGTTCAAGACGAAGCAATTGCATCAGTGACTACTCTTACAAAGAATGAACTGCTCAAACGCGGTGCTGAATTTCCCGCTGCGCTGAGCGAAAATGAAATGAAACTTCTCATGGCCCGATACTGGCTTGATGGTATGAAATGCCACATCGACGATGCCTTTATGAATGCCCTTGATTTCTTGGAAGACATCAAAGAAGACTACTCAACCGAGATCTGTGACCGTCTTGATCGCTTTCGAGAACCGCTTTATGAAGAGAACGAATGCAAAGCCATCGAGAATGCAGAGGCTGAGAGCATCCGTAGAATGAATGCAGGGCATGACCAGAAGTTGCAACAGGATCTGGCCAGAGTGTTTGCAGAGGGAAAGCCTTGGCTTCAGCGACCTTGGCAAGAGGATGGTTCCAAAACATGGGGATACGCAGTTTTCGAGAGCCCGCAGTTTGTTGCTGATCCCAAATATGATGTTTATAAGGGAGAGCAAAAAACGGCAATGGAAAAATCTCTGCGTCGCATCGTTTCGGGTATTGAGATTTTTCGCCGTCACAAGATGGAGAAGCAATCCTGGCCATCTCAGATGAGTGGTGCTTATCGATTTCCTGAGATTATCGACAAGTTGCGCCAGGAATTTAGAAACCGACGAAACGGAGGCAACCTTTCCGATGGACTTCTTCCCAACGTTTTCTTGTACCTGGATCACGAATCTGCGACGTCACTTTTTCATTCTCATGGGTATGTCGACGCTATGTGGATCTGGGCAGTCGATCCGGACTATGAGCCTGAGAATGATCCCACGGACGATTATCAAGGATACTTGCGTGTTGGTCTCAAGCAACTCGTGGATAACTTCTACATTGCCTGCCGCTGGCAAAGTGACTTTTCGACGAAGGATCTTTGGGAGGCGGCACAACGAGAGTCGAACAAAGCATTCGCATCCGTGGAGCCGGAAACGCCAGATGAATTTCCCCTCAGGACGGAAGGCGTCAATATTGCACCGGAAAGTTTACGAGTTTTACATCCGATAAGGAATGACTGAATCGATGTTCCTACACAACTGGTCTATGCATCTCATGGCTAGCCATTTATTCGCAAACGTTTGACTCTGTCCCGACGCAGTACGCCTCTCCTTGGAGTAGCCCCTGGCACTTTCCTTTCTTTGTGTTGACGGCAGGGTTCAGCTTGTAAAAGAAATCGAGAGATATACCTGCTTCATCAGCCATATCTTGACAATACTTCCCCTTGTCTGAACGCATGAGCCATTTATTACAATCCGAGGCAATGCCTGTTTGGATGGGACCGGGAGGACCGCCAGTGGTGCTTGTTACGTCCGAGTCTGAAGTTGAAGTGGAATCCGACGTCGCAGTCGCAGTCGCAGCTGGAGGGGACGGGCTTCAGAGAAACTGGAGTCAGCGGAGTGACCGGAGTACTTGTGCGGCCATGCGACATGCCACTGCTCGAGTCGGTCCTGTATCCAGGCCACACCCAAGGCGGCAGAGTTTCGTATGTGTCACGGGTGCGGTTCATGAGGGCCCTACTCGGCAACCAGTAGGGTGCTTGCGTCACGTGTCAGGCATAATAGGGTCCTTGCCTGAGGAATGTTGATATGTCATCACGTGTCAGACTACTCGTGTCTCCACTGCATTAGCTATATTAGTTAACTATGGAGGGTATGACGTAAGGGGTCGCCGGCTTAATAGCCGCCGTATTCTAGGACGAGTATATACTCACATCCCTGCAAGTACGAAGAGACAACCCGTTGGTCGTATATCTGATGCTAGTGAAGCAGTTCGACAATTGACCTCATTTACGTTGCCGTCTATGTTGGACCGAGGTCTGGAACTTGTTGTCATTGTGGCATTATTCCTCGGTCTTTCGTCAATTACAGTGGGTCTGCGATACTTTGTGCAGCTCTGCTTGACACATTGTTTTGGAATGGATGATACGCTTTCTGTGGTGTCTCTGGTATGTCTTCCACTGACTAGTTGGTTTTCCCATTGTCTTCATGGGGAAATCAGTAACTGGGAGAATATTATCTAATTGCATATTAGATCTTCTACATTATAAGCTCGGTTTCTATATTCATAGCTGCTAGAACCGGTACCTTTGAGCATTTTTGGACGGATATACAGCCAGACAATCTCCGCGTAGGGCTAAAGGTTAATACCTCAATAAACTGATCGACAAGTTTACAATTTAAGCTGACAGATACTTTCTAGCTTCTCTTATTATGTGAGACTTCATACGTCGCCGCCACCATTTTTGTCAAAATTTCTATTGGGGTATTTCTCCTCAGGTTCTGCGTCGAAAATCTCTACAAGAGGATTATCTATGCTGTCCTGTTAGCTATCGCATGCTTTGGTACCTTCATATTTCTGTTTCTTCTCTTTCAATGTCGCCCTCCAGCTTCTTTTTGGGAGCAAGCTATTTCCGCATCTCTTCACGGTAATTGCGCACATGGCACACTAGTACCTGTCTATATCTATTCGGCGATAAACAGTGCTGTGGACTGGATACTGGGTATCATTCCCGTTTTTATCGTCTGGCATATGCATTTGAGCTGGCATATGAAAGTTTACATAGCCATTGTCCTGGCTTTTGGATCTTGGTATGTTCTGCGTATCTTCTTTACCTATAATACGCTCCTTGGTGGCATGCTAATTTTTCTTTCTTGGGTTCAACAGTGCAAGTATTGCTACGGTAGTGAGATTTACGTATATTGGAGATTATCGTGACCCCAGAAACCTGTTCTACAATCACGGCTTGATAATTTGGTCGGAGCTGGAAGTTGGTTTTGCTCTTATAGCGTCGTCAGCGGCGAAATTGCGGCCTCTCCTGATTCAACTCCAATTGTGCGTTCGTCGATACAAATCCCAACACTCTAGTCAGGAAGCGTGCGACCAAAGCCTGCAATTGGGAGTGTCTCCTTACAATCCAAGAATTGACAGTGTTGTGGAGACGCAGTGTCGACTACCGCTTGGCTCCCGAACAGGAACATCCAGCGCAGTTGAAGGACACGATGACCTTGTTTGAATGAGTATGTGTATTCCACACGGACAAAGCCTCGTGCGGTTTCCTGACTGAATGTTCTAGGCGTACACCAATGCATCCTCTCTTGGCGCCGATGGAAATCGGCTCTACACTATTGGCACCTCTGCCGACGCGATGCTAGCCCTGCTAGGCGGCCGAAAGATTTTGTCTGGTCAATCCAGGGTTCCTGCAACCTCTCTCTACGGCATTGTTGCAGTCAGCCCAGTCATAATCCACCTAGACAATATCCCCACCAAATACCAAGCTGCATACACATCATATGATGTGTATGGAGAAGGAGCACCGGTCATCACACGGTCCGTCATGTCCGAGTTCTTTCGATGGGTCCACGCGGCCCATGATGACACCAGCAGTTTTATATTTCTTTACGATAAGAGCTTCTCCAAATTTCAGCCAGTGTATATAGCGACTGCAGAGTGTGACCCCTTGCGGGATGATGGCAGGACCCTGGCAGCTGCCTTGAAAGATGCTTGGGTGAGCGTCCGCGAGGACTCCTATCAAGGCATGCGTCACTGTTTTTGGTTCTTCAATACCCGCCCCGAATGGTCTTCCTTTATTGAGAATACCGTTTCATCTAAGGCCACATTAGAAGGACCCCAATGGAAGCTATTCGGAACCCCTCTCCACCTGCTATACTAATTAAGCCGGCCGCAGTAATTGTTTCCCAATGCATTAATCGGTAAAAATGCATGCATTTCTTGGCAATATAGGATGCATCGAGCATTGGCGGTCATGGACCTAATGTACTTCTATTTACTATACAGCCCCCTAGTAAAATTAAGTCACTACTACTCCTCACTAATGAGACTATACCGAAATATTGGTCCAGTCGTAGTGTTGTCAAGTTATAATCAAGTAAAGAGTCACCAAGTTGTTCCGAACAGTAGACACAAGTAACAATTTATGATTGAACACGAAGAACTAAACTAGATACATAAGGTCCTTATATATCCTGGTCCTCATATAGGTAGACGGGGTAGGTAGTATGCTAGTAGATGGTCATTAGCGCTATCTATCCATCGATCGGTATACCCTTCTACCATCTTCATAATCACATAGTTACCGCGTAGTAGTTAATTGCAATATTGCTCGAGACGGCGAGTGGAGGGTCGAAAGTGCCCTTTGGCGCGCGGAGGTTTTCTGGTATGTAGAGCTTCGTATATATATACGTTTCAATGATTCTATAAAGTAGTCGTGAGATACAACCAAAACCCATCCCATTGGGTAAATCTCATCTCATAATAAAGAACGGTATTTTTGAGCTTCATGGTGATCAGTCCCCTCAAAATCCGCGGCCTAAGCGAATCGTTCGGCATTTTGGCGAGGGTTTGCCGCCACGTGTGACCAAATAGTGGCTTCAATTCTAGAACGCTGATCTCTTTCGTCACTGCCAGTGTTGTCCTGAAACACTTCATCCATCTCTTCGAGGGTACGTCCATTAGTTTCCGGAACGAAGAACCAAGTCCAAACAAAGGACAAAACACAAAAGACACAGAAAAACACATATGTTCCATATCCTGTATTTTGCACGAGGGGCGGGGTGATGAGACCGATAATGAAGTTGTTCAACCAGTTGGACATCGTAGAGTATGCCATACCCTTCGCACGCAGCGAAGAGGGGAAGATCTCAGCCGGCATTGCCCAAGGAATAGGGCCCCACGAGGCTCCATAAGACAGCATGAAGAAGCATAGGAACGCTACGCAAACCCAGGCTTCCCCTGTATGTGAAGTCCAGTCTGATTGGAATTGGCTCATTAACACAGCAATAATGAGATGGGAGAGAACCATGCAAATTGAGCCACCGAAAAGCAATGGCCGACGACCAAATCTGTCCATTCCCCAGAGTGAAATGATACAAGCAACCATCTGACAAATGTTGATAACCCCAGACATATTTAATTGCATGAAGTAGTTGAGACCCATCCCTTCGAACAAACTGGGCGAGTAGTAAATAAGAGCATTCACACCACCGAATTCTGGAAGGTTCCGAATTAGTATAATGCTAGAAAAGTAGGACTTTGTTGCCGTAGGTAATATGCCTATGGCATGGAGGAAATCAAAATAACTCACGTTGAAAGAACATAATTCCGATTCCCACGTGCGTCCGTTTCCAGCAGCCCCTGCGGAAGCAGTCGAGGTAACTCCACACATGAAGCATGACGCGGCTAAACATCGTCCCATCCTGACATTTCGGATGGCGCGCAGCACTCAACTCCTTACAGTAGGCAACCTCTGACCGAATGTCAACCCATTCTCGCAATACACGCTCATCGGCTTCGTCAACGCCTCGTAGCTTGCAGAGAGTCTGCAAGGCTTCTTCGTCTCGCCCTCTTCCGGCAAGCCAGCGAGGTGAATATGGGAGAAAGGGAATACCAGCACCAAGGAATAGGGCAGGTATCATCTATTGATATGATCAGAAGGGGATCGATGGTTCTCGCTTGTGGATAATTACCTGAATTAGGAATGGAAGGCGCCATGCCCATTCGCCGGGGATGTAGCGAGTGCCATATGTGATGTAGAAAGCGATAACAATGGCCGTGACAATACTCAGCTCTTGCAACACCAGCAATGTACCACGAATCTCAGGAGGCGCAATCTCTGAGATGTACAGTGGTGCCACCATTGCAAGCATGCCAACCCCAATCCCTCCCACAAAACGAGCGCCAACAAGCATGGCGAAGCTTGTTGCTCCAGTTTGTAATGCCGCCCCAAAGACGAAGATAAAAACTGCAGCCATAATTGACCACTTGCGAGAGATCTTGTCTGCGAGCCACCCTTGGTTCATGGCACCTAAGAAAGCTCCCAATTCGATCATCGCCGTGAGAATGCCCTTCATAAAGCCACCACCTGGGGCATCGGCAGCAACCTCTGGAAACTTCTCAAGGAACTGTTCCATTGTAAGAGTCACGCTTACAACTCCCTGGTCATAACCAAACATTGCGCCACCCAGAGTAGCGAAGGCCGCGCAAGTGCAGACATATTTGTTGTTTACAATGCCCTTTAGACCTATGGCGAGCGACAATTGTTAGCTCCAAAACTTTGAGCATAAGCAGAGGCTCAGTAATAGAGTTCATACCAGCCTCGCCATATGGTTCTCTCGCTTGTCCCGGGATGAAACTAGCAGGGTCTATTTTCATTTCGGATTCAAGATGCTCAGCAATCGGGGATGCTTTTTTGTCCACCATGGTTATATGGCTTGACAATCAATGTCCTCCCAAAGCTTGTAGATTGAGTTGATGTTTTCCAGGGTAATCCAAATCCTTATAACGAGGGGAGCTCTGTGCACCCAATAGAGGTGGAGATAGAAGTGAAGAAGGCTAGTAACGGAATTGTAGGAAATATTAAAGAGGCATTTGGGCAATTTTACATTCAATTGATCGTCCAATCTAAACCAGACTAACTTCAACTACAACACTACAATGTAGACGGCTGTTGATATGGCGTTCGGGCTTGACGCCATTGTCCCCACAAGTACAGAATGCGGGGGAATGGCCTTGCGGGCCCCAGGTAGCGGATATTCCCCGATCGGACACCATTTTCCGGCCCGGATACCATCTTCCAGCACTGATCTATATCCATCTTCGTCCTAGTCAAGCCGAGAGATAGCGACTCATATCCCACCGAAAGCAAATGACAACCCGGATTCCTGCCCATCCTGAGATCTACATACAGGTCCTACTGTCAAGGACTATCGGGCACTCTTCGTGCATAATGAAACATCTCGGCATAAACAGGCTTTCCTGTTGTTTAATTGCCCCTTGTGATTATTTCACCGTGAGATTTTTCTCCAATCGCAACCTCGGACTCTGCCTTCGGCGAGAGACTTCATGGCGCCCGGCAAGCCGATGACTTCAAAGTTTATATCAGGCTAAGCTTTTGAGCCTTTACCGAATATAGTGTTGTGTATTGTTTAATGTATAATTTAACGAAGGTCTAAGTCGTATCCTGATATATTAGTTCCTCCTTCCGGTACTAGCTAAGGGACCGCAAAGTAATCACTCGTATACAGTCCGATGTGGATTGTTGGGTTGCCGACGTTATATCTCCATCTGACCCATAATTTTCTTATGACTATCCAAAGAAGACAACATTACTCGTATAACACCAGCGGTTGTAGAGGACTGCTTTCTTCCCCCACGGGGGCCTGAAACGGGTTGATCTCGGGATGGGGATTCCGACCCAGGTAGCCTATTGATGTGGGTCGAGAAAAATGAAGAAGAGTAACGAACATCAAGTATGCGAAATAATACGAATAATGATGAAGGCCCGATAGTATTGCGAGTCTGAGACGACTTAGTCCCTACCAGGTTCTACAGACTAGTTGTAGCCAATGATACTCACCAGTTCGTCCAAGTATAGAGAGCGGGTGGCGTGTAGCTTGTTTTCTTTCGCATTTCATACTAGTTTTGCTTGGCATAATAGACTGTATGCTTATAGCAATGAACTGACCCAGAGAAGTTCGAAGGTTCATCCTTCTATATGTCGTTTCGGCGGTTATGGCTACGATGAAAATTTGATTAGATGACCTTGGTGAATCGTTTAAGTTAGCCGCACCATTTGTTATGGATATATCAGACTCGGATACCACAAACAGTCTATCATGACAGCGAGATTCCTCGATGATCTCCGACGCTTAGTTCCTTGGAAACTCGGGATTAGATAGGAACCCGACTTTCGCAGGCCTTCCGAGAGATGGGGAGAGAAGGCTTCCCGAATTGAAAAATGAAACACTTAATGCAGGACATAAGACGCATTGAGCGACTGATGGAGTCGTAATTAAACTTGACAAATGTCCCCAACCTGTTTTATTGGCTCATATAATGTAATGCCTGTGATGGGATCCCCGTCTTGGCGGACTCAGTTTCGGCACGGCAAATGCTAGCATCTTTTAGTTGATACTGATAGCCTGACGGTCGGTCTTTGCATCTGCACCCGCAAGCTCCTGACTCAATCAGGCCGACCTCCTACATTGTCTACGTCTCCATGTTGACGGATTGGTTGTCCCTGTACTATCTCTCTTCTTGTCACTTTCATCTCATCTGCTCAACTCACTATCGCGTGTGACAATGATATGTTCACTCAGTGTATTAAGTCACCAATCCTCAGATGTCCACCAGTTCTGGTTGCTCGAGCAGTTTATGCTATTCTTACCACGGCGACAAATTTGATGCCCAGGACGGTCGCCTGTACCGTGCAATTGTCACTTACAATTGTATTTGCCCACACAGATTGGACCGGATCTTCAAGATTGAATAAAAAAACAAAACTGTCCCATTGGATTCCTTGGTGGCACTGCGAACGGCTGATGGACAGCAAGACAAAGACAAAACAGCCAATATGCCAACTGTTCAACTGTGCAATTTAGATTATTAAAACTATGCCTGTCGTTGAATTCTGCTGCACAACCCGCACGAACTCATACAGTTTCTTCCGGAGTTCCTTCTACCGAGGAGGCTCGAGCCTAACACCGACCAGTCGCAACCCGTGTTATACCGTAGTGCCTTGCGTGCAATATTCGAAACCAAAATGCTGCCAACACTCCTGAAGCCGAGGGAACCAACTCCAATCTTGCCTCTTTGTGGGATGTTTATCGCGGACCAGGCGATTTTGTGGAGCATACCAGTCGTTCCTTTAGTAGCAAATCTGATGTTGTTGATATTTTTAGATCTGTAATCATCAAAACCCAGCAAGCTGCTAGTATCGTTGCATCTACTAAGCAGGTCCCTGGACTTGGTGCAGCTGGCAGGGATGAAAATACGGATGAACAACTCGTCACTATCAACTCGAGTCTCAAAGAGCTGCAATCTGTTGACATGGATCCATATAAAACGGCGATTGCGGCTGGTGTCGCTGTGCATCCCGCTCTGGATGCAAGTATCCCTCGGGACTTAGTATGGCTTGGATCCAGCATGAGTTATAGGGTAGACTTGGGTTCAAGGGTGCGACCATTACTGATGGTCTTGAAGCGGGGGCACTAGAGGCCTTTGGTAATGATTCCACTCGTGGCTTGTTGACTAGCAAGGCAGGAATGGATATCCTGCTTGCTTCTGCGAGAAATGTGACTCAAGGAGAGAGTGTCGTTGATATTTGGTGGCTTCTTTGGAGGATAGGTCACTGGATAGACACGCTTTAAACCAGGGGACAGAGAGAATCATGAGGGTTCGGAGGAAGATTGTCTATGAGCTTACCATTCAAAATGGGGATATAGATATGATACATCTAGCTTCCGTGTTAAAAACATATTTACAACCAGTTAAAGAATTTGTGCAGAGAGTAGTGTCTAATAATTGCGTTCATAATTTCAAATTGGTATCATAAGTCTGCAGAGCACGGCACAAAGCAGCCCCCGATTCGTGCGATGGACGGTGATGCCAGCAACATGCGGTTTATTTCTCAGTATCGGCAAAGCTATACGATGGTGATCGTCGTCGAACGTGTACATCCCGACAGGCGAAAATGAACACGATAAAATGGGCGATTCTGTCCAAGTAAAAGGTCAGTAAAAGACTCTCGGATACTTGTTGCCACGGCAGAACTTACCCAGCTACTACTTGTATGGCTGAACCCGCAATCCTTAACGCTGTGGAATATAAAATATTGTCGGTGTTGGAGGCCAAGTAGGCGATGCCTACTAGTGCGAGGACTCCGAAGACAATATTGACACCCGCGGCGATTAGATCCAGCGCGACCAAAAAGCCAGGGTGAAAGGGTTTTCTGATTACAAAGAAGACTAAGTGAATTAATGACCAGAGAGCAGAACCCCCCGCCTAAACGAGGTTAAGTCAGATATGATGTTCGGGGCAGGGATTTTGGGGGCTCTTTTACCAATCCAATCGCAATATAGTCAGTGTCCCCAAGGCTAAAAACAATAACTGCAGCGATAGCGAGAGCAAAACATGTGATTCGCAAGCTAAGTAGAGTACCATGGCTTGTAGTGGAAGGGAAGTAGCTGCTCATATTGGGGTGAAGGGGCGTATTTGATATCTCGAAACGTGGTTAGTGGGCATCGGAATACAGGGGCGGAAGTAAGGTCTTATAAATCTATGCGGGGATTTAATGGAGGGCAGTGTACTTTCTTAGATAGGAATCAATCAATCTTATTGGGATTTGGCCCCAAGGTCATCACCTTTAGGTATCAAAGCATACGAGGTATGGCTCTAGCGAGGGTTCAATACTAAGGGATACTTGGCTATAATAGACGAAACTTTGCTAATTAAAAACACAATCATAATTTTATTGGAGGAGATTTATCACCATAGCACTGTAATCCACAGTTCTGCCTTGAAACTTGAAAGGAGCAGGGCTAATTGGGGCTATGCCGAGCCTCATGTGTCGATCCTCCTGAGCCTCCTGTCATCAGGATCTGGCAACTTTAGTAACTCCCAAGGTCTATTTCTACTGAAATCTGAGCTTAGGAAATCTGTTGAATCGTATATTGTATGGATATACTCTGTAGCGGTCCACGGAACTCCACCATGCCACATGGATCCCGAGTCAAACGGGGCCTCGTCTTCCAAAGATCCAATGACCATATTCCAAAGTGTCAGCAATCCAGCCCTAAAAGTTCCGTATACAATACGTTGTATGTCGGTAGAACGCCGGTGTGTCCCTCCAAGCCCGTAAGTAATCTGGGTCGCTTATGTACATGTATAGTTTTGGGGGGTCAAACGAAATACACTACCATCTAGAACTCACTGGCGCACGCCTCCGGTGCGAAATTAGCCAGTCTACAAAACAGCCGATGCCTTGGAACTCCACTTCTTAGGCTACACATATCAGGATGGATACATATCCCATGTGAATGCCGCCAAAAGTGCCAGTGTGTGGAAAATGTGCAACTTGGCGTCTGCGGGACATGCCAGTATACAAAATGCTTGATATATTGGCGCGAGGACCCCAGGAGGAGGGCGGGTATTGGCCGGAATTAAAGGATCAATGATAGTGCAGGCATGCATGAGCTAGTCCGTCGTCCCACAGAAATTGGCCGGTTTTGGAATTGCCGTGATACAACATTGTGTTTGCATAAGAGTGAAAGAGACGACAGTTCTAAAGAACAAACACGGTTGAAAAGAGACCCAGAATTAAGAAAGTTAAGTTCTTCGGAGCTAATAGGAGAGTTCCTTAGACTAGGCCGATCGGGATGTTGTGGATATTGCATCATCCTTCAACCGTGTACTCGTAGGAAAGGTACACAAACAACGTAGGTTATACGAATATATATATTAATCATATTATCCGTTCTTTTCAAACCGTTGGAATCCAAATCAAATGCATTAAGTAACATTATCCATTAAGTATAGGTTCTATCGATTGCATAAATACCCAGGAACAACGTAACGCCACCAGGTCCGAGTGGTTCCGCCGTTTCGAGCTCCACCAAAGTTCTTTTCCAAGTTGCGACTCATTTTTCTTCCTTTAAACCCCTCCTTTGACCTCTTCCGACCTCATTGATTCTATTTGAATTTCAGTCTTGACTTCAGTACACTTGATTTCGCCCTGCGCCACTGAGCGCGCCCACGATTCATCATGGGGCTTTCCAAAGAGAACCGGATCTTGATCCTGCTGGTCATTGATACGGCGTTCTTCCTGCTGGAGTTAATCACTGGTGGGTTATCCATGGACTTTGATCCAGAGCGAGCAGGCCTTTCTGACAGTGTGCTTTCTAGGCTATACCGTCCACTCGCTCGCCCTTGTTGCCGATTCCTTTCACATGGTACGCGAACCGCGATGCACGTTCCACAACGGGATTCTAACCTTACCAATAGCTGAATGATGTGTTATCACTGTGTGTCGGATTATGGGCCGTTAAGGTTGCAAACCGGGAGACGAGCTCCAATACCTACACCTACGGCGTAAGTTGGCAATCTCTCCGAGCCTCGAGCTTATCTGACAAGCGGATCTCTGCGTACAGTGGCAACGAGCTGAGACTCTCGGTGCCTTGGTGAATGGTGTTTTCCTAGTCGCATTGTGCATGTCAATATTCTTGGAAGCAATCCAGCGATTGGTGGAACCCCAGGTGGTGCAGAACCCGAGATTCGTGTGTATCGTTGGTTGCTTCGGACTTGCTTCCAACATCATCGGATTGGCCCTTTTCCACGACCACTCGCACGGCGGCCACGGCCACGGCCACGGTAACGACGAAGAGGATCACCACGATCACGATCACGATCATATCGAGGATGCAGAGCATGGCTACAGCGATCACGAGGAGGCCGCAGTTGCTCCGCAAAGTAGCGCCGCCCCCGAGGGCGCTACTCCAAACGCGCTCACTCATTCTGCCACTGAGCCTACATCTCCACAATCCCGCCGCCGCGGGACCCCAACCCGAAGCTCGCGGAGATACAGCACCTCGACCGGACGCGTTTTCGTGAGCGCCGAGGATATTCCCGTGCTCCCCGAAAGACTGCGCCAAGGAATCATTGCCGCCAGTCAGTACCAAAACGAGCAAACGTCGGATTCGGATACCGGTCGCGAGGAAGAGGAGATCCCATCTGAGCGCTCCGGTCTTCTGCGTCACCGTGACCGTGCCACTAATTACACCGACGAAGAGGGCGCGCCCTTCAAAGCCCCAGATCACCACCGCCAGGATGAGGATGTCCACAAGTCTCACAACCACACTAAGCCAAAGTCCAAGGATGGAAAGAAGGGTCACAGTCACGATTTGAACATGCGTGGTGTGTTCCTCCACGTTATGGGAGACGCACTAGGCAACATCGGTGTGATCGTTTCCGCGCTAATCATCTGGTTGACCGACTACGAATGGCGCTACTATGTTGACCCGGGCATTTCCCTGGTTATCACAATGATCATTCTTGCCTCCGCTATCCCGCTGTGCAAGGCCGCTTCCCGTATCCTGCTCCAGGCCGTGCCCCCTGGAATGAGCATCGACCACATCAAGGAGGATATCGGAAGACTCCCCGGTGTCATTGGCTCCCACCATTTGCACGTGTGGCAGCTTAGCGACACCAAGATTGTTGCCTCGATCCACCTCCAGGTCGATACCGAGATCAAGGGCGAAGGTTCTGAGCGATACATGCGCCTGGCCAGACAGGTGCGACGCTGTCTCCATGCCTACGGCATCCACTCTTCGACCATCCAGCCCGAGTTCGCACCCGAAAGCGACACCGAGGACAACCTGAGCCACCCCCATGCATCATCCTCCCGAGGCACCGTTGAGCACCAGCCTAGCCGCGCAGCTAGCATCCGGGAAGGTGACAACCAAGCCTGCCTTCTGGAGTGCGATGAGAACTGCGCACGTGGAGGACAGTGCTGCCCTAAGCCTACTTAATTTCCTACCCACACGCCCCCTTGTTTTACATGGATACCCATGGCCACCAAAACAATTCTACCCGACGGTTTCCCTATTCTGATACCCTATCAACACCACTCCGTTTATTTTGTGTGTTTTTTCACGCTACGCTTTCCTGTCAGAGTAATGATCTGTTAGCTCTCATTCTTTCGTGGTCTAGTCTCGGACTGCCAGTCCTCGCGGAATTAGGTCATAAGAGTGCCGGTATGTCATAGCAACATGCACTATGATCCTGTTTGTGTACGAGCACCCCTTGTATTGTTAGTACCTGGAGTGCATTCATGTATTTCTATCTATTCCTAATCAAACCCTTCATCTTTGACTTGAGATTGTATATTTGTTGGAACCTACATTTTATGGGTCCCTTTGCCCTTGTAAACCTGCATCGAAATGAATGCTAGTAGAACCAATCGGAACAGGAATTCCTCATAATTAAAAATAGCATGCTGCTCAAGCAGCGTCAAATCTGACTTCTCAAGGGTCCAGAGTGCTGGGCCCTCCTATACATCAAACAAACTTCATGATGGATATACCCGCAGTGCCTTTCATCGACCATTTATAAAAAGACAACATCAGCACCTGGCCATTCAACATATTCAACAGACCTGCCAAATACATATATCAGAAACTGAAGATCTGTCTCAAGTCTAATTATATAAACCCTCAACTTCCTCATCTTACTTCATTCTCTTCCCACTTCACCCCATACCACAGCCCACTCTCGATCTGAGTTCTTACTTCTACAACTGACTCTCGAATACCGCAAGAATCCCTCGACCGGTTCGTTCTTTCCATGCTGTCCCTGCGATTCAACTAGACATCTTGAACCCTGCTAACTTCTCAAGAACACGTCCAGATCATTGTGACTGATGAGGGTCACTCACTCATCATTCTATATATATAGCCGTGTTTCTTACGGGAAGTTGAACGGCAAGTGTCCTTCATGGACATTTTCGGCGGAATGGAATTGGGCCAACATATTTCGTTATGGTCCTTCCTTGGCTGCGCCCTGGGGGCATCTCACATGATGTCCACCTTTTCGTGGACATCAAAAATGGTATGGCCTTCGAAAATTGTGGAAATCTACTCAAGCTAACAATCAATGGAAGTTGATCGTGAATCATTTTCACCCCGAATCTCTTTATATTCTCACGTCTTTTCCACTGTTCTTATTCTTCCTTCGGTGTGACAGGCGAAATCTGTCTTTCCTGCTTCCACAAGAAAAAAAAAAGAAAAAGTATTGGAGTGGAAATCTACAGCGTCACGTCAGAATTCGTCCGAGACGCTTCGATGGAAGCAATGAAACATTCAGACTGCCCAGCTCCATCAGGAAATGAGAAACCCCTGGTTCATTGAAAGTAAACACCCAAACATGTGAGGGGAAGGGATTCGGAACCTGCGCGACAAGCGTAAATTGTTTTTGGAGTGAGTGATGGTCCGAAAACTCAATACGGGCAGCCGGTTATGTGTGGGGCCATTTTGAGAGGAGACAACGACCCCTCGCCAGAATCAAAAAGATAAAAGACAACAGAGAGAGAGAGAGAGAGAGAGCGGAGTTGAGCCAGCGCCTCGTCGTTCAAGAAACCTGTGCAATTGGTGAATACAGTCTACTCCGGGAAGCCCGTCAACAAGTGACTTGTGTTTTTTCCAGCTAGTCAGAGATGGGGAGCTTTCTTGTTGTGTCGCGTGAACAATCGTTGCTTGACCTAAAGAACTTTTATATTTGAATCCGGGAACATGACGTCCCATTGTTTTCAATATGCGTTTCACGCCTTTTCGCCTGGGACGCCATGCAGTGGGTAGTTGAAGGAGGAGCTGAGGAGACCAGCTGACCTACTTAGTACGTCCCCAGTTGTCCTTTTATAACAAATTAAGCTAACAATGGTCCTAGTGGGATCCAAATCCTCGAACATTTTCAAACAAGCTTATAACACGGCTTATTGCTAGTGAAACTGGCAGCGTTGCAATTCATCTATCTCTCATCACCTTGGAGAGGCGCACATCGCATTGAGCTGGACTGAAGGCCTTGACATACAGCTCAAATCCCACAGTGGAACTCTGTTGTTTATCTGGCAGGTGCAATCTTACATTTACTGCCCATGCTGGTCGCGGAATCCCTACCAAGCAGCGCGGCCAGCTCTGGCCCCGCGGCTTCACCACCGAGGGAGGTATCCAGCAGGAGCGCTTGCTCTCCGGCGGTTGTGTCATTGGGTACTTCTGGGGTAACCCCTGGATTGTGGTCTGGCGACAAACAGTTCGCTTATTTCCAGACTGCCACTACTCCAGGACAAGGCGACTGGCACTTCGGGTCCGCGGTGGCATCCGCCGACATGTTAGACGACGCGCATGTGGTGATGAAGTTCCTAGACAACCTGCCTTTCCAGCTGGTCCCAGCCTGGCAGCTGTCAGGCTTGCAAACCCGGCCTGTCAAGGACTTCTTACCATACTCGCGTAACGAATGGAAGTACTACCGTGGATATGGTTTTCCCCTTTTGCGCTTATATAACTATAGTGATATTCTCATTTTTTATAGCTTTTTCATTGAAATATAGAACAAATCTCGAGCCCTGAGATAAAGTACTTTATGGGGTTTTGTTTACTATTTGTAGTTATAAATAGCATCACGTGATCAGACCCGGGGTGATCTGCACGTCTAGCCTGTAGCTTGAATTATCACCCCTTGTTCTTCATGCAGTGAGATTCTCTGCTTGACTCTTTCGCCATTCGCTCTTTGCAGTCTTTTCTTTTCTCTGTCCTCTTCTTGTATGCTCAGAGCATGCCCTGCCATTCCTTTCGCTAGTTCAATATTCGCCCCATTGTGTTTGGGGCCACCTTGTCACCTAGGCTCGCTGTCAAGCTAACCCAACATGGCATACCCTTACCAACGCTCTGCGGGCGCCTCTCCTCTTCCCTCCTTCCACCAGAACTTCCAACCAAGTTCGCCGAGTATATCCAGTCGCGTGTGGCAGTTTGTTCCTCCAATCGCAAAACAATGGCTTTCGGAGGGGTCTCTCAGCCGTGGAATTGGTAGACACCGAGGCAGTGAGGGGTTCAAGATTACCGCAGTGCGAGCTCTGAAATCTATCTTGTCGATACCTACTGCCATCATCTTACTGTGGATTTACTCTATCTGGTGGGGCGAACGGAGAGTATTTGAGGATCACATCAACCAATGCCTCTGGGATAGTTGGGAAGAATGGGTAAGTGCTGTCGCAATCGCCTATACTCTACGTGGTACTGACTGCTGCATTTTAGCCCCAAGATGCAACACCGCACCATATTGCCTTCATCTCGGACCCCCAGCTCGTCGATCCCCACACCTACCCCGGTCGACCATGGCCTCTGTCAACATTGACTGTTAAATACACAGACCAATATATGCGCCGGTCATTCTCCTTAATCCAAGATCACCTCGAGCCGGACTCGGTGCTGTTCCTTGGTGACCTTTTCGACGGTGGCAGAGAGTGGGCTACCGGTACCACCACCAGCCCCGAAGCCCGGTATAAGAATATCAAAGACAATTTCTGGAAGAAGGAATACCGCCGATTCATGAAGATCTTCCTAGATCCTTGGGAGAAGAACAGTCCCGCACCGGTGGACGGACGAGGTCGCAAGTTGCTTGCGAGCTTACCTGGAAACCATGATCTCGGATTCGGAAATGGGATCCAAGAGCCTGTTCGTGATCGATTCCAGACCTACTTCGGACACAGCAACCGAGTAGATGTGATTGGAAATCATACATTTGTTTCGGTGGACACCGTCTCGCTGAGCGCAATGGACCAGCCTGATCCTTTGACAGGCAGCTCGCCGACAGCCGCAAGCGATGATACCTGGCCGGCTCGCCCGATTTGGAAAGATGCCGATGATTTCTTGGACAAGATGGCTATGCACAAAGCCAAGGCGGAAACAGAGGAACTTCGAATGCTGCAAAACCAAAGCGAGGGCCATATGTTTGATTATCGTGTGGTCGACGCTGTTGACCCGGCAATGCACCACAAGCCCGAGCTGACGAGCCCCGGATTCCCCACGATCATCCTTACACATGTACCTCTCTACCGCAAGCCTGCAACTCCTTGTGGGCCTCTACGCGAGCGCTATCCACCGTCTTCGGACGAGGAGCTGGAAGAAGATGAGCCCAATGCTTTGAAGATTTCAGGTGGCTACCAGTACCAGAACGTTCTCACACAGACCGTGTCCAACGAGTTGGTGTCTAAATCAGGACCCAATGTAGTCCAGGTCTACTCCGGCGATGACCACGACTACTGTGAAATCTCACACCGGGAATTCAATGGTTCTCCGAACGAGATCACAGTCAAAAGTATCTCCTGGGCAATGGGAGTGCGACACCCAGGCTTCGTGTTGACCAGTCTGTGGAATCCAATTGACCCCAAGACAGGCAAGCCCATCAAAAACGCATCGCCCACCATCCAAAACCACCTCTGCCTCCTCCCAGACCAACTGGGCATCTTCATCCACTACCTCACCATCCTCGGCTTCAGCGTCACCGTCCTCTTCATCCGCGCACTTTACCGGGCATTCTCCTCGCCGGAGCCATCATCAACCGGCGCACTCCTCCCACTCTCTGAACGCCGCCCACAGCATCACTCCCAAACCTCTGGCGCATCCAGCTCTACTTTGTCAGCGGGTGGCGTAGCCAGCCGCGGCGGAATGACAGCGTCGCGCTATCCTGGAACCAAGTCACCTGATTCCTACCGGGGTATTGACGAGGACATCATGTCCTCGAAAAACAAGACTTCATGGCGGCCCGCGTCAGCCACTGGGCCCCGCTCTACTGCCTCTCTTGTTGTGCATGACCTGTACCACTCTACCAAGACTGTGGCGCAGATAGTGTTGTTAGCGTATTTCATCCTGATCTGGCGCTGGTAGCCGGACCGTTCTTCAGCGAAAATAGACAATAATAGAATTGCATCCCCATCACATGGCGCTGCAGAATTTACTAGCTCCGATCTGATCCAGTT